TAGTATCTTGAACTATCTGAAAGTCTGTGCTGAAAATCTGGCAAGTGTAATGACCACACCCCATCATGTCAGATACAGTTCTCATGTACTGTTGGTATTTGTGCTGAACCTACAGCTAGAAACAATCCAGGCAACTAAAGGTTCAGCTATACCAGGAAATATTTGATAGCTTTAACTAGAAACATCTGCCATAGCTGAGCATTATGGGAACATCACCTCCTCATTTCTAAAATAGTAGACCTTGTTGGCCTGTTGGGAAGCTGATAACATTTCTACATGATACATAAGAACCATGCACACATTTTACACCAGATTTTTTCTCCCTAATACATTATAGTTAGTTCCATGAGGCTTTTTGTTAGCCTTGAAGTTGCCAGTTGCATTATTTATTACTTAACTATCCCACATGATGTTTATTATAACGGAAACATTGCATGGGGAAAACTGTGAAACTGATAAATGCCTTTAGCATTAGATAAGAAGAATGTTTGTGCCTTCTCAAAAATATCAGTTTGCTGATCAGTCTTTGTGAAATTGAATCTTGTAAAAGAAATGTTATTTAGCAAGTCAGAGCTGCCAAGTTTTAACGATACAATCTTATGTTTAAGTTGGCCTACATGTATTTGATATAATAACTTGGTAAGATATTCTATCTGTTGAATTGCTTAGATAACAAGATTGAATATCAGAATGGAATTAATCTCTAATGGAATGGCTATTTTATCTTGAATAATGTTAGAATCAAGCAATATGCATATATTGTCATTGGGCTGTTTCTCTTCAGCTTCTACCATTGCCTATGTAAACCTCCAAAATGCCATTTTCATTTATCAATGTCATTCTTTATTGAGCACCATTCTCTTTTGAGATAGTAGACACTGTAGAACCCACAAAGTATCAAAGTGTTGGAATTGTAGAAACAGATGAACAAACAATATTATAACAATATTATGAGTATATTATGGTCGGTTTCTCTAAGGAAAAGAAATCAAATGGAGTCATCACATATGACTTCTGGGTATTAAGGTATTCTGTTATTCTACACCTCATCTATTCGGATTATTCATCTTCTAGCTACCCATAGTGAACTTGACATTTGAAAAGTTCTAAATAAAATTGGTATTCAACCTTGGGAAGTAGAATGCTGTGAGAACATGGCCGTTAGTCTTAATTGCTTTCTCTGGATCAAAATTCATTGACAAATGATGGTCAGAACAAATCTCTTTCGTGAATATTCTGACCTTATGATTGAATATGAGGGGAAGACACAGTTAGGGCCAAGGCATTAGTTCCAATTGCTTGTGATATATTGCACAGATAGCCTTCTCTCTATATATATCTGACCCTGCCCAATATTTAGACACTTATGAGTTGGTGTTATCTATCAAGTATGTGCTGAGTATTCTTTAACCTCACTGCACAGAAATGCTCCTTGCAAGAAATCATCGTAGGCCATCCTATATTTTAAGAATTTGAGTCTGAATGAATTGCAATGAAAAACATTTGTGCTAAAGGATCAGAAATTGAAAGAATTCTAGAAATATTTGTTGGGATGTTTTGTGAAAAATGTGAATGTAGTTGTATTCAATTAATCATTATCTAAATTTTCATGTAAACACACACTACATCTACAGCTTTGTTGGAGGGAGGACTCCCTCACTAGGCTATTTGCCCAAAGTGTTTCTAGCCATAATATACAGCAACATTTTGTGTTTGGTGAACTATATCCATAATATACAATTACGTGAGGCTGTTTTCTATAATGGGGAGAGAGGGTTCATGGTAATTGTATATGTTTCTCTGCTGTAGTTGATGTAATGTTCTAGGTGGAATGTCTGCCTGTAAAGCCATCTGACTGGCTGGGTGTAGTCTTCTACATCTAATGCTGGCTGCTGCTGCAGTTTGCCTGGAAATAAACTAGAACTGTATTTCTATTTTCTTGTAGCAAAGAATGTATATGCTAAGACCAAGAGTCTATTGGGATAATATTTTCATCTACAAAAATCTCAAATTTTTAAGAAATGCCAGAAGATGTTTCTTTTAAATTTGGAAAGACAATCTGAAGCATTTGGATGTAGTATCATCACTCTATAAGATATGTTTTCCCAGGAAGCTTTCAAACATATTTACTTCCTTGTGACTGCTGAACCTTGCAACAAACATCCTTCTGTTATATACCAACATCAAGACATGCTACATTGGAAAAGTAGTTAACACATTTAAACAGAGAAACCTGTTACTTGTGATAGTACATATTAAAATGAATGGTTCTTGGTCACCTGAAATGACCTCTGCATAGTGTATGATATATACAATCTCTGTTGATAATGAATCTGAAAATAAACATAGAACAAACATTATATGTATATATAAATAATATAAAGTGTAACCCATAAGATAACTAGTGTAACCACTTAACAAAGCTAGTTTAAGATCTACTTATGCTTGGGAAAGTTCTAAGAGCTAAAATGTTACTATAGAATCTGGAAGAGTTTTTTGTAACTTGTAAGTTACATTCCTGCATATTGTACTTGCTGTTCTGCATGTACTGCAGTTTACATCAGTGTTGTCCTGAGTTAAACTTTGTGGAATAATGTATGTTCCTCCTCAATGCCTTTATTATGTCCCCACCACATAGTGTGGGGCCATATTGTCGGCCTAGGCGCGTCCGTCTGTCCGTCCGTCCGTCCGTCTGTCCGTACGTCCGGGAGTTTTCTCCAAAACCGCTACAGATATCACCTTCAAATTTTCAGGGATAACTTATGAGTGCATACAGATGTGGATGAAAAAGTTTCAAGTCGATACCTACTTCCTGTCGGCCATTTTGAAGTCAAATGCTAAAATCCTTGTCTGCAAACTTTAAGAAAAACGGCTTCACAGTTGCTTTTAAAACTTTAACATCTTGTTCAGCTCACTTCATTCTAGATCTGATTAGGTTTTGGACCTGTTAGCTCAGTCATGTCAGCCATTTTGAATGTCTTAAGAAAAGTTAGCGCACGATAATACTTTGTATCATATTGAATGGTGTTTTTGAGTTTTCATACTTTAACTATTTAGTAGCTTTATAAATAATTTCAGATGTACTTTGTTGTAAAAGCCTATGTTATTGTTAACAGTAGTTATATGTGATAATTTTGTAAGAAGAAATCAGCAAAAACACTTAATCACTTTTTTATTGTCCGCCATTTTGGATTTTTCCGTCCTAAAATCTTGTCTGTGAAGTCTTGTCTACGTGTTTTCAGGTGAACCGTTTGGTGGATCAATTTCAAATTTTCAGGGATGATTCTTAGTATAAAAATCTAGATCTGATTTGTTTTTTGGCATTCTGGGTAAATGTCAAGGCAGCCATTTTGGATTTTCCATCCTAAAATCTTGTCTGTAAAGTCTTGTCTACGCGTTTTCAGGTGAACCGTTTGGTAGATCAATTTCAAATTTTCAGAGATGATTCTTAGTATGAAAATGTAGAACTGATTAGTTTTTTGGCATTCTGGGCAAATGTCAAGGCAGCCATTTTGGATTTTCTGTCCTAAAATCTTGTCTGTAAAGTCTTGTCTATGCATTTCCAGGTGAACCGTTCTGTAGATCAATTTCAAATTTTTAGGGATGATTCTTAGTATGAAAATCTAGATTTGATTAGTTTTTTGGCATTCTGGATAAATGTCAAGGCAGCCATTTTGGATTTTCCATCTTAAAATCTTGCCTGTAAAGTCTTGTCTACGCGTTTTTAGGTGAACCGTTTGGTAGATCAATTTCAAATTTTCAGGGATGATTCTTAGTGTGAAAATCTACATCTGATTAGGTTTTTGGCATTCTATGTAAATGTCATGGCAGCCATTTTGGATTTTCTGTCCTAAAATCTTGTCTGTAAAGTCTTGTCTACGCGTTTTCAGGTGAACCATTTGGTAGATCAATGTCATATTTTCAGGGATGATTCTTAGTATGAAAATCTAGGAACAGATTAGTTTTTTGACATTCTGGGTAAATGTCAAGGCAGCCATTTTGGATTTTCCATCCTAAAATCTTGTCTGTAAAGTCTTGTTTACATGTTTTCTAGTTAACTTTGTGACGGATCAATTAAAAATTTTCAGGGGTGGTTCTTAGTTTGAAAATCTAGAACTGACTAAATTTTTGGCATTCTGGGTAAATTTTAAGGTGGCCATTTTGGATTTCCGTCCTCAAATTGTGTTGGTAAAGTCTTGTCTACTCATTTTCAGGATAACCATTTCATGGGATCACCCATTGGTGGGGACATTTTGTACACATTTGTGTTCTTGTTTCATCTTGGATTCCAGTCTCACAATGATGATCATGATTTAGAAAGCTGTGTTTTAAAATGAGATGGATAATTAGATTTGTGCTATCTAACAGTATGTGTTCCATATTATGGAACTCTTATAGAACTGTACTATTAAACATTTCTTCTCTTTTACATCATGAATAAGAGAAGCTGGTGTGATTAACTTTTATTGATTTGTTCTCTAACAGAAGCACTCTCTAATCATGACTTTCAATGGCAAAATTTCTATCATTATTCTCTTAATTCAGGTTTTTAAAGCAGAAGGGGAAAAAGTATTGATTCCGCACAATCATTTGCTTGTCATATTTGCTGGAAATATCATGAATTGCTTATGCAACATTGATTGATTGACATGACTTCTTATTCCTGATACTTCCTGTAGATTTTCCAGATCTATTCATACGTATCAGTTGTCATATAACATCTTCTGTGAAATACAACAAACTAATGAAGCATGCATTCAGTGTAATTGCTTGTAACATGGAATAAAGTACTCCCCTCTCAGAAATCTCATATGATCCCCTTGTGAATGAATATAGAATTGCATTTTATTATGAAAACTATTTTCCTGTCAGATCCAATATTTGAAAATATTTTTTGATCTGATTTAAATAAATTCAATCCATTGGTTATCACTTTTTGCCATATTTTTGAATGACGAGATATCAACCATTCTTTAGATATATTACATTGTTTGTTTCAGATTCAAGACATTACCATAGAAGAAACCGACACCAGCGAGACAAGATCAGCAAAGGATGCCCTACTCTTGTGGTGCCAGATGAAGACTGCGGGATACTCCAATGTCAACATACGTAACTTCACAACCAGTTGGCGGGATGGTCTCGCCTTTAATGCCATCATTCATAAACACAGGTTAGTAAATAAATTGTTTGCTTCCTTATCTGTAGTTTGCAAGCTTTACAATCAATGTTTGCATGAATTATGTTACACACTATGTGAAATATAGTATTTGAAACTCCAATTATTTGATTTAAACATATTTCTCAATAACTAAATCACTGTTTTTGTTTCAGACCTGACTTGATCAAATATGAGAAGCTTCAGAAATCCAATGCCATGTATAACTTGAACAATGCCTTTGATGTGGCTGAGGATAAGCTTGGTCTTACAAAGCTGCTAGATGCTGAAGGTATACCTCAAGATGGATCTTGTGTCTTTTCTCATTCACTGTTTATATGATTTCAGAACATATGAAGTTAATAAAAAAATATTTTTTACTTTTGATAAACATTCAATTGTATGCATTCAGTTCATGATAAAACTATTATCTTAATGTAATTTCTACAGTAAAGAAATCATACCATCAGCTCACATGATCTTAATCTTTAAAAGTCTTGTGTGTTTGATGAACTGCATGTCATGTGTGTGTTTATGTGTTCCAACCAGATGTTGATGTTGAACGGCCAGATGAGAAATCCATTGTAACCTATGTTGTCACATATTACCACTATTTCACAAAACTCAAGTCTGGGACCATCTCTAGTAAAAGGATAGGCAAGGTATTCAACAAATGTTTTATGCATAATACTTGGGTGAAATGTCTTGGTTCATACATTGTTGGATGATAACTACTTCCAATGAGATTAATCAGGTCCATCCTGGTGATTATTGAAGCCCAGTTGTCATGCATCAAACATGGTACAGTATTGATTACATTGATTACACAATGTACAATACAATGTACTTGGAAGTAAAATTGTCCAAATCAACTATGCAACCAAGATATATCACCCAAACTTTCTCTTGTATAATATCATTGAAAATAAACTTGAATTTTTCTCTTCACTCAGATGTGAATGTGGACTTCCCAGATGAGAAATCAGTTATCACATATGTGGTGACATATTATCACTACTTCAGTAAGATGAAGGCTGACTCTGTACAGGGGAGACGTATTGGAAAGGTATTGTTGAAGGGTGCTACAGTGTGTACACCCGGGTGGGGCAGGGGGCTAGGTGTTGACGTGTGAGCCCGCATGATCAGCGCCATCTGTTGTTGTTATAAAGCTGTAGTGTTCACCGTACATGTTCTCTCTATCTTTGTAGGTAATCTAGTTGTGTTTCTTTGTACGTACATGAACATTTATCATTTTGTATCTCCCATAACAGTTTGTTCATTCGGTTCATTTCAGCCTCTCTTTGAGGATCCTAGATTGATTAGTCAATCCCACACTAGCTGGGAAATGACATAATTTGAATGAACGACCATTGAAATTAAGAGTTTAAATCATTTTTATCAATTTAATGAACCAGCTCAAAATCTCTGCAAATTAAACACCTGCAAAAAGAAGACACGATCACATTGAAATCGCTTGGAATTTGTTAACATTTCATTCTTTCAAGATGTGCCAGTATGAGTTTATTGCTGTTAAAGTGGGGGAGGGGTTACTTTTTTGAACCAACATTGTTTTTGTATTAATAGAATTCATGTTTGTATAGGGAGTCATATGTACAAAGAGACACAGTCATTGCATGATCTGTCAGTATTTAGCATGACACCACACGCTTCTCACTGAGACAACATGTCTTAGGGCTCTTCATTCCAGTCTAGAAATGTCTGCTTATAATATTGTCTTAGCAACAGTTTTACAAGTTTGTGCTATACACTTATGATGTGTATGATGAAATGAAATTCTCTTTGCTACTTTCTGGAAAAGTTGTTGTAGAGTACTAAAATTGAACGTGATCAATGTTGCAGACTTGTAAAGCTATTGTTTTTGCATGTTTTTATTAATGTATTCACAATGTTGTACATATCCATTGTCACCAATGATCAGATCTCAATGAACCGATCAATGAATTGATCAATTTGTCTGATCACAGATTGACAATGAATATTCAGTTTGTACTAAAAAATGTAACCATTATTTATGTTTTATTTAACTCTTATTTTATATTCATTCATTTAAAACTGTCTATTATTAATTGCTAGCATGGATGACTACCTCAGCTTATATACTAAAGTTGCTTATGAAGTATACTAGAGCATGTTTTAACTTATTTCATAATCAAATGTTTCTTTAATGTATGAGTAACAATTTAGAAACTGCAGGTTTCTTTGTCATTGTGTAGATTCATACTGTACTAGAGCCATTTCTTGAAACTTGGGAATTGTAAAACTATGATACATTCAAGATTTGGCCCACAACATAATCTGTTATATAGTTTGTTAACTTATACACTAAGATAGATATTTAAGACTATATGTGTTGCATGATCAGAGCAAGGGCATAATCATGATGTGCTCTCTCTTGTAATATAGGCATGAACAGTGTACTAATCATGATATTATTCTAAGATACTTCATGATAAACTTTTAACACAAACATAAACATTATGTTTCCCAGTAACAATTGACCAATCAAATACCTGCAATGACATTAAGATAAAATATATCTGAGAAAACTTCCTCAAAGTTAATTCTGATGAATATTTGCTTGAAAAACCTTTCAAAACTAAGCTTTTGGCTAAATAAACAATTATGGAATGCTTAAAATTAATATATCCCCTGAGCATGCATCCACCTTTATATAATCTTAAAAACAAGTTTTTAAAGTTCTGATTTCATTTCAGGTAATTGGAAATGCTATTGATAATGATAGCTTGATAAATGAATATGAGACCTTGACCTCTGACCTACTGGAATGGATCGAACAAACCATCCAAGTCCTGAACGACCGGGAGTTTGCCAACTCACTGAATGGAGTACAACAGCAACTAACAAGTTTCAACACATACAGAACTGTGGAGAAACCTCCAAAGTATGTTGAAAAAACTTTCATATTATTAAGTTTAAGTTTAAAATATTTTATTTAAGTGTCACTGGTATGATACAATTAATACATATATAAGAACATAGTTAAAATACCACCAGCCGATGTCGGCTTATGAGACACTGGTCACTAACTTCCAAATTATTATCGCAAGAACATTAAGCATATACTGTCAGACTGTAGACAATGCGTATCAGTAATGTATAATAAAACAATTTATCCCAAGTATTGCACAGGTTTGATAATTATAAATTCATATACATAATAAATAGAAAGAGTTAACATGTAACATATTGCCTCTTTAAATTGACTAGAGTTAAATTATAGTATAAAAGTAATGAGGCACTCAATCGAATGAATATGGTGAAACATACATTAGGACATTACAAATAATTATGCTTCAGTCAGCCTTTCAAGGTCAAATTGTCTCTTTACAAACATGTTATGCAAGAGAGCAGCCCATTGCCTTTGAATTGATTTTGAATGCATGAGACTAATAAATAGAAGTAAATCATTGTCAGTATTTGTTTTTATATGTGGCGTCAAAATGTTTGTAACAGTTTCATAAAAGTGTGATCTGAGGCTGGAGTAATGTTTACATTGAATGGCAAAGTGCAATTCATCTTCAATAGTGTTACTATCACATAATTTACAAGTTCGATCTTGCAATGCTATGTTTGACCATCTACCAGTCTCAATGTTAAGTGGGAGACTACCTGTTCTCAGTTTGGCAAGCATACTTCTATGATGTCTTGGAATATAATCAGATACATAAGATTCAGTTACAACTCCATATTTGAACATTCTATAAGTTCGAAGCTTATTTCCATTTTGCACATTATTTTTATCGTTCCAGATGTTTTTCAAGAAAGGATCTTTCGAATTGAAACAGTTCTTTAAAAGTTTTATTGTTGTTTTTACATGTAAGGAAATATTATTATCAGTGGAAATACCATTGTTTGACAACATTGTTTTAGTATGATAGTCCCAACTTTAAACTTAAACTTAAAACATATTATTTAAAGTTGATGAATGCAGAACAATAAGTCTTTCCAAGATCCTATATTTAGCATATTGAATCATTGAAATGGGGAATAATTTTTTCCGTCTTGTCACATTTTTCAGGTTTGTAGAGAAGGGAAACCTGGAGATCCAATTGTTCACTCTTCAGAGCAAGATGCGGGCTAACAACCAGAAGCCTTACTTCCCAGGAGAGGGCAAGATGATTTCAGATATCAACAAAGCCTGGGAAAAACTAGAGAAATCTGAACATGAACGTGAACTGGCACTGCGCGAAGAGCTTATCAGGTCAGTTCAAGTAGTAGTACCTTGTCAGTTAGAATAAAACATAATTTTTTTTTAATTGAATAAAACATAATATATGTCCTAAATGACAAAAATCCTTTCTTTTTTGAATGGTTCATATAGAGGTAACAAATGTTTAGTAATATAGATGAATCGTATGTATCGTCCACCTTCATATTATTGTACCTTACATCCTTCTATTGATTTGTAGACAAGAGAAGCTTGAACAACTAGCTGCCAGGTTTGACCGCAAGGCTGGCATGAGAGAGACCTGGTTGAGTGAGAACCAGCGTCTAGTCTCTCAGGATAATTTCGGCTATGACTTAGCAGCTGTTGAGGCAGCAACCAGAAAACATGAGGCTATTGAGACAGATATTAATGCATACGAGGAGCGTGTCCAAGCTGTAGTGGCAGTTGCCAATGAACTACAACAAGAAAACTACCATGATATTGTACGAATTACTGCAAGGTAGGTAGTAACCATTGAAAAGATCACAACTGATCACATGTTTTATATTGGATAACTGAACAATAACTTTTTTCAATGCTATAAATATTAAGGAAGACATTGTTATTAGCCAAGATTATATAAATAATATTCATAAAATTAGAGCAATGTATTCCACTTAACTAAGCCATATATTTCACTTGTTTTTAGAAAAGACAATGTTCTTCGCCTATGGAACTACCTACTTGAGCTCCTACGTGCCAGGCGTATGCGCTTGGAGATGTCCCTCAACCTGCAGAAGGTCTTCCAGGAGATGCTCTATGTACTCGACTGGATGGATGAAATTAAGGTATTCTATCAGAATAATATCTGTACATCTTTTATTATTAATTAAGAAATAATCTTGCTATAGATTATTTGTAGTTAATGGATCATTTCCCAATATTTGACAGTATCATTGACCCACTTGAGATCTGAACACTCAGTCTATACAAGATGGTATAATTCATTGCTAAATAGTGGTAAGTGATGCTTATAATTGTGTTATAGACTCGCCTGTTATCTGAAGACTATGGCAAACATCTGATGGGAGTTGAGGACCTCCTGCAAAAGCATGCTCTCCTAGAAGCTGACATCAATGTTGTGGGAGAGCGTGTTAAGACTGTTAATGGACAAGCCAAGAGATACGTTGATGGGGAAGTGGATGAAGAAGGTAAAGATGAAGTGACATATTTGTGATCCAAAAAATCAGTCTAATGAAGCATGTTAACATACTGCTAACATTCAAGTTGAGCAGGGATTGTAAGGGAGATACAATGTTAAAGGAACATTTCTTGCAAGATTTTGCCTCAAAGGTCTTTCTGTCACCCTCCTGTGTGTGAGTGTGTTGATCAATGTATTTGTTTATGGCATGTTCAACTAAATTGTATAAAACATTGTTCAAATCTTGTGCAGACTAATGCAGTAATGCAGATTTTCACTTGAATGTTATTGTTTATAGACTTGTGATATGGTTGTCATTTGATAATTCCAGATTACAAACCATGTGACCCCCAGATCGTACAAGACAGAATGTCCTCCCTGGAGGCTGCCTATGAGGAGCTCCAACAGCTGGCAGCAGAGCGCAGAGCCAGACTGGAGGAGTCTCGCAAACTCTGGCAGTTCTACTGGGACATGGCTGATGAAGAGGGCTGGATCAAAGAGAAGGAACAGATCATGTCCTCACCAGATCTTGGCCATGATCTGACCAGTGTAAACCTATTGGTAAACAAAAACAAAGCCATGGAGGATGAGATGACATCCAGACATACTCACCTTCAAACAGTCACCCAGGTGGGAACTGATCTCATTGGAGCTGGAAATTTCGGAGCTGATAGGATTCAAGGGCGTATAGATGAGGTCAACACCCAATGGGATGCACTGATTGAATTGTCTGGATACCGCAAGAAGAGACTTGCTGAGGCTGTAGACTTCTACCAAGTAAGAACAGAATTTAGAATTCCCATATCATACATGTATTACATGACAAAGTTAGAATATACAGAGTCAAGTGTTGGCCTGTATTAAACAAAATTTTATTTTCAAAAATATCCTAATTTTTTCCCCTTGTCACTTTCTTTACATATAAATTAAAGATTTCTATGTGAAATATAATTTTGTTCTGCTTGCAGTTTTTCGCTGATGCTGATGATGTTGATACATGGATGATGGACACATTCCGTCTTGTGTCCAGTGAGGACGTGGGACGTGATGAGGCCAGTGTACAGTCCTTCCTCAAAAAACACAAGGTTAGTTCAACATACAGTATGTCTGCATTTAGTTAATTGAGTAGCTTTTGATACTAGAATATTGAAAGTTACTTACAGGCCTGAAGTCAAATGAATTTGTATGAACTGTTCATTCAAAATTAAAAGACAGAATACTAATTGTCAATTGACAAAATGATTCATAATTTGTGTGATATTTATTAACTGACTTAAATAATCTTGTTTTGCATGTTTTTCAAAGCATGGCTTTCTACTCAGATTAAAGAGCTTTGTTCATTTCATTAATCTCTTGTCAGCAATCAGCTCAATGCTCATTTTTCCTCATTAGATGTTATTAGAAGTGCATTTTACTTGAATTCTCATTTATTTTGAAATGTTTTTTTTATGTATGTGTATCTTCTATTTCTTCTTAATGCTAGTCAAATTTCGTTTTAAACCAGTTGTACCTACCTGAGAGTTACTGCTTTTCTAGTTGTTGATGCTTTATATGTGATGAATTCTAGGAGCATCTTATAGTATTAGGCATGGAAACACGTGATGATGGCCATGTGAGTGATAGATAAAGGGCCTCAAGGCAAATCAAATGTTTGTTGTGTTGTGGAGTTTCTTTTGTTTTAGTTTTTGTTTTACTTTAATTATTTCATATCTTTTTAGTTTGGTTTGCATTTGCAGTTTTAATCTTTAACATATGTCACTCAAAACTAACCCATTGTGACTGAGATATACTGCTGAACAGTTTCTCAACTAAATGGTAATGCTGTGATAAGTACAGGCTTGGGGAGGGGCATGGCTCAATCTTACAAAGGTTGACATTTTCAAACAAAAAACAGTCCTTCTTTAGGTTTATGTATTTTCTTTCCCAAGCCTGTAAATGATGTTTCCTAATCAGAATTGAAATCATTCTACCATGTATTTTAATTAAACACATGTGTTTAATTGTTCACAGGGTACATAACATAATGTGTACAATATCCAATGTACATCTCACTTGATTTATATTGATCCTCATTTCTTCATCACGTCTTTTGTATGTTTCTAAGTATATCACATCTAGCATTGTGTTACTTTATATTTATTCCATTAATTTTTCTTAAATTCAATTTAAATTAAAAAATAAAATTTGTTGTATGATAACAAGTTGACCTACAAATGAATCGAATTATTATTAATTTCAGAAATCATGAATTTTGAGATAAATCCCAATTATGTGAAATACACCTACTTGTATGCACTTTATTGTATTGTGACATAATCTCTTTATTGTATTGTGACATAATCTCTTTATTGTATTGTGACATAATCTTCAATTTGCATATATTCTCAATAGGATGTAACTGAGGAACTGAACAACTACCAGAGTGTCATAACTGCACTTAATGAGCAGGCACAGAACCTTGGAGAGACTGATCGTGATTCTCCTGAGGTTCAAGGTCGTCTAGGGGGCATAGACAGACGCTACCAGGAGCTCCTTAGCCTGGCTACTCTGAGGAAACAACGTCTCCTGGATGCCCTCTCCCTCTATAAACTATTCAATGAGGCTGATGATGTCGAACACTGGATGCGAGAAAAGGTATGATTTGTGAACAATGATCAGAGGTTATATCAATTAAAAGATATTGTTAAAAATAATACTGTATGTGGTATAGGATTAGGTGATATGTATACTAACTAGAAGATATGCAGAAATACAATCAAAAATATTAGAATAGTAGATTGGTTCTTTATATTATGATATTGTTAATTGTGCATTTAAGGAAAAAGTGTTGGACACAATGGAACCCTCAGATGACATTGAGGACTGTGAGGTGCTCAGGCAGAGGTTCCTTACACTTGACCAGGAGATGAGTGCCAATGCCTCCAAGGTTGACACTGTCAATCAATTGGCCAGACAACTCATTCAGGTATACAATTCTTATTCACTTGTGTTCCCATGGCATTTTGCTCATGTATATTTGGATATTCACTTGGTGTATCAAAGTCCATTACTCTATTGAAACTTAAAAACATTAATAGAAATCATAAACTTAGGTAGTGTACACCGCAATATAATAAATAACTCCCAAACATTTACCTTTATCTGTAATATAACAATAAAACACCATTTCTATTGTTATACAGGTGGAGCACCCTAACTCAGACCAGGTCCTTGATCGCCAGAATGGCCTCAATGAACGCTGGAAAGCCCTACAAGAGAAGATCAAACAGAAACGTGATGAGCTAGATATTGCTTACCGTAACCAGATGTTCATTATTGAGTGTGAAGAAACCACTGTAAGTTGAAGTGTTGTGTGACATTTCCAGATCAGATTATTTTCCAAGATGCCCCATCAGACCTCAAATCAACAATATTTTTGAATTGTGTTAAAATTGTGAAATTTCACTCATGAAGTGGCATTTTCCTTAATAGTATGCCATCTGCAGGAAGGTCTTAACATGTGAAATCAAACTAATTGTGAATGGTTTACCCTCTTTTATTGTTTGAAGCAAGACATTAACCTGAAACATTAATGACAAAAATGTTGTATATTGATGACATGTAACTTCAGACATGGATCATAGAGAAGAAGAAGCTTGTTGAGTCCACAGATGAACTAGGTAGTGACCTTGGTAGTGTCATGGTGCTCCAGCGTCGTCTCAGTGGCATGGAACGTGACCTGGCAGCCATACAGAGCAAGCTGGACACTCTCAACCAAGAGGCTGATAAGCTCGAAGTTGAGAAACCAGAGGAGGCTGTGAAAGTACGACAACAGGTCACTGAACTCACTGTTGTGTGGGCTCAGCTTAAAGACATGGTAAGTGACTATTACTGTGCTCCCATATTTCAGACTTTCAGTTATACATGTTCTTTGTCAGATATATTCATTGACACATTGTTATGTAGCTCTTTTAGTTTATAATGATATCTTAAGTTTACTTGTCCACCCAAGCTGTAAAATTTAAACAAGAGCTTGCAAACATAGATATCATTAAAATATGTTTTCTAGCTGAAAGAGCGAGATGAAAAACTTGGTGAGGCTGGTGATCTGCAGAAATTCTTGCAAGATTTGGATCACTTCCAATCATGGCTGTCACGTACACAGACCACCATCGCCAGTGAGGACCATCCCTCTAGCCTGGCTGAGGCAGAGAAGCTCCTTAACCAGCATGCTCAGCTGAAGGAGGAGATGGACCAGTTTGCACCAGAGTATGCTCGTTTGAAGGAGTATGGAAGCAAGGTGATTGAGGGACAAGATGAGGATCCACAGTACATCTTCCTTGGACAGGTAAAACATATTGACAGTTCAACATAACATAATAACAAATGCAAGAAATATAACATCCGGTCAAGCTATTTAATTATATTAAGATGAGCATCTCTGCCATTAATTAACGAGGACTCAAAAACAGAAAATTTGATTTTGTAGGATCTTTGTGTAACAAAGAAAATGGCTTCAATTTCAAGGTAATGATAACCAGATGCAACTACTTCCATTGTAAATGTTTTATGTTCATAGCGCCTTGAGGCATTGGATGATGGTTGGGTAGAGGTATACCAGATGTGGGAGAGTAGACAGAACTTGTTGTCCCAGAGCCTCAACCTACAGGTGTTCCTCAGAGATTCCACCCAAGCTGAGGTCCTTCTCAACCAACAAGATCACTTCCTATCAAAGGAAGAAGTACCCGTAAGTATAAATATATTGTTTCTTACTCTAAATTCTGTCAAAAACAGGGGTATTTGGTATTTTTTAGACATTTTGATACATTCATTATGATTATTCATTCTTGGTGCTGGGAAGAGTTACATTAGTTTCTTATGATAATGTTTTTTCAGGCTTTTTTAAAACATTATACAGATGTTCTATTGATTTTTTACATTTAAAATTTATTTTCTATTGATGGTGTATAGATCAGTGTAGTATCAATAGAATATTCAAGATTTATCAGAGGAGCATTATATTGAGCATGGATAGGACATTTCGAGAATTCTTGGAACTGAATTTTTCAAAAAAGTGTCAATTTAAATAGCCTCGTGGACACTTTAAAATACAGCTGATTATGCCTTAGGTTATTTTTCAGAAATATATTTAACTTATTTATTATGATATGAGGGCATGCTTTATCAGTCTGGGAGAAATGTACAATTTGTGTGTTTCTCCTAAGCTTCATCATGGATTGATGTCAATATATTGGCTTTATTATGGATTGATGTTAATATATTGGCTTCATCATGGATTGATGTCAATATATTGGATTGCATGACCAGATGTTGTCTAATATTATCATGTCATATTTCAGGAAATAATCAAATAATCATACTAATTTAAAAGCTACAATCTAATCTAACCAAGTGTGATACACTGGATAGCCATTCAACTCAGTCCATTTGAAATGAGAAAACGTCAAACATGTTTTCTGTTCACCCGAGTTTTTGTTCCAATTTTCTGCCCCCTTTTCAGCCCTCCTCCATCTCAAGTTTTCCCTGTATGTATATGTATCCTCCGTTCTCTTATACTATTTTACAAATCAATGAATGCCCCAACCCATGAACTGTTATTCATAAGCAGTGAAACATAGACATAGTAGAATAGGCTAGCTATAGCTAGATATCACTTAACTGTCATGCTTGTATTGACAGACGACGCCAATTAGCGACAAACAGGTGACGTACAGATTTGGAGGGGTATGTTATATGTATTCCTGTTGCAATTCAAACATATTTAAAATCTACCAGATTTTCTCCATTATTTATATTCCTTGATTTTTGTAGTTTGTGTCTCATTGTTCATTTCTAACATTCATAAATCATTCATGAATCATTTTTTAAATTCATGCCTTATCTGATATTTTTCCTATTACATTTCCTGACACATTTTGGCATTGAGACTACCACACAGCATTTAGATTTGAGACTGTCACATGTTTAGCTAACAGGAATTCTATAGCACACCACATTTACATAATTGTAGTGAATCAGTTCAGTTCTCCCTTTGGCATCACCATTCTTGTTGTAACAAACCTCATATCAAACTTGGCAAAGCATTTCATGAATATTAAAGTATTTCCCTTGAGGGATTGCTATGAATAGGACTCCGATACGATGAGGTTGTTGAAATTAGATTAATTATTCATTGCACAAGATACATGTATATGGAATATTTGCCAGGGTTGTGTGTGCATGCTAGCCACTTATGATAACAAATATATCAATTGTTATGTCCTTAGAATAGGATCCTATAGTTTGTATAGTGCAGAGGATGCAGTCATATGTGCACGTCACAGCATCTTACTGGTGATATAGTGAACTCTGCCTTCATCTAGCTAATTGAGGTAGCTGCTGTTATATATGCTCCCAAGTTTACATAGATCTTTCCTAATGTATTGTATGTACAGTTACTTGCGCAAAATACAAAATGTGGAAGAGTCCCACTTTAAGCATGGAGAATATGAGAAACAATGCGCTTAGTGCTGGAGTTGTACATGTTTGAGGACTGAGGTTCTATATGCTCCTATCATTGAATGAATATGCCATCTCTGTCATGATATTTCCACCCACTGTAGTTTCATGTGCTGGATTGTCTTTTGTGCCATGTATTGTCCATGTAAAGTCACTCATTTTGCAGTTAAGATAAAACATTTTAGTTGAAATCATGAGTTTTCAATCATTTCTATTTCTTGATTTATAATAAATCACAAAACTCAAGGTTTCAACTCATTATATTTCTTTTTAGAATGTTTCACTTTTATAGATGAATTTCTGTAACTTCCATGCTTTATTCATTGTTCTTGTGCTCAGTAGCATGCAGCATGTTTCAAATCCAGTTCACTTGTCAAATTCTCTCTGTCTAGTTTCATTCTGGTCATGTTCAATACAAAATATGACCAGATTGAAATTCTTTTGACAGGATCATATTGCTACATGCTATATTAAATACAGTAATACTAATTCAAATTGTATAATTTAAGTCACTCCCTGAAATAATGGTAAACACTTCCATGTGATATGTATTGCTTGAATAACATTTAATGATATAACGACGTTGTACTAAAGCATCTTATTGAAACAATCTAATGGCAAAGAATACTAATATTGTATTTCATGTTGCATTCAGGGAGATCATTTACTTCTCAGGGGTCATTTCTTGAAATACCTAAATTTTGTTTTCTTCTTTTGCCCCAGAAGAGGAGTAGCCATTTTTGTGTGGGATCAAAGGGCCTTGGCTGAAAGCATTGCCAACCCCCAGGAGCGGCCATTAGAAGCCCAGGCAGATGCGTTACTTTAGCAGTATCATGAAATATTATTAGAATTCAGGATGCTTTTGAGAAGTGGCCTCCAGAATTAGTTTGACAATATATACTCTGAGATCACCCTGCATACTTGTTTGTGGAATGAAATAAACTTTGCCAATAGATTGAAAGCAGTTGAATAGAAAGAACAAGCACTGATTGTGTACCTTTTTTGTTAACAGCAATCTTTAGAAGATGCAGAAAACAAGATCAAACGTCATGAAGCATTTATCACAACTATGGATGCCAATGATGAGAAAGTCAATGCAACTGTTGCTTTCGCTTCTCGCCTTCAAGATGAGAACCATTTCGCCAAGGACAAGATCCAACGTCAGTCAGAGAACATTGTAGAGCGCCGTAATGTGAACAGAACACGTGCCTACGAGACCCTTGAGAGACTGAAGGATGCCCTGACTCTGCAGCAATTCCTCCAAGAGTGTGATGAGGTAAGCCAGTCTCTCTATTGTATACTTAGACTGAAAATATGCAAAATATTTAAGATAACCAGAAAAATGGAAAAAACAGAGACAAATTGTAAGTTCAGTTATCATGAGTAGGTAAATGTACGTATCATGTACCAGTGTTGGTGCTATTTCTTAACTGTACATCTATTATATTATCATATATATGCCAATGTGTATTAGGATGATTATTTATATTAGTTGCATATACTTTAGTTACTTCTGTATTGTAGTTGGGTGATTGGGTGTCAGACAAGATCTTGGCTTCACAAGATGAGACCTACCGCGATGCTAAAAATCTCCACAGCAAGTATGTACGTCACCAAGCCTTCGAGTCTGAGATACAATCCAACAAAGACAGACTCTACAAACTACAACAGGTAAAACCAGCTGCTTTTATTCAGTATTTAGCATTGATCTAAGTCCTCTCTAGTATAAAAAAATTAGGTGAAAAAATCATGGCATTTTGATTTTTGATCTTCTTTATTTACATCATTCATCAAAAGTTTAAAAAAGGTAATTTTGTTCCCATTAAACTCTCATATTTTATGAAATACAAAGCATTTAAACCAGTTATATAAGCAAAATTCTAAAGTGAATGGATATTTTAATTTATGTTTAGGATGCTGAGAATCTCTTGAGGGAGAAACCAGAAATGGCAGAGCAGGTCCAACCACGATTAGATGAACTCCGTCGACAGTGGGAGGAGCTAGAATCACACAGCAATGAGAAAGGAGAGAAACTTTTCGATGCCAATCGTGCGGTGATCTATGAACAGAGCTGTGATGATGTTGATGGATGGATAAATGAACTAGAAAAACAAATAATTAAGACAGAAGAAGGCCATGATTTGACAACAGTTAATTTGTTAATACAGAACCAAAATGTAAGTTTAATATAAAAATGAGTGGCAAATATGGATTTAAAAGAAGTTTGGCACCACATGTCATGGATAACATTAACAGTATCTTGCTATATCTAATATTCAATGAATATTCAGTTTATCCCAAAACTAGACTTTGAAACCATTAATGCTTTTTCATAATTGATTTTATGTGTATTCAGACTATAGAAACTCAAATGAAGATCAAGGAACAACAAGTACAAGAGCTCCAATCTCAATCAACAAAACTAAAGGAACTCGACCCTGGTAAAGAGCAAGAAATAGAAAGCAAGAGGGTCCAAGTGGAAGAAAGGTAATCTTGTGCTAACAAATGTATAGGTGAAATAACTAATATGCTGAACAACAGAGCATATATAGCATGATTGACCCATAGAGACTATTCACTGCTGGCATATTTAGCTTGTAACATAATTTTACATCTATTCATTTGGGACATTCTTCAGGCACCTTATGTTTTGATTGCTCTATATTTCTAGGTTCCAGAAGATCTTAGGTCCTATCCAAGAAAGACGAACTGGAATTCTTCGCCAGAAACGTGTTCACCAATTCCGTCGTGATATTGAGGATGAACAACTTTGGATTGCCGAAAAAATGCCACAGGCAACTTCTACAGACTATGGCAACAGTTTATTGAGCAACCAAATGTTAATAAAGAAAAATCGCTCATTGTCAAATGAAATTAATGGGCATGAGCCACGTATTGATAGTGTATGTGATGCAGGCCGAGAGATGATTGATGAGGGACATCCACGTGCAAATGAATTCCAGGAACAAATAGAGGACCTCTTGAACAGATGGGATGAACTCCTTGCAGCAGTTGAGGCTAGAAAAAAGAGGCTGGAACTTTCTGAGACAGCACAACAGGTATTAACCATACATCCATGAATGTACACTTTAAATAATATGAACACTTCAAAAAATTCAGACTAAAACAGTGATAGATGACAACATTGTAATATTATTCTTGAGAAAAGCAAAATAAACCAGGTAGTTGTGCATAATGTAACAATGCAAAAATGGTGAAAGAGTGATACAATATTTATTGTACATGAAAATTCTATTCTTTTCAGTATTATTTCGATGCGTCAGAGGCTGAAGCCTGGATGAGTGAACAAGAGTTGTACATGATGGGAGAGGACAGAACCAAGGATGAGAATGGAGCCAACAATATGTTAAAGAAACACCATGCTCTAGAAAAAACTGTAGAAGATTACGCTGATACAGTAAGAGAACTGGGAGATCGCTCCAGAGAATTAATAGAATCTGAACACCCAGAAAGGTATGTAGCATTTAAAAGGAATTTATATATAAAGATTAAGGATAAATTAATGATATGTATTTGTAAAACCTTCAAAAAAAATCTATGTTTATGATGTTTTCTAGCCTTAAAGTGTGGCCCTATACTGTTCCAGTATATACAGTATATTTTACTGTCACTGTTACAAGTCATGTAAAGGAATACATTACAAATAAATATAGTATGCATTGTTATAATTCATCCAAATGAGCCTTGAGAAATCTGCAACACTTATTCTTATATCTTCTGCATCTCTTACAGTGACCAAATTAGTGTTCGCCAATCCAAGGTAGATAAACTCTATGCCAGTTTGAAAGATCTGTCAGGTGAGAGACGAGGCAAACTAGATGAGATTCTTCGACTGTTCCAACTTAACCGTGAAATCGACGATCTTGAACAATGGATCGCAGAACGTGAAGCTGTGGCTGGGGCACATGAACTTGGCCAAGACTACGAGCATGTTTGTGTAAGTCAAACAATAAATGGAAACCCTACATATTGTATATGGCATGATAGGATATGCAGCTTTTTCTATAACTATAAAATACCAGTAGAATCACCGTTCATTTATCATTTCACCTTTGGTCAATTGTGTGTTAAGAGCCTACATGCTTGTTACAGATGCTTCGAGACCGATTCCGTGAATTTGCCCGGGACACACAAAACATTGGAGAAGAACGTGTTGCACAAGCCAATGAGATCTGTGACCAGCTCATCCAATCAGGTCACTCAGACTCTGCAACAATTGCGGAATGGAAGGATCAGATCAATGAGGCATGGTCAGACCTGTTGGAGCTGATCGACACCCGTACACAAGCCCTGCTTGCATCCTGGGAGTTGTTCAAGTTCTACCAGGATTGTAAGGACACTCTTGAGAGAATACATGAAAAACAAAATGCAATTCCTGAAGAGTTGGGCCGTGATGCACAAAGTGTGAAGGCCCTCGAGAGAAAGCATGAGAACTTTGAGAGGGACCTTGTAACACTTGGAACTCAGGTAGGTTATGTTTTAGCCCTCTAAATATATGTATGAATATGTATCATTCAATCACACTTAATTCTCATTTGATGTACTGCAGAAGTGAAAGAAATGGTAACATTTCAGGTCAAACATTACGATTCGATCATCAAAAAATATTACATACTTGTATTTTTTATCTATTTGTTACTACTTGTTGTCTTCATATAAATATCAGTCTAGTGCAAAGTGCAGAGAAAAGGAAAACTAGTTTATTGGCCAATTTAAATGAATGAAGGGATCATCTCAAGTTGAGGTATTTCTTGGTGGCTGTGTGTTAGACTGACATATTTTGCAAACTTGATCCAGGTGCAGTGTATCTTTGAGAGAGTAGAGAGGTACCCTGATAATGTTGAGCTGTTGGGCATCAGGCCTGCTGCTGTATCTCTCCAGAACACATCCCAAATGTCAAGCCTAGAGACTGTATATGTAATACATACTCATCATCTACAGCTGTGTTGTTCATGTTCTCTGTTATCATGTTTTAGTTAAAGGATCTCAAAGAATCACTCTAGCATCTTAATATGGTCTCAATTTGAGAACTTGAATTCAGATTTGGATGCATGAGCGATTTTGTTCATATTTGGTATGTGAATACTATAAACATTGCACACTATCTAAAGACACTTTTGGTAGAAGGTGGCCATTTTAAAAAATGGCCGCCATTTTGAAAAATGGCCGCCATTTTAACCTATTTTACTATAACTCGAAAAGTAGTGAAGCGATTTTGTTCATATTTGGTATGTGAATACTATAAGGATGGCACACTGTCTAATGACACTTTTGGTAGAAGGCGACAATTTTTCAAAATGGCCGCCATTTTAACGTATTTTACTATCACTCGAAAAGTAGTGGAGCGATTTTGTTCCTATTGGTATGTGAATACTAAAAGCATGACACACTATCCTATGACACTTTTGGTAGAAGGTGGCCATTTTGAAAAATGGCCCCACGTATTTTACTATAACTTGAAAAGTAGTTCAGCGATTTTGTTCATATTTGGTATGTGAATACTATAAGTATGGCAAATGGTCTAATGACACTTTTGGTAGAAGGCGGACATTTTGAAAAATGCCTGCCATTTTTGCTATATACTTTGTTTGTTAAAATGCCATCCATGGCTGTTCGATGGGATTCGCTACGCTTTGGCGTTGCCGTTGTTCTGGTTGATTTTGATGTGTTTCATTTTATTAGGTTGATTGGAAGTCTCCACAGAATTTAATGTTTATATAACATGTTTCAACCCTTTTGATGAATGTCTGGAATTGCCTTAGACTTGTGGATGACTGTGCTACAATGTATCTGCTATATTATTTTAGGTTCAACAAGTACAAGAGGATTCTGCTAAGCTAGTTGTGGCTTACTCTGGTGACAAGGCTTCAGAAATACGCCAGAGAGAGGCAGAGGTCCTAAACGCATGGCGCAACCTACAGGTGAGATAATCTGTTCACATCTTGTGTCTCAGTGTCTTGGGATTTCACAGTACATGTAGGTTGTTTCTCATTGCTCATAAAGAAAGATTGCTTCTGGTACCTGTCTAGTATATAGTAGATAAAAACTTTTGATTTATTGACATTTAAACATCCAGTCTTTAATTTCCATTTTGCTTTAAAAGTCACTCATTGTATGGGATGCATTAATTCATTGATTCGATTAAATACAGCAAAAGAAATAATGAACAACAAAAATATTAAATATATTTTTAAAGAATACTGATTTCATGTTTGTATTAAAATGATCTAAAAATGTTCATATTGCATGTTTTAGGTAATGTGTGAAGCACGTAAGTTCAAGCTACATGATACCAATGATCTGTACAGATTCTTCAACATGGTCAGAGACCTCCTACTCTGGATGGATGACATCACCAGGCAGATGAATACTCAAGAAAAACCAAGGTAACCAGCATAAACTGATAGAACCAAACACTTAATAAATGTTCATTTCTAAAATGTTAAATTGTTGTTTTTTCCAAAAGAAAAATTAATTTGAAAAATCAAATGCAAGAAGGGTCAATACAACTCACGTGGGATTTGTTTTGCTCATCGTATAGGAAAAGTAGTACTTAATACACTAGTTCGCTACTTTGTAGATGTATGGCACGTATATGTGTACATGTATTGGCAATTAATGTTTGGTGATAGCTAGTAGGAGTGTCAGGGACCGCTGACAGATTATTATTTTGAACCAAAAAATTGAATTATATTTTTGGCGGTCTCAGTAAATCAATGGGGTAGTCAGGTCCTACGTGCTTTTTACAGGCCCAGAAATCAATGCTCACTTATAAATGTAGCAAAATCTTTTTTCGTTCGTGGGATATTTTTTTCACCATATAACCGAACGGGAAGATTTTGAATAGGACTACATGATCTGAATGGATGAGAGGATTCGATGGGCTGGGATTTGAGAAATTATGATTTGAACTTTGCCAATTTTACATGTATTCCAATGAGTGAAAAAGTAAGTTGCTTTCTACCTAATATGAACCACATTTATTAGTGAATTTCGAGAAATATGTCGAATTTAGCCATATTTCGCATATCTTTTTATGGAACTATTTAAAGTTTTGCAAATTAACCCCTTAAATTCTGGAGACGACGATCTAAATTTTGCTGAGTCAGCAATTTTCGTTTTTTCATTGAAAACAGTACTTTTCAGCCTAAATTGCTACATTTCTGCTCTCTTATCAAGTAATTTGATGCAGTTCTTGCCAAATTAAAGAAAACATACCCCAAACGTTCCACAGTGTGCGAAGTTCCAACATTTTGACCCTTTAAACCCACGAAAGACCCAATTTTAAAGGGACGTATTCAGTAAACCTGCACAAAAGACAATGCTACTTGAACTAGCCATCAGAAGTTCATGAAAAACGAAAAATCAATGATGTTCAGTTTAGTAAAGTAGCAAATAGTCCTACTTATGAGAGAATATAAATCACTTAAGCAATTTGTACAACTTTAAACAGCTGTTTTAAGTAGATTAGTATCGTTATGGGCAAAAATCCCCCAAAATAGCGCAAAATTTGTCCAAAAATTCAAATTTTTCATGCCCAAGGCTGAATTATTTTGCCTATTTTGCTACATTTATCAGTGCAGTGACAAGAAGTCTTGTGGATAGCGCAACTTTTCCTGAACGTTTCTCTAATAAGATATTTTAATGACAAAATAACTACATTTAGTCTGGAATAAATTGTCACAAAATATAATGACCCCAGGGGTCAAGAGAACCCTATAAAATCAAAAGTGCTGAGAGGATTTGAGCAAAAATGTACATATCACTTCATAAAACCCCGAACTTTAAAATTCATATTGAACAAAATGCATATTCAGTCAACCATGACACTAATAGGGTCAATACAACTCACGTGGGATTTGTTTTGCTCATCGTATAGGAAAAGTAGTACTTAATACACTAGTTCGCTACTTTGTAGATGTATGGCACGTATATGTGTACATGTATTGGCAATTAATGTTTGGTGATAGCTAGTAGGAGTGTCAGGGACCGCTGACAGATTATTATTTTGAACCAAAAAATTGAATTATATTTTTGGCGGTCTCAGTAAATCAATGGGGTAGTCAGGTCCTACGTGCTTTTTACAGGCCCAGAAATCAATGCTCACTTATAAATGTAGCAAAATCTTTTTTCGTTCGTGGGATATTTTTTTCACCATATAACCGAACGGGAAGATTTTGAATAGGACTACATGATCTGAATGGATGAGAGGATTCGATGGGCTGGGATTTGAGAAATTATGATTTGAACTTTGCCAATTTTACATGTATTCCAATGAGTGAAAAAGTAAGTTGCTTTCTACCGAAGTGGAAATCTTGATGGGGAGAAATTGATTTTGTTTGATGTTCTGCTGTAATATTTCAGAGATGTGTCTGGTGTTGAGCTGTTAATGAACAACCACCAGAGCCTGAAGGCTGAGGTAGATGCCAGAGAAGAAAACTTTGCCATATGTAATAACCTGGGTAAGGACCTGCTACTGAGGAAGCATTACAGGTCCCCTGAGGTGAGAAATATGTTTCACATGATGTAATTTCAAGTAAATAGATTCGGAGTCTCATTTGTCTTTGAGGAGAAATCTTGCTAATTAAGAAGTATGGCAAAAGAAATAACTGGAAAGACCAACAATATTTTTCATCTCTAAATTCAACAAACTTTCAATTCTGTAATTTTTTATAATCTACGAGTTTACAACAAATTGATAAAAATTGCATTACGAATTGGAATTTTGGCTGAAAACTATTTATTCTATAGTATTATTTTCTAAAATGTTCATTTTCTGTTTTTGAAGGTACGAGACAAGTTGATCTCACTTGCCATGCAGCGTGGAGTCATGATGGAACAGTGGGAAGATGGTTGGGAACATTTGCGTCTCATCCTGGAAGTGTACCAGTTTGCCAGAGATGCCAGTGTAGCAGAGTCGTGGCTCATGGCACATGAACCTTACCTGGTTAACTCAGATTTAGGAGACAACTTGGATGCTGTTGAACTGTTGATCAAGAAACATGAAGCATTTGAGAAATCAGCAGCAACACAAGAAGAAAGATTTACCTTATTAGAAAGACTAACCAATGTAAGTGCAGTTAAAGATCATTCCAAACAGTAGAACTTTACTGAATCCGACATTTTCTTTCCTTCCTGAAATATTACCAAAATTCTGTTTGAATATTGTTGATTTATTTCAAGTGATAATATAAACTTACAACATATTGGAGCATTTATTTAAAATATTTTACCTTTCTCGTATATGCTTTCAATATGCATATGATAACGTAGATATTCCTTTGTAGATGTAGTTTAGTGTAGTTTTAGCGAGTTGTTGTAACCACTATAATCATGTTATGGTACAATATCATGTCAATAAAAGTTATGTATGTACATATATATTTGTAGTTTGAGTTGAAGGAACTTGACAAGGAACAACAAGCCATATTCCTGAGTGAGCACCCAGAGTCTAATGCCCAACTGGACCAACAGAAGATGAGCAGGAGGATGAGGTACATGCCTGATCTGCCTCCAGAGGAACCAGAAAAGTAAGTCAGTTGTTAAAATGAAACAATATGTATCTACTATATGTATCAATGAAATCATTGTTCTATACAATATGGTATTTCTCTATTTAATAGTCAGTTGCAATATCAATTTAGAATTCAGTATCAGTTCAAGCCTCCCAGAAATATTTACGGCGTATATATTGTCCAAGAAAGCTTATGTATAGTGTGTTGCTCATTGTTTGCAGGCCCCCTACCCCTGAACCTGTTGTGGAAGTTGCAGCTGAGGTTGCCCCAGAAGAGGAGAAGCCAGTAGAAGCCCAGGCAGAGGCTGAGGAGCTACAAGCTGCTGCAGCAGGTAAGATAACCAACTCTATCCCACCTGGATTCACCTACCTGGCCACCTTAAACTGTGGCACGGACAAACCCAGGCCATGGGGAACAAATGTTTGTTTCTCAACATGTTTATATGTTGATATGGCCTTGTTTTATGATTGCACTTTAGTTTTTACAGTAGTTATAGATTTTTGTTAGATTTATTGTATGTGTTTCGTTGGTTTCTATTAGCACATTAATGTACACCAAAGATTTATTCAGAATCTGATATTTCTGCATGCTCGTCAGCAGTTGCATCTGAATATAGTCTAACTTACATTAATATTTCAGTTATTTTGTGTGTGTTTTTTCATTTTTTGGTTTTTTGCTTGCACTTATATAGATTAATATATATTGTGATATATGCTGTATGCCGCACATGTTGTATATAGTTATAGTTTTAATACCATAGTACTTGATCATTTAATGCAACACCCAAAAACATTGCCACAAATGAATTTATTACCCCATGTGAATACATACATGCCTTAAATTGAGCAGTTTCTTTGGGTTAAGCATTAGGCTGTTAATACCATAGATTGTTAAGTTTCATTTTTGCTGATTTTGAATTGTTGATATTAATATAACCAAATTGCAGGAATGAAATGAAACAATGTGAACTTTATGCATTTGATATTTCTGGGATCTGTGCAAGTTCTCAATATTGAGTCAATGTGTAGATGCTTATGTTCCAAGCAGCATTGTGATATATAGCCAAAGCATACATACATATGAATGTATACAAAATTAATTATATTCAGCTTCAAACTGAGTGAGTGCAAAAGCTTTGTATATTTGAAATATATAAATTACAGTATTTCACAGGTCTATATTTCATTTCTAATATTGATGTGAAAAGATAACATATTCTATAATATTGATAACTTACAGAATCCCCAATATATTGTGTTGCACTAAACCTTTCACTGATTTATAATAGCCCCACCTATAATACAAGTTACCCCAGTAGAACAATCTCCTTCACAGCCACCTGGTAAGTGAGCTCATTTGCATAATTTATGAACAGATAAACCTGTATATTGTAAACACCTTCTGTCTTTGTTATGCATGTTCAGGGTTAAGATTATCCAGTTAGTGTCATGGAAGATATTCACTTAAGAGGAAGAGGCATTCACCATTGTGTGAAGATGTTTACAAAGATAGGTTTACTGTACTTCATTAACATAAATTATGTGCATTGAGATGGGTTATATGCAAATAAAGCTTTTTCCACATGCATTCAATTGTTAACTCTGCGTGGCTTCGTAGATAATTATCCAGCTATTACCTTAGGCTCAGTGATCAAATCAAAAGTGAAACATGTTGGGATGGTCTATTTGAGAAGGTTCTGTTGGAAAACAAACTGTACATGATTGAAGGTACCAAGTACTGGGAGTACATTTCAAGACCGGTGTCCTTTAGGGATTGAACTTCCCCTGTTGCCTATAGTACATGTAGTGTGGGTTTGGTGTGCAGTGGATTATTCCTGATATGGCCAACCCTTCCATGTAGGAAGCTGTCATTTAGATGGTGTAGATTGTGGTTAGCTGGTCACATTGCATCATTGGTTAAGATTTACTATGTTGGTCTTTGTTAATTCTGCTTGATCCTAGTTAATACCAGAGTTCTTTCAATCCCAGGATTCCCTTGATGGCACTGGTGTATTCTGGGATTGAATGCTTACATTAAGGGTGATGTGATTAGCATGATAGCATGTAGAAAACTAGATGCATAATTACGGATTCAAAATATAATAAATAACAGTTTTTCTTTCATGAGTAGCTCAATAAAGATTTTCCTAAACAACTTCAGTCAAAATGTTGATATCACGTTCTTTGACTAGATTGTGGAAATAGTTTAAATCACCCTCAGTGTAAATTACAACACACTAAAATGCCATCTCTGCACAAGATGTAAAACTGCATTGCATGATTTTCTCAGCCAGAATGGAATTGAAGAGCTTCAAGGCCGCTAAGTTTCTTTCATAGGCCTACATTTCCCAATCTGGTCTTAAATGCACAGCTATTTAATCTAAAAACAGATCTTAGTATAAACCTAGAGCAAAGAGGATATCTTTGATAAAGAATTCTCAAAGGTCCACTGGATCTGGTCCTGTACTCCTTGCACATACATGTACATCTCTTCTTGAGACATGTTGTCTTATAGAACCCTCTGGCCATTCTGCTACTATCTCTCAAATGTTGCACCAACTATTTTCCTGCTTACATTACTTCTGAAATGTGAGGTTGGTGATGTTGTATATGCAAGGACCTACAAATTTATGCTTTGCCAGCTCACTCAACTTCTCACTACTACCATGCTATGTATTTCCTATTAGGAGGCCAGCTCTACATAAAGGGACTTACAAGAACACCACCCAGTGGTAAACATCATGTTTGAGGGACCCTTAGATACCAGTGCTTGTCGCTTGAAGCAAGGGTGCTATCCAGAACTCATGGTCCAGTGAGTTTGCTTGTGGTATCATCAGCTCAATGAGGAGCATCACTTACATATGTGTAGCCCCTCGCATTAGCTATGATGTTAAGCACAGTGCAGTGAGGTCTGGATGGTACCTCTGTGAAGGCCCCTTAGATTTCAAATAAATGTTGGTTGTTGCTTTAAGACCCCTTAGGCTTCAAATGTGTATTGGTTGTTGCTTGAAGGCCCTTAGAATTCGATTGATACTCATTTTATGGTCCAGTGAACTGCAGATACCTGTGGGCTGCCTTGATGAAGCTTTTCAGATCTGATTATCCAGAATGCTCCTAGGAAATCCTTAGAACCATCTGGGTTTGTGTTCCAGAATCTGGATCAAGTTTTCTCCCTTCCAAGTTATGAAACAGCTTTGTGTTAAGCATGAGTTTATAAGATGCTCCATACTTAGGATACCATACCTAAACTGGAAGCAGAGGAGTATTAATGTGAGGTGTGAGCACCAATGAATGGCTCCGCCCCAAGTGTGACTTATTATGAGTTGTTAAAGTGAGTCCTGTCCGAATTAAACCATCTTATCTTATTACCTGTCTGCAGTCTACCAGATTGCCTAATATAATTTCCCTCATACATCTACCGTGCTTTACATATTCCTTCACATGTATTGAGCTTCTTTCACATTTTCCCAACTTAGGTGGTAGTTTTGGGTTTAAATGTTAATTCAGCTTCAACTCTAACATAATGCCTACTAAATATTGGAGGGTAGTCTAGTGCTCAGTATTTTATTGTTGATATTGTTGTAGTAATATAGATTTCAGTAATGTCTTTCATTTTATTGAGATCAGTTTTTATTTGCCTTAGACTGCATTTTCCCACATTTCCCCAACAAGTGATGATAGTAGGGGATTAGTGTGGCAAAGTGTAGTTGTTAGTATGCAAAGTGATTATATAATGTAAAATAACTTCAGATTAAACATTGTGGTATGTAAGGAGTAATATAGATGTGCTAATTATGAAGAAATAAAGTTGTATTCACCATTACATTCTCATAATTCATATGAACACCTAAAAAGAATAATAATGGTAAATATAGCTTCTAAAAATTAAAGTTACTAAAACTATTTAAGATACTGTTTTTTGGGTTAACTGAGTGTTTTATATTTCGTTATTAAAGCTTCTTTCTCTTGGTTATTAAGGTGTTGCCAATACTCTACACTTATGCTACTGTGAATGTAATATCTAATATTAATGAAAATGAAACATTTATCACTTCAAAATGTGATATAGCATTTCATTTTTGATACCCTATAATTTCTGAAACCCTTTTGGAACTTTCTGTAATTAAACTTTTAAACATCTGTTTATGAGTGAATATTTAGCTTTATCTAAATGACAGTATGTATATACTGTACTTTGAGAGGTTCCAATGGGGGTTTCAGTATTGGCCTATGTTGGTTTTGTCTAATATTGTGTGATTTCTCCAGCTCAAAGAGGCCCTAGTGGGTCTCCTGAGGCTGCTGCCCAGCCAGGAGAAGCCCCCAGTAAGTCTATCTATCCAGCTTGCAGTTCCATCATACATTACTTTACATAATCTTCTAGTCACTCCATACTATATGACTACTTTACATGATAGCTTAGCTATACTTCAAAAACAGCTTTGTTCAAATGACAATTACATAATGTATACCCAAAGTTCATTCATATTATAACTAGTATAGTTATATCAAGTCATATATTTGGAGTTGATTGTTTAAAGAGGGAGGGGGAAAGGGGTTACCATGGTTGTTTGATACAAACAGGTTTACACTTCAATGATGCATCATGGGAACTTCTTTCCTCCTTCATTTGCATGGATTTTTATATCAGTCATTGTCATTTTTGTCATTTTAGTAGTTTAGATGTTTTTATTATTTATTTTGATTTGTTAGCTTTTGATATTGTATTTTTTGTTTATACTTCTGCACATTATTAACATTTAACCATAACATCTCATATCAAACATATAACATGGGACATCAATTGGTCATTTTCTTGGAACACAAATCATACTCATCATATTCACAGCAGCCATTTCAAATAACATTTCTCACTTCAGCTTATATCATGAGAATGTTTCATACATCAATGCTCATGAAGAAACTTCATATATTACTAATTCTATCATGACAATTCTCTATTCAAAGCTCATGGCATAAACATGCATGTTGTTCACTGATTTGTATTCCATTATTTTCCAAGAAGGCTTCAATTTGATGTTCCTAATATACTAATTCAGTACACTGAGAAACATTGAACAGGTGGTGGGTATTTTACATTGTTGTGTATTAGACCTGTTCTAATTCATTTTCCACATTTTAAACAGAGAGAGAAAAGCCTGCTAAATCCTCCACCAAGAGTTTGGACAGGAAAACTAAAGGTAGAATAGTGTGACAGAAAAATATCAATTATATAAAATAATTAAAAAAGGTTATAATGGAAACTTCAATTTTAAACAATTATTTTTTTATTTTATTTTGTTTTATTTTGTAACTTTAGACACTAATACTGTATGAGAATATGCCATTGTATTAATATGAAATATTTCGGTATCATATAGATATTTTTTTGCATCTTTCACAAATACTACTCTCTGAATTCAGTTTTTTGGCCTTTGATATTGGATACATTGCACTCTTTTGAAGAGGATGGAATATGAATTTTATTCCAAGGGAAAATATGATATTTGCCAAGGAAAATATCATATTGACAGAGGGCAACAGCCTAGCGTCAATATGATATTTTCTGTGTCCAATTTAATATTTTCTCGAGGAAAAATTCATATTCCATTACAATCATCAATGTTTCTTACTTTAATGAACAAATAATAGAACAGTGATATAAGTCATTTTCCCTTCTACCAATAGTTGTATCAATTAGTTATATTATCCTCCTGAGACATATTGCAATGGTATAGTTTTCCTCCCATGAGCCCACTGCCTTACCTCCTTTGTTAATTCAAATATGATTTGATTGTAGCACCAGTGGAGGACCACGTAGAAGGAATCCTGGTCAGGAAACATGAATGGGAATCTACAGCTAAGAAGGCATCACACAGGTGAGTTGTCTCTGACTTGGCTCAAAGGTCAGCTTCCCTTGCTGGGCACTTTTGTATGAGGGATGCCAGTACTTTGTTACCTTTATATTAGTTAGTATTATTGTATGGTTTTGATTGAGGTATTTAGGTAAACTTTGGTGCCTTAAGTATAGCAAATTATCAGGTTTTATACATTCAAATAGTATAATATCTGGAATGCTCATTTTAAAATGATGATCTCTTGTGCTAAATTAGAATCTTGTTCAAATATGGCACTGGAAATATAACAGGAACATTTCCTCATTTGTATGCTGTAATATTATATGTTGTTGTATGCTAAGATTCTCAGTTAATTTAGATCATTGAACAAATATGTACTGTTTAATAAATAATAAAACTTTTGCTATTTTAGATCATGGGACAAACTATATGCTGTATTACATGGAAATTCTCTTGCCTTTTACAAGGATCAGAAACGTGCCAAGGCGGTAAGTGCTAAATATGTATGGGTTTATATAAGACTAGAATTATCATTTAAGATATTATCAGTAAAGATGTCTTGTCTCCAAATCAATTGGCTTGATCTACATTGTTGAAGATAGACAAAGTATTATCTTGTTGATTGATATGTATTTTTAGCACTGAATGGAGATGAGTGAAATTAACTAACATATTCAAAATGAAACCAAGTGTAAATCAAGTTACATTTCTAGTACAGTGTATGTTGCTTGTCATTTCACAATGATATTAAGGACTATATAGTACTACATGTATGTTTTGTGTGTATTGTAGGACCCCAACAGTCGCTACCATAATGAGCCTGCCATTGATCTAACTGGAGCCAGTTGTATGGTAGCAACAGGCTATACCAAACGACCACATGTCTTTAGGTTAAAACTTGACAATGGTGCTGAATACTTGTTCCAGTGCAAAGATAATGTAAGTCACATTATTCCACGTTTGTACTACATCTTCTTTCACCACTTTATTCCATGTTTCTACGACATATTTTTTTCACCACATTATTCCATGTTTCTACTACATATTTTTTCACCATATTATTCCATGTTTCTACTACATATTTTGCACCACATTATTCCATATTTCTACTACATATTTTTTCACCACATTATTCCATATTTCTACTACATATTTTTTCACCACATTATTCCATGTTTCTACTACATATTTTTCACCACATTATTCCATGTTTCTACTCCATATTTTTTCACCATATTATTCCATGTTTCTACTTCATATTTTGCACCACATTATTCCATATTTCTACTACATATTTTGCACCACATTATTCCATGTTTCTACTACATATTTTTTCACCACATTATTCCATGTTTCTACTTGCAGGAGGAGATGGACTCTTGGATACGCAAGATATCCGCAGCAGCTGGAGAAAGTAGCGGTGGAGCCTCACCTGAACGATCCCAGACCCTACCTTTAGATACATCCAAAAAAGAAGAACACAAAAAGAAGGGATTTTTTACAATAAAGAAATAGGACTTCTTAATAATATACCATAATACGACTCTTTAAGAGTCATTCTGGACTTGTACATTATTATAAAATTAGCTGATTGTCACTGTGCGTGAAGTTTGGGGTGAACAGGGATCAATATAACCTGATCTCGTGTGTGACCTTTCTCCTGGGGGGTCATCTCTCACCCAGTGTCTAGGTGCAATTTTTGTTTGTGTCATGATATTTAGATCTTGACCTGTGCTTATACTGTAATATTTTACACAGGTAGTAATAAGTTTTTATATTGTATTATTATTATGTTATTATAATGCTTTGATATCTGGAACCATATTGTATATATGGTATGCCAAGAGTGTGTCACTGCAAAGCGCACACTTGTACAATAAATGCCATAAATAACTTCTATTGTAGGTTAAGTTATAGAGTAGTTTATCCAATGCTTATAAAGCCTCTGATGTGACATGAACCTTGTGATTTTGTAGCATCGATGGTCTCAAATTCAAGCTTAGTTTTGTAGCTCCGTGATTAGAATGCACATTGTATATGCTTCATGATTAAAATGCATATATATGTTTATATGCTTCGTGATTAAAATGCATGTATATTTTAAGTGCAGCAAGAATTCAGCAATCCCCTCTTAAGTTGTAGATTAGACTAGCCATCACTGCCAGCAGACCCAATGTCATCCCAAGTTTCGCGCACATCGATAAATATAAGACAACTGAACATTACATTTATACCTTGTATGTATTATACTGTGATTCACCTTTCATGCTGTTTAGATGTAAGCCAGATCATTGAAACGTGTGACATTCTGAGAACCTCTCGACCCTAGAGCCTCAATTTTAATTCCCTCACTTGGTCACAGCGCCATCTATGCAACAAATGAGTCGCTTTATTTCAGTTGCCAAGAATTGGTAGCTGTTTTCAAAACTGGGTACTTATATATCTGAGGCTGTACAAAATTGATATGTTATCTAGACAATTTGGAATATAGGTAGATATGGTCTTAGTGTCTGTGAAACTTTGCGTTTTGTGGCCTAAGAGGTAAGTTTTGATACACCACCACCATGTTAACTTAGGCCATTGAAAATATTGTATTTCATCAAATATTTTTTAAATTAGTTAGAAGTGATGCTATAAGGCAGTACAAAGCGCATGTATAAAGAGGTCAAGGTTATTTGCTTTAATCAGGGTGTAGGCTTAGAATATGCGATCATACCCCTCTTCTCTGCCTCTTGTAGGGGCATTGTAAAATTGTAGATACATTTTACGCTATACGTATTTTATATTGATGTATTTTTATGTTTAGTGGATATCTGGTTATGAACATTATAGATACAGGAGTTGCATGTTGAGACTAATCATGGCCCTAAATGATACACATGTGAACAAAGGCTAGGGAAATGTCAGAACTAAATAAAACAGACAATAAACACCTAAATACTACTACTGACTTAGTTCTGTATTTTCATTAGAATCTATCATCTTTGCAGTTTTGGGAATGCAAAGTTTGGTTAATTCGAAGGGTCACAAATACAGCTTTTAAATGTCTCATATTATTTAGCATTGGCATTTCCCTAGCATCAGGCCTATTAAGACATAACTAATATAGAAACAATCATAATAAAACAAGCTTAAAGCTTAATGGTAATTTACAAAACAAACACATGTATATGCGTCAATTATATGGAACTTGAAAATCAAATGAAAATTGATTATTGTGACTGACTCTTGTAGATAAGGTGTAATCTAAGGTGAGCTGTTGTTTTAAGGTCTTCAACTACAAATCTGCTTGCAAATAATTTCACAATGGTCACAAGTTAATCATTATTAGGACACTTATAGACCAAAGCTGTTGATTTTGTAACATTTCACACTTTTAAGAATACAAAACCTCCAGGAAAATAGGTTCATTGTTATTGAATTGACATAATTTTATCATCTTGCTATTTAACGATTTGAAAGAATGGCCATTGTGAAAGTGTTTGAGATAATGAGAATATTGTGGGTCCTGCACTACTTTATGTAATACTACTTTACCAGGTGTATGTAATGTGGAAATCTTTGGAGGAACAGAATTAGTGAGTTGATCATATGCCTACAGTTCTACAACTACACGCTGCATGGATTGACTTCACAGATCTAATACATGTAATGAGACACTGGCTACTATAAAACAGCAATCAATCAATGTTGCATTTAGTCAAATAGCTTTAAAGGGTGGCTATTCAAAGACTGTTTTATCTCTAGACCCAGGGTGGGATTAAGTAGTTAACAGCAGCTTGTAATGTGAATTAGAAAAAGGAAGAGAAATTATGTCATATTTTATGATTCTGACAAGTCATAGTTTAGTGGCTCCTTTTCTTTTTGGCCAAATTTTGCCCAGAGTTTAGACCTTCCAATTCTGTTTTGTAATAAGCTTATTACTATACTATAATAAATATTACAAAACCATACAAGTAAGTTATGTTACATTATGATTGTTACCCATTGTGCTCTCTAGCCATATTTATCATAATTTCCTTTGCTACAAGTCAGACAGAGACACCAAGAGGGATTAGATATTGCAGTGTTCTATCTTGGGATTTTTCTCCACAATATAAATCCTAATTTCACCTGTTTTGCTTAAGTATCTCGATTTTACCCAACTGGTCACATGTGCAAACATATTTTCAAGAGTGGTTGCACCCGTATGCCCTAATGCTGGCGAGATCACTCTATTTGGCATGTTACAATCTCGTACATACAGGGTTACATCTCATGAAAAGCATTGTTCTACTCTATATCTATCACTGCAAGATTGTGTGAATTAATATTTGCCATCCCGTTACAATAAAAAGGACCATTTATATTAAGTATATTCAATTCATTTTATCTTCCCCCATCTATTGACAGTCCTAAAAACCATAACAGGAAATGAGCAATTTACTATTGCATGTTACAAAAAAACATTTGCAAAAGTGCATATGTATTAATTATTTAGGCACAGGATTGGTTCTTTGTGAAGTATATCACTAGTTTATTGTTGCTAACCATCCTTAATCAAGACTAGGTTTAGCCTAGTATCAAATAAACAATTAATATGAAGCATTGACTCCTGTTCTTAAATCCTTTTCACACAAGGCAAAGTGGATTTACAAGATGGTCCAGTAGTAATGTAGAGAAGATGTTGCCATTTTAATACAACTGGACCAATCTTTGTGAAACTTGGTTTAGATGTTCCCCAAACATTGAGTGTAAACCCCAACTATAAAGATTCTGACTGGTTGATTTTATGGTAACCTGATGTGAGGATGATGTGATGTCACCCAGGGAAAATCTTTTGTTTTAGTAGAAAATGGAATGAAAAATGACAATACATGTATTAATGTTAGTTTTAAACACTCTATTTTATTAAAATCATGTACATTTCATTGCTCAATTTTTATCTACATATTACTCTCCATAATTGCCACCATCAACACTATATTTTTTTTATTGTTGTACCCACTCACTCTGGACAAAAGTAGGGGAATATGGGGCATGCTAATGTTGTGACAGTCCCAACTGATCCACTGTACTGGTTGTTGTCAGGGTGACCCTGTGTGCTTGGTCATTATCCCATTAAAAACTGTTTATCTGCCCCAGTCGTATTCTTGCTGTTGTGGTGCTTGGTTGAACACATTCTCAGAAAATAAAATGATCAACTTCAATTTTGAGAAGGGATGTGGAAGAACATTAGTACAGGGATTTTGTATAAGACTAATTTACAGATATTGACTATCATAAATTCCCATTTCTAAAAAAAATAAATTAAATAGTTATTTTTATAAAAGCACCTTATCAGTATATAAATCTTTTTTCAAATAAACATATTTATTTTGCCATTTGTGATGTGAAGTTAATAATTTTGATACATTCATTCCATCTTATGTATCACTGAATTGGAAATTGAATTATCTATATCTGTATCTACATCCCCAAACTTATCAGAATCATTGCCAATAACAAGCTGGCAAGTGTGTCTACATTTCCAGCCCCATTGTCTGCTACTATACACGTCTCTGGTGTTACATTACGCATGGGACAAGTATCATCCATTGTCACAGCTGTGACATTTGAGAATCCACAAATGTTTCAACTGTTTGTAAATTGTCAGCTTTTGGTTGAAACACAGCTTCTTGTAAGGCTGTTATTTCTGCTAAACTGAAGCAATGCTCATTATGTGATCCCACTGGACAATCATTTGGATTAAGTGCTATTATGTACGTCCCATTCTCAACCATCTGCATGCTTCCCTTGCAGCTGTCCATTACAACAATTCCAACTATACCAATACTTGTGTTTCGAAACTCCTGGACAGCAATTGAGGATTTGAACACACAATGTACCTCAAATTCACCAATATTAAGATCCATGTTACTGGTATTAAAGAGAAAGGTTGCAAGGAGCACATTTTCAGCCTCTTTCATAATCTTCACTGGTCCATATTTTGGATGGGCCACATCTTGTTTCACTAAAGAACATCCCTGATAAATCTCCAGTTGTACGAGAACAACTATTGCAAAGACCCAATTCATCTTATTATGCTCTACCTGAAAAAATCAATGACTCATATTTTAAAAAAATGAATGATCACTTTTTGTTTAGTTCCTTCATTTTGTTATTGTGAATCAAAACCTCTACAGTCTAAATAAAGTATTATAGAATCAACAAAAAGTTCTAAAAAGCAAGTCCAATGTCCTGTTTATAAGAACACCTATTCTTACCTTTGAAGATGGATTCTAGCAATACTATCCAACATATACTTGTTAAGACTCGATCTTCTCAGAAAATGAGGATTTCACCAAGGGTGAATTGACAAAACATGGGGATATGATTGACTTAAAAGCTGCATATAAGCATGTATGTATGAAGAACTGAGAAGTTTATCAAGTCTCAACAAGTAGATTCATGTGGGAGAGTATTGGTAGAATCCATTTTCTATAGTAAGAATAGGGGTTCTTAAACAGGACATTTAAAGCTGAACTAAGGCCTTTGGAAATTTTGGTTAGCTCTATTATTTCGATTAATTAAGTTCAAAATACCTGAAAACGTAGTTTATATTTTATTTTATACTATAGTAGTAATACTTAGCAATGTCCAATGTAAAGGAAGTATCTTAAGATACTATACTTGTACGTGCTCTGAAATAGCTTCTCGTGGAAAGGACATTGTTATTTTGAACTGGTTTCTTATATTCTCTATGACTTTCAATCAGCTGCTATAAAATATAGATTCACAATAACTCATTTTATCCCATGATTAATGTATTATGTGTAATAAAGCCAATGCTATTTTGGACCTGATTTAACATCAAAATAAAGTTTCAACCATTATGTGCTTTTTAGAATGATTTTAATGTTTTCGTCCAACCGCCTTATATGAGACCTGTTGAGTTTGCATATTGAAGTTTTTGAGTGTTTATAGCCAAAGTTTATTATGACTTTATTATGAAGTTCTATGTGGGCTATTTTAGAAATGGGTGTAGTAATGTTTTGAAATCCATAGGATAAATATGATATCCTATGGCTTTCTCAGGCTATTATGTACGTGTACATAATATATAGCATGTTAGTGAATATGACACACTTTTACATATGGATGTATAAGCATTAATAAATGATATAGTTACCTGATATATGTCTGCACTTTGATAATATATGAACTTGCAACTGTTGGTGTATTTACTTAGTGATTTACGGATCTGTTCTCTAAAAGATTCAATATTTCCTATATGAGTCAGAGTTATTAATGTCTTCAATAATACAGTATATCTGAGTCAATGTTTGGCATATAATAGCCCCTTTATAGTCTGATAGTACGCTGTGTGATCTTCAATGTGGAATGAAGTGACAAACATGAACATTCTACTTTTTTTCTTTTGAAATACCTGATTGTAGACTTATAGCAAAGAAACATGTTTATGAATCTATTACTGTATGAGTCATTGAACCTTACAAAAATATAACCACTCCCAGCTGAAGATGATACTAATAACAATCTATGAGCAACCTTTCCTTCGCCATGTATTAACATGGTTCCATCCTTTGCCATGCATTAACATGGTTCCATGAGTCAAACCAAGCATGTGTCACTCTGGAATGTGGTATGAGTAACTTTGAGTGTTGATTTATTGTAAGGTAACCATTCACTTCTTAGTACTCGGTGGGGGGGGGGGGGTGGCAAGAAGAAATTATTACTTCAGATTAAGGTGACCTTCCTGTCACCTGCCAATTAACAAATAGTACAAAATCTTGACTTAAAACAAGTTCATGATTTTTAAAGTTCTTGATTTTTAAAGACTGATAATTTATTGATATGCAAATAGTTTTAAACAAGACAATGCCATGAACAAATGATGAGAAATGTTCTTCATATACATGTAGACTAGTCTGGCTTTCTTTTGAATTACCATATTACCTTAATTTCCTTAACAGTGAAAGATTGAGTTAAAGACATGTGAAATATTGGTTTATCAAAAAATACCCACCATGTAATTTAGCCAGCATATCCAGAACATGATCAGATCTCGGCACTAGTTCGCTCTTAAAGGAACATTCCTGGCCAAACCTTTTCTATCCCGATGTGATAGCTATAATCATATATATACTTTCCATATTTAGCAAAACATAGGGAAATATTTAAATATAGTCAATATTGATAATTTAAAAATGTAGTGCTTATTTCCAGTAAGCTGCCATCTTTTAAGATTTTACTCAGGAAGTGATGTCATCGACTCTCAACTTTCATGACCTTGCATATAACAGTATAGGAAAATAGCACAATATCACTTCTAGACGAGTGATCCTTACTTTATGCGCAAAAATATGTTCAGAGCTTGTCAGCTTAGAATAAAAGAAGAGACTTTTAGAAGGATTAAATTGAAAAAGAATATTCAGCTGGTTTTGTAATTCTTAATAGCTCCTTATAGTGTTATATGCAAAGTTGAGTCGATGACATCACTTACTGAGTGAAATTTAAAAGATGGCGGCCTACTGGAATTTGGCACTACATTTTTAAGTGATCAATATTGACCATATCAAAACATTTTTCCCTGTTTTGCTAAATATGGAAAGTATACGATGGCTATAGCTACCATATTAGGAGAGAAATGGTCTGGCCAGGAATATTCCTTTAAGCTCCTGCATCTATAAAAATTTCAAGTTGAACAAATAAGTGATTTTTTCCTGGAATCGGATTACAAGATTTGTGGTAAAATTATTTATCCAGCATGGCCTAAATCCCCGGGCCTTAACCTAATCAGATCTTGGCACTATAGTCTGTTCTTGCATATGTAAACATTTCAAGTTGAACAAGTAAGCAGTTTTTCTGGAATTTTAATGACAAACTTTGATTTATGTTGCGCCAAGTTGCCTGCACGCCCACTTGTCCCTACGCCAAGACAACGGTAATATAGGACTTTTTCAAAATCTGATGCAAATAATAATATAATAACAGATATCAATTATATTTCAATATTTGTGTATATTTAATAGGCTTTAACTAATTTAAAATCACATATCCAAAAATAGTTGATAAAACATTTGATTGCACAATTATTAATTGCAAAATGCAATTCAACACAGACTCTGGTTATATACCATGTCATATCAATTATCACTTATTTCAAGCTCATAATTACACATAATCATATACATCTCATACAGTTTAACATTTTTCAGCATAACAATTAACATATTCATGCATTAGTACTTTAATCTGCATAATCTAATATTTATCATGAATCAAAACAAATAATATATTTTACTAAGTACTTGTCAAGTCTTAAATGGAATATTTTTGGTCTGACTCTGGCAAGAGTATGGAAACTCAAAAATAATCAAAAATATTCAATTGTCAACTTTTATTTATCAAATAAACTAGAAAGTAACTTGAAATGTCAAGAAAGATATATGACATAGCGAACATTTCCTTGTTTTTTGATGAGGGTGTGAACACTAAATAAGCAGTTTAATATTTCACAAACACATTGCTATCTATATACATGTACCACTTTGGGTGATGATATATTTTAACAATATCCTCTTAATAAAACAGAAATATTATTAAAAATAGTCAAGCACACCCTCATAATTGGTTATAATTCATAATCACTAGAGATAAGTTTTACAGAGTAAGTCACTTATTTTGCCTCCTCATTTGTATAAGTATATAGCAGCACATCAGTTCCATAGTGACATTGGTGGATCATTTAGTTCGGTGTATTAGTACCATGTAGGTTACTGTCATATTACTGGTACATATTCTGACATCATCAGGTATGCAAGTTGGTGTCATGTTCCTGTACTCTGACATCATCAGGTATGCAAGTTGGTGTCATATTACTGCATTCTAATGTTTGTAAGCTTGGTTGATCCCTCTATTCTCAAAGTGTTAATACGAGTGAGACCCTTCAGACGATGTCGGAATTCAATGTAATGATTGTTGTTCACAGACACCTGAAACAAAGCAAAGTAATAAAAGAAATAAAATAATTAAAAATGACACCATTCAATCTGTGCACAAGAATACCAACAATTTGGATTAAATAAAGGTATAAGTTGAATATTTCTCTTGATTTTCATCATTTTGTATCTTATGTTATGGTCATTTCAATAAATAGGTCTAGTTACCAAAGTAGGTCAAATTGGAAAAGTAGGTCAAAAACAAAAGTAGGTCAAATTGCAAATACATGATGTATATAATAAAATATACCCATATATAGGGTTATTACACAATAGGATAATACAATATGGTCAACTGAATTGGTTCATCAAATCCATTTGCTTTTATCTTAATTCAGAATTTATGTCATCTATGTAGCTTGATCAGATCTATCTCCTTAACTCAACAAAAACTGAAAAAACAGAGAAAGACATCATCAACACAGGGCTCTGAATTATAAGTCTCTTAACAATGATTGCGAGACGATAATGCAACAGAGTATTTACCTTATAACCCTTGTCTGTGACCAAAATGCAAATGTCATAATTGACCCCAGGAGTGAATGGGAAGTAAGGGGCATGCTTCTCCTCCTCCCCCCACCGCCCAGACAGGCAGGAGTTCCTGACACACTGGTTGCGAGGAGACCCCCAGTTGATTCTAGCATCAAAGTGGAAGGCTCTATCATCAGACTCCTTAACACCAGTCATCAAGTTAATATTAAACCTGCAATGAAAGGAAAAGGCTTTGAAATACGACTTATTTCAATATTTGAGAACATCTTATTGGAATCCATTCATAAGATAACCTGTCAGCCAAATGGCAACCATAGAAAGCATTGCCAAAAGATAGTGTGCCATTCAGTTATTCTTATTTATATTTATTACATATAAAGTATCAACAAATCATTCTCCCTTTTGAATAACATCAAAAAAAAGTTAAACCAAATTTAAAGTTCTTTTTTCAAAATGGCCAACGCATTGAACAAACTGAGACAATCATACATGATTCCAATTCTTACTTATTTAACAAAATATCAGCAAGTTCATTCTTTTACTATTGGAGTTATAGCATGTAAAATGTTGCATGTAAATAGACACCATTTTCAAATAGCCACCTTTCACATGTTTTAATAAATCAACTTTCAAGTAGAACTCTATCTCACCTAGGGCATATAATATAAACAATGTTGGGGTTTTGTTGGGACAGAGATACATATGAACGGATGTATGAATGCTTGGATGAATGGATGAACAGGGATATTCTCAAAACACAAAACTTTGATCAATTGGATAATTAATTGTCTTTCCTTAAAACTCACCAGTCACAGTCAGAGTTGACTAATTCAAAAAAGATTTATTTTACTATTAATCTCACCTGTCGCAACCAGGGTTAGGTATTCCACTAATAAAGATCATCCTCCCCTCATACATTCCACCAGGGATAGTTGATACATATGGCATTGTCTGCAAATATTAATGTACTTACAGATCATATGGAACTGAAGAATCTGTCTTAGTCCAAGAAAGAAAGAGTACACAGACCTCACTCCAAACACTCATACAGTAATATGGTCTAATACGACAAGTGGTAATCAGTTAATTGAGAAAATTATTTTTTTTACAAAAAGTGGTGGCCATTTTGAATTGAGCAGCCATATTAGAAAATTCATTCTCAAATAGCGGTTGCTTTTTCCATAAGACATTAGCCTACAAAGTTTAGAGTAAATCTTTTAACTGGTATTTGGCTTATTAAAAAAATATGACACCCATTTGGTTTAAAAATCACACAAAAAGTTTAAAAAAATGTCCAAAAAAACTTCTCACAAAAAGCATGTACATTTATGTTTGTGTAAAGCAATCAAGGCAACATCAACTGACTTAATATAAAGCATCCATCTAGATCTAGGCTAAACTACTTTTCAAATAAGGACAATTAAATGGGCGGGGAAGAATTAAGGACAGAGCTGAGTCCTAGGCCCTATATCTTGTGGCTTCATGACTGTCAAAAGATGGCAGTGTCAACCTGGGTTAGTTTTGTGTTCAATTGTGAACAAGTTGTTCTTTGATTTTCTTTTAAGTAAGACCACAATTTCACATAGAATTGTTTTAGTATAAATATTGCTATTTACGAGCGGTGATCAATAAGTAATAGACGCTTTTTTACACAGATACTTGTTATGGACCAATCCCTTTGATTTTCCTACCAGTGAGACATCATTCAATTATCTATCAATTCTGAAGATTTGAAGACAAATTATATAATACGTGTTGATATATCCTTATTTCCGTGAAGGAGGTACAGGTACCCGGGACCGACACGTCACGTTTTATTCTGTTTTTAGCCAGTTTGGCAAATTTCAGTTGGATTTAAACTTTTTTATATTTAACAAGTGTTGTTTGAAATATTTTACTGACTGGTAACACACAAACAGTAAGTATTGTGATGTCAGTGTTGTATGGTCGGGGTTTGCAGGTCAATTTGAGGAGGCATTTTGGAAGAAGGGGTTGGTGAGAGAAGGAGACACCCTACTCCTTATAGAAAATTCATCTCCCTGGACCTTAAAATTGAGCCCTTGGCCAGTGCACCATATTGTCCAGATCTGCCCACATGTGACTTTTTATTCCTATACTACTCATTTCTATAGAGAAGGGATGCAGGTTTAATGACATTGATAAAATAAAACAACCTGTGCAACTGCATCTTGCTACCATGTCAGAGAATGGATTCAGCTTTGTCTCACAATCTTGAGTTAAGAGGATGAGGAATTGTTTGCGTGTAGCACTTGGTGAAACCTATGTAGAGGGCCCTGTAGAATGAATGTGGCATGAATACCACATAGTGATGATAAAATATTCAAAATCAACTATGGCATAACAAAATTGGGTAATTCATGACCATAATGGTTTGTTTTGTTCAACCTGCATTGAACTGCGTTGCATGTTAAAGAAGCTAAAATAGCTTCAGAATGCTTGACGTCATGTCAGTCCTGGGGAACCTATACCTCCTTCACGGAAATAAAGATATATCAAAATATATTACATGTTTTGTTTTCAAATCTTCAGAGTTGATAAATAATTGAATGATATATCACTGGTAAGAAAATCGAAGGTATTGGTCTATAAAATGCATCTGTGTAAAAAAGCGTCCATTACTTATTGATCACCCCTCATAGAAGTGTTTTTCTAGAGAAGTACAATGCCAATAGATGTGGCCCGCCATCTAATACAAATCCTGATGACCATTAATTTACATTTAAAAAGTTTAAATAGAATATTAAAACAAAAAGAACAATTAACTACAACAAAAACAACAAATTACTGCAAGCACAATAAGCTCATGTTGTGAATACACTATATAACACAGTTAAGTATGTAAATATTTCAAAACACATTTTACTCAAGGGGCGAGGAGGAAAATTCTCAATAAATGGTGTATAGTTGGTTTGGCAGTATTTTCAGTTAGGGGAGAGTCTTGGATGAAATTTCCACCTAGGTGATAGCTTCGCAGAGTGGAAGGAAGTTCTTTTTTTTGAGGAGTTAGCCCCCCACCCCCCAAAAACACCCCACCCTGGGGAAAAAATTGTTCACACTAAATGACCTTAGATATTTTGATGTTTGTAAGTGACATACATAGATATTATATATATGAATAATTTGCAGTATTATTGATACTGATTACTCCTAAAGAATTTGAATATCAGTACAAAGTGTGTACCCCAGGGGGCAAATTCGTGACTCATTTTCTTACTGTTTTGATTCTAACTTTTCAATTAGACACTGTAAGAGGTTGAAAAAATTCATGTGAAGTTCCCAATAGCAGGGTTAGTAACCCTGAAAGATGCAAAGCCATGGAAGAAGTAGGAGCTGAGAAAAAAATTGTTGATTTTTCAAAAAATTTGACATTTTTGACAACTGGATTTTGTGTATGACTATAGCTGACCCCTATAGTTTCTAGATCCATCCCTCTATGATGATATTTATGGTTTTATACTGTGGAACTAAGATGTAAAACATAATTTAGATGGGTTTTAAGGAAGTTAAAGGTTTTAAACAAGTCCAAAATTTGAAAAATTGTAAATATAAGGTTTCAAATTTACGAATTCCAGGTATAGCCATGGCTGCCCCTATAGTTTCTTGATCCATCCCTCTTTGATGATATTTATAGTTTTGTAGTATGGAACTAAAGATGTAAAACATAATTTAGATGGGTTTTAAGGAAGTTAATGATTTAAAACAAGTCCAAAATTTGAAAAATTGTAAATATAAGGTTTCAAATTTACGAATTTTAGGTATAGCCATGGATGACCCTTATGGCTTTTTCATCAATACTTCTATGATGAAACATATACTTTTAGAGTGTGAAACTAAGATGTAAAACATACCGAAGATGAATTTTAAGGAAGTTTAAGAATTTTAACAAGTGCAATATTTGAAAAATTGAGAAATATCAGGTCTCAAAGGAGCACAGAAAGTATCGCAACAGATTTCAGACAGTCATATGTTGGATTTTGTCTGTTTTCTGAGGATTTAAGCAGGTGCATATGATAGGCCATTGCATTAGCTACAGGAAAAGAACTCTTAGAGATGATAAAATAGTTTGGAATTTGAGACGGCGAAGGTGAAAACAATCCACCCACATGTTTTTTTTGGGAAATGTTGTCCTGATTTTCAACCCCGTTCACCCCTGGTTTTTCAATTTTTGTTGCATCAATATGTTGCCTTTTGAGACATAGTTAACCATTAAAAGGATAAATTTCTTATAGATAAAGCGGAAAACAATATTTTCCTGTTATTTTCCCATAGGGAAAACTCATGTGATCCATTGCTTTCAGCTTAATTTTGGTCACCCATATTTGATATCTTTAAAATCCCTGATGGAATGTATTTTTCATTTAAAGGGGTTAACTGTATGTAAAAACACATATATTTATACATATACACATATATATTTATGCATGTGGATGGGTTGTTTGCACCTTCCCTGTCTCAAAATAGAAATTATTTTATCATCTCTACGAGATATGGGTGCTTTTCCTGGAGGAAATGCATTGGCCTAACATGCAACATGAAATATGCACCTCCTTAAATCCTCAGAAAATAGCCAAAATCCAACATATGATTGCTGAAATCTGTTGTGATACTTTCAGTCCTCCTTTACGATTTCAGGTATAGCCCTGGATGTCCCTCTTTTTGAATGTATGACTTAGTTGAAAATATTGTGGTCAGGTTTGATCCATGTTACATGTATTATTAAAAGAAAAATCATTAGAGTTGAGGACTTAACCCTTGAGTTCCTAAGGGGGCGAGAGGTTAATAAATCCCCCAGTAAGTGTAACTGCTCCTAGGGATATCGTATACAGTGTAGTAATTGATTGATTAAATGGATTATAACTGATTAATTATTATTTGATGATATTTATTATGTGATATAGCATTTTTACTTTTTCACATCAACATGTTCGATGTAATGTTCTGCATTATCAAAATACATAAAGACATGGTTAATTAAAAGAAACATGTTTTCTCTATATTTTGTTATGCCCCTTCTGTAATTAAGCAATGATCATCTCCTAATACAAAATGTTGTTATGAATTATCAAATTATAATCACTACACTCCCAATAAAACAATTTGTCATCAGGCAACGGTAATTATTTGGGAAAATAAGGATTATAAGGATCATACCCCCCCCCCCCCCCGGGCCCCCCCCCCCCGGGCCTAGAAACTTCCGTTAGTGCAATGATATAAGGAACTCTAGGGTAATAGGATCGTGTCACATTAAAATCTTCATGTAGATCAAAAAAGTATATATGGTGATATGATCAATATGTTTCAAACAAACAGACATTGAAGAAAATGTTTACATACTGACTTTGCAGATGACATTTTCTAGCATAGTTGAAGAATTTTTTTCATTTATTGAAATGATAGTCATAAAATTATAATATCAGTGTCATTTGATGCAAATTACTGCAGTCCCACATGTTCTGCTGAATGTAAAACAGAGTGAATAATTTTAAAATCAGCCTCTTCAGGAGTGTAATTTAACAGGAGATTTCAGTTATAATTTTCACAGATATTTGAGTTCTCTCCAATAGTTCCACTTAAAACAATCTGACTTTTGGCACACTTTTAGAATGCTGCTTTATTGAATTTCTTTGTAATCTTTGAAAATTTGTCTTATATTACTTGGACAAAGGTATTCATATTTTTAGGTAATGGTGTAATTTCTTCTATGGATTAAAGTTCAATAGGGGAAGCATCCATTCTTCGCATTCTTTCAGAATCCTTTACTGATGGAGACAACTAGCTAGGAGTCTAATATGAAATCTATTCTTTGGGCTCCTTTACTAGATTTGATGGAGCAGTCAAATATAGCTTTCCAAAACTCTCCAAATTTCAACATATAAGTTAATCTTCATTTTCCCTTTGTCATAGCCATTGCATCAATCACGAAAGTTTTATCAATTTGTGGTATGGTTTCATCGATCTCCATTTCAAACCCCTTTTTAAGTTCTGATTTTACAGGATAAGATAGATGATCATTGTCAAACGAACTGTTTGTATCCATATAAGATCATAGTTTACTCACACATTTCTAGGCAAGGTGTGTCCAATTCCAGCCAATTCAATATTCCATATAACTGCATTCCAATTTACTACTCTCATAAACCCAAGGTCAATTTTAGATTCTAGAGAAACTAATGAAACTAATGATCATAGGGAATAGCATGCCAAGTGCTTGTATTTATCAAATGTTAAAGTGTTGTTGATTTTCAAGTTGTACAAGCACAGTGTCATGGGTGCTTTCTTTTCCTGACATAGTATAACATTGTGGTAAAAATTATCAAAGGCACCTAGTACAGTAGTTCTAGTTCATCATCTTGTATAAATGAGCAGTGAAACCTGTATATCCCAACATCTGACTATTGTGAACACCTACCAATCATACCAACACCTGACTTATCTGAAAACCAACCAATCTGAACACTTTTCCCCAGTTCAATTTTTCCTTCCTCCCATTGACTCCTATGTTTAAAAATTGAAATTTGAACACCTCTTAATTCGAACAGTGAACACTCATATTTGAAAAATCAACCTGTTTAACTTGAACTTTTTTTTTACCAAATATCACATATTTCATACAAAATTGCTCAAATATTGTCAGTTTAACACTGAATTGTTATGATATCAAAACTTTTGAATTGGATTTTGGAATGCTATTAAGCTTTTTGGGTGGTCAATATAAATATTATTAATATTTATTAATATTTTCCATTGAGAATGCATTCATATTTCTTCAAAATCCAGAATATTGCAGATGTAAAAACCTCAAAATTCAAACACTTCTAATTTGAACGCTTTTAGCTGGTCCAAATACTATATCTAGTAGCATTCAGATTAGAAAGATTTTACTGTAGTTCATGACTTTTCACTCCATCTATATGCAGCAGACTAACTGAGAAAGAGTCGAAGGCATGCGAGGCGAATCCTGGAAACCCGGGTTTGGGAAAGCAGGGTTCACTGTTTGTTTCCGTTGACAACTGTGCGAAACTACATTCATAATTCATACGACAGTGAACAGGAGGTTTACAGTCAGACCCGGGTGCGCCAATCCCTTAAATAAATGTGTGTTTCGCGGACCAGGGTTTAAGGCCATTCCAAACGAAATAAGTGTTTAATGAGGCCACGAAATATAAAAGTTCGTTTTATTAGAATTTTATACGTGTTATTTTTTATCTACCAAGACGTTAAACATATTAGAAAAAGTTATGTATTATGATTGGTCTAAAATGTGCAAAGCTAGAAGACCCCTTATATTATTCGTTCGTTCTCTCTATTTCGACTAAGATAATGTATCAGGTCAACGGCTACTAAAGCAAGGAAAATTGACCAGTAGAGATGAGGAACTTGACATACTATTTTTATTCATAAATATGGATAATATTTGATTTAAATACAATTACGAATTTCTGTTGTGTCAGTCTGGGCCAAAATCTTACAATATTACAATTGATAACAAGGATCTTCAAATAAAAGCAATTAAATCCAGTACGCCAAAGCACTTTTTTCTGAAATGTCCAAATAATGAATTGAATTTTCAAACATTAAAAAATGACATTGAATTGATTGCACCAGGAGCCTTAAATAAACATAAAAATCAAGCTGATTTACTTTCTTTATTCTATTATGGAGATCCTGATCTACCTTTAGAAACAAATTCGCAACTCTTGTCCAAAGTGGCTGATTTTATTTCTGCCAATATCTGAATTCCCTCCTCAAGTGAACCTGCTTAGTCTCCCCTCCAAACACCCCTCCCCTATCCCCACCCTACAAGTGCATCCCCTTTAACTTGTTGTATAGTGTACTATTATGATTTATTATATGTATCAATATATATTGTTTAAATGTCCATTTTTCCTATAATGCCTTCGGGCGATTGGAATTATGTATTTGCTAATAAGTTTGAATGAATAAATTCTTATAAAAAAAAAATCCAGATTTGAAAACTCCCGAAAATAACACGAATGACTCTAATTATGAACCGTTCACATTTTTGCAAAGGCGGATTTTGATGACGGCAAACCCGGGTTTTGAGGGCGCATCATAGAAGACACTTTATAACCCTATGCGCAAAACATCTCGTTAAAAGTCCGTTGTAGTTAACATATCCATAGTTAAGAGTTAATTACGAGGAACCCTTCTAATAAAAACAATGAAAATTCTGGTTTGAAAAGTATCGAAAATAACACGAACGAGTCAAATAATGCACCGTTCGTTTTTTTGCAAAGGCGGGTTTGGATGACGGCAAACCCGGGTTTTGAGGGCGCGACTTATGGCAACGAGTGCTTCTGGACTAACTGCTGCAACAGGTATATATTCTACACCTGGTCTCTAAGCTATGATGTCACAGTTGTTAGTATTATGCTCATAACCTTTGATTATCAGGGCTCATTCAAGGTTGTACCTAAATAACGTGAATTTGAGACCAATTTTCGAGATCAATTTTTCATATTTTGCACTTGTTTAAAACCTTGAACTTCCTTCAAACTCATCTTATGCATCTTTTACATTTTAGTTAAATACTCTAGAAATATATATCTCATCACTGAGGTATAGATGTTAAAAAACCATAAGGGTCATCTTTGGCTATACCTGAAATTCATAAATTTGAAAACTTACATTTACAATTCTTCAAATTTTTGACTTGTTTAAAACCTTAAACTTTCTTAAAATTCATTTTGGGTATGTTAAATCTTAGTCCCACACTCTAAAACTGTATATTTAATCATAGAGGTATGGATGTAAAAACCATAAGGGTCAGCCATGGCTATACCTGAAATTCGTAAATTTGAAACCTTATATTTACAATTTTTCAAATTTTGAACTTGTTTAAAACCTTAAACTTCCTTAAAACCCATCTAAATTGTGTTTTACATATTAGTTCCATACAGCAATACCATAAGTATCACCATAGAGGGATGGATCTAGAAACTTTAGGGGTCTGCCATGGCTCTACCTGGAATTCGTAAATTTGAAACCTTATATTTACAATTTTTCAAATTTTGGACTTGTTTAAAACCTTAAACTTCCTCAAAACCCATCTTAATTATGTTTTACATCTTAGTTCCACACTATAAAACCATATATATCATCATAGAGGGATGGATCCAGGAACTATAGGGGTCAGCTATAGTCATACACAAAATCCAGTTGTCAAAAATGTCAAATTTTTCGAAAAATCAACAATTTTTTTCTCAGCTCCTACTTCTTCCATGGCTTTGCATCTTTCAGGGTTACTAACCCTGCTATTGGGCACTTCACATGAATTTTTTCAACCTCTTAAAGTGTCTAGTTGAAAAGTTAGGATCAAAATAGTAAGGAAATGGGTCACGAATTTGCCCCCTGGGATACACACTTTGTACTAATATTCAAATTTTTTAGGAGTAATCAGCATCAATTATACTGCAAATGATTCATATATATAATATCTATGTATGTCACTTACAAACATCAAAATATCTAAGGTTATTTAGTGTGAACAATTTTTTCCCCGGGGTGGGGTGTTTTTGTGGGGTAGGGGGCTAACTCTTCAAAAAAAAGAACTTCCTACCACTCTGTGAAGCTATCACCTAGGTGGAAATTTCATCCAAGACTCTCCCCTAACTGAAAATGCTGCCAAACCAACTATACTCCATTTATTGAGAATTTCCCTCCTCGCCCCTAGAGTATTTTTAAAACGAGCCTAATATGGATCTGCCCACATCCAAGCATATTATAAAGCCTAAGTGTCACAGTAAGTGCTTCTGCATGCATGACAAACCTGGGTATTTTCCTTGTCAGAGAACTTTACCTACAGATATATACATGTATTTTAAAACTCTGAACGAATACACAACTTGAAGGCTTGTTTAATTAAATAGAAGTGCAGCATCTACATAGTACAAGACTCAAGTTATTGAAGTTTGTAACTGGAATACGAAAGAATTTCTAACTATGAATAACAAGACAACCAATATCTATAAGAAGTTGCATGAAACCATGAGATCCAAGCGAACACCAAGCTTCTGTTAAATTGCATATGAAAAATTGAGGAAAAAGTTCTCAAGGCAAGATTTTGTTAGTGTTACTGATGGTTTTACACACAATCAGAATCAAATGGTGCGATTCTAAATGATAAAGTCTGGACTAAATTTTTGGAATGTACAACCGATACTACCCTTTTGGTAATTCAATGGAAAATCTTACATGGTATTTACCCTCAAAATATTTATTTGAGGAAATGTAACATAGAAAACTCTGACATCTGTAACTTTTGTAACTCACATGTAAAAGATGACATTGACCACTTCTTTATCAATTGTGACTGTATTAAATCAATTTGGAATGATGTAAATGTTACAAATGATCAAAAAATTGGAAATGTAATTGTTAAAAAAGAAGATGTACTTAAAACATTAGTAATTAAAAAAGCTATACATAATTTAAAAAAAGGGTCAATACAGCTGTTTAAAAACAATTTAAAAGCTATATTTGATACTGAAATAATGATAAGAAAGATATCACTTGAAATTTCTATAATTGTATTTTATCTAATTGTATGCATGTAATGTAAAATATGTTTTTTATTAAGTTTGATTTTATAAAAAAAACACAAAAAACAATCATTTTTGTATATGGAAAGAAATGCACACCTTGGAACAAAATAAATTGATCAATCATGACATTTATATTAAGTTTAAACTGAAGCATGTATACAAATATAACTTACATAGCTAAAACTGGGGCCACTTGGAGGTGGTGGAGTAGCACCAGAGGGTGCCCCAGGAGGAACTCCACCAGCTGGAGGATACCCTGGGCCTGATCCTGCTGGGGGGAATCCAGGGACAGCCCCTGCTGGTGGGAATCCAGGAGCAACCCCTGCTGGGGGGAATCCAGGAGCAGCCCCTGTTGGGGGTTGATATCCAGGCTGACCACCTATAGTTGGAGGCACTGTTCCCATGGGAAATCCTGGGTTGTAAGATGGTGGTTGAAATGCCCCCTGAAAAATAAAGACAGCAACTGAGAAACACCGAGGCATAGCAAATCCCATCCATGGCTGCTATATTTATAAAATCCCTCCACTACTTTTTCAGTTTTATCCAAAATCATAAAATATCACACATAAAATGGCCATCATCACTAGCCAAATTGGCATAAGAGAGTGTAATATGCTTTTAAGTAGAAACATATAAAATTTCAACAAAACTGAGCGGCACTCCTTTTGAGTTATATTAAAAAATTAGTACCGTGGGTACTGGGCTCACATGGTGTTGCTCAAAAGTGAAAATAAAAAAGACAGGTATAATTTTTTGCAGATTTTTTGTGACAAAATTATTTCATACAACTACTCTTTACAAAGACATGGCTTTTTACAATGCAGGACACCTGAACTTATTTGTAAAGCTAGGAAATGGGCCAAAAGTGAATTTCCCGAGACAGAAATGGTGGCCATTTTGAAAATAGGCGAGATTTTGAAGCAGAAGTCACAGTTTTTTTTTCTTTATTGATGTTGAACAAAAATATTTTAAATTCGGAATCCTATCTACAGAGGATTTAAAAAGTGTTGACAGCGGTTTAAAACTTGCCACTATTTTGGACTGACTTAGAGACAGATGGACGAATCAATGTTAACTAAAATGGCTGAAAATAAAAAAAAAGGGATATAATATTTTGCCGATTTTTTGTAACAAAATTATTTCATACAACTACTCTTTACAGTGACATGGCTTTTTACAATGCAGGACAGCTGAAACTATTTGTAAAGCTAGGAAATGGGCCAAAAGTGAATTTCGCGAGACAAAAAACGCGACCATTTTGAAAATAGGCAAGCTTTTGAACCAAGAGTCATTGGAGAGTTTTTTGTATTGATGTTGAACAAACTTAACTTAAAACAGGAATCCTATCGACATAGGGTTTAAGGCAAATGGTCCAAAAGTGGATTTTGTGAGACAGATTGACAAATCAATGTTAACTAAAATGGCTGAAAATAAAAAAATGGATATAATTTTTTGCTGATTTTTCGTAACAAAATTATTTCATATATCTACTCTTTACATTGACATGGATTTTTACAATGTAGGACACTTGAAATTATTTGTAAAGCTAGGAAATAGGTCAAAAGTGAATTTCGCGAGACAAAGATGGCGGCCATTTTGAAAATAGGCAAGCTTTTGAGCCAGGAGTCATAGGGGAGTTTTCTGTATTGATGTTGAACAGAAATATCTTAAAACAGGAATCCTATCGACAGAGGTTTTAAAACGTGCCACTGTTGTTGACGGAAAAGTGGATTTCGCGAGTCAGATGGACAAATCAATGTTAACTAAAATGGCTGAAAATAAAAAAATGGATACAATTTTTCGCTGATTTTTTGTAACAAAATTATGTCATATATCTTCTCTTTACATTGACATGGATTTTTACAATGTAGGACACCTGAAATTATTTGTAAAGCTAGGAAATGGGTCAAAAGTGAATTTCGCGAGACAAAAATGGCAGACATTTTGAAAATAGGCGAGCTTTTGAACCAGGAGTCATAGGGGAGTTTTCTGTATTGATGTTGAACAGAAATAACTTAAAACAGGAATCCTATCGACAGAGGTTTTAAAACGTGCCACCATTGTTGACGGACAGACAGACAGACGGACGGACGGACGGACGGACGGACGGACGGACAGACGGACAAGTGAGCGATTGCAAAAGCTCACCATGTGAGCTAATAATAAAAACATAAAACAACACACATAAAAATGGTGGCCATTTGGTGGCCTACTAGCCAAAGAATCATAACACAGTGTGCTGCCATGCTTATGAATATTCACATATAAAATATAAAAAAAATCGCTCCACTGCTTCTCTAGTTACAGCAAAAAACGTAAAAGAATGTGTAACAGACACAATTTTTCCATTTTTTTTAATTTTGTACCTAAAATACAGTAAAGGTGACAATAAAATGATGGCCATTTTGAAACTGGTGGCCATTTTGAAAATCTGTTTTTAGGCAGAACCTGTACCCCCATACTAATAAAATATGAACCATATTGGTCCAACAGTATTTGAGTTATTGCCTGGATGAATGAACATAATCATATTCAAATGAATGATTCAGACCATTCAATTATCAGCATTTTCTTACAGATATATTGAAACTGATATTTTGTTTTAATGGTTAATAATACATGTATTGCTTTTCAATGTGATGCATGAATGTTTCTCTTTCAGACTTACAGCAGGTGGAGTGGGGTCCTGGAAGCGAATCATTTGCACATTGATGTCTCCTTCTATAGTCAATGTGTTGACCTGTTGTACAGACAATCTGTGTTTGAACTCAAGCAGATGTAGGCCATTCACAGCAACCTAAAATCATGTCAAAAAATTAAAAAAATGTGCACAGATGAGAAATTATTAGGAAAAGTATTTATCATGCGAGAAATTGTGCATATAGGAGAAAAAATATGTTCTGTAAAGAGTTGAGCCACAATTACATGTACACAGCAATCACAAACCTTGTAGCAATCATTCTGTGTCAGGATGATCATCTCAAATGTCTGATTCTGAGAGAATGGGAATGGACCACTCCTGTCCTCCTGTTGCCAACCTCCACCGACACGTGAATTGCGAATCACTGAATTTAGACCCTCAAATCGAGGGTTAAAATGGAAGGCTATATCCGCATTGTCATGCATACCACATTCCAGGTTTACTTGAAATCTATTGGAGTAAAATATAACAACATATACAATACAACATTAATGGTTTGCTGAAATAGTTGCCATTTTCTACTAGGACCTCATTTACTCATGTTCCCAAGCAACAATTGACCATGAAATTCTCAATCAAAATTTCACACAAAGTTAATTTATTCCAATAATATGCAATATTTGGAAATACTGTACAGTAAAACCTGTCACTGTGCATGTATATCAAGGAGGATTGGAAGCCATTATTCAAACTCGATACTCCGTTGCCCGCAGTGGAACAATAGGATAGTTTCTAAATAGCAGAAAAATCAATGAAATCTCGTGCTGCCATCTTTTATTCAGCTTTTAACTCGGGCTAGAGCTCCATTCATTTACATGAAAATCTTGGAAAAGTGGCTTAATTTCATGATTTATCAAAGTGTGTTTGTTGAATCTGTATAAAACTTGAATGATATACCACATGATGACCCTGTTTATGTACATGATGTGATTAAACATGCAAATGTTGATTGACATACAAATAATCCACAGATTTAAAGAATTTTAGCATTGCATCTATGGACATTTGGCCCAAGTTTTTTTAAATTGTTATAGAAAATTATTCAAATTACATAACTGTGTAAATCAAAGCTATTAAAGGAGAAAACATTTCACTGAATTCAAATATGCCATTTAAAAGAAGGTTATGTAAGTCATTAGAGGTCTAATATGCAAGTCTCTTAAAATCTCACGAAAAACGAGATTTAGCGAGATTTCAAAAGCTATATGGAAACTATACTATTTGGTAAAAATATTTCCATAAGGTTCTCTTTGGACCAAGTATTTCGTTGGAAGATGGTCATTACGATTATTCTGGTAATATTCAAGCTTCCTTGGCAGTTCTTGTCAAAATATGAGTAATATTATTACCAATTTGGTAATAATATTACACATTCAGTGTTGCATAAGTCAGTAATGTGGAGGAAGGGTGCCCATGAGAGACAGGTGTTCACTAGAGAGAGGGGTTCACTAAGACATGTTTCACTGTGTATCATTTTTACATTTTCATATTATAGAAGTTATATTATAAACTGTTTTTTGTGCATAATATCAAAGCACAACCATTGAGTTAAAAAACAAAAATAGTTCAATGGGAACTCCAATGGGAACTCCAGGAAATTCTGATATTTTGCACTCTATTTTTCCAAATTTTCTTTCAACATTTCCAGACAACACAGGAGCTACCATTGACCTGTTTCCAGGTTTACTAAAAGTAGACAGTGTAATGATACTTTCCTGAAAAAAGCAAGGAAATACACACATGCCTTCATACTTATTTTGGACCAGAAAATAACATGTGCAGGTATAGCAATTTTTTACCAAAATGAAAAATGGGAAATTAAAATTATCAAGGAAAAGAATGGGTCAAAATAAATGTAAAGATCTGTGGGATTTCCAGCTGGACCAAAATAAAGATATATAAAGATATACTATTAACAAAATTGTTGATTTTCTATCTCAGAGATATTTATTTTATGACAAAATTTGTTAATAAATATCTCTGAGAAAGAAAATCAACAATTTTGTTAATAGTACATTACTACCAGAGAGATGAACATTCATAGTAGCAAAATAAAGATATTTATCGATTCATGGTTATTGGGTTATGGATGTTACAGAACTAATACAAGTATACAAGGGACATAGAACAAAGTCTAACATATTGCTCTATTTACTGTTCCTTATCAAGTATAAACATTGATAAGTGCAATACAATGTTTATGATAACACTATGCACAGTATTGACAATAAATATTGTAATACCCCCTCCCATCAGGGTTAGCAAAAACCATTGTTAGTACCTCAGTTGAAATACTCGATTTTGATTGGTCAACGAGCGGTGAACAATTTTAACTGTACACCGCGCAATGCATTGCCGGTGAATAATATTCCCAGCATTCCACTAAAATGACGTCATTATCAGACGATAAAATGGCCGCCGCTAGCACTAGCCGTTTCAAAAATGTTGAAGATGAGGATATTATTAGTCTCTTAGAGAGTAAAGGCAGTCAAAATACGAAGAAAAATCTAAAACTTTGTACAAAGCTTTTAGTGGACTTCGCCCAGGAGAGTAATTTGACTCCATTGAGTGAACTTACTGCCGTGGCATGAACGTCTCGAGGGTCTGGATCCAACTTCAAGTCAACTTCAAGGGTCAGAAAAATCTAAGATATTCTTCGGACTAACAAAACAATTATAGACCTCTCCATTCGGTTTACTGTCAAAATTATATCCCGAGACTGTAAACTGAGACCGAGGTCTCAGTTTACAGTCTCGGGATATAATTTTGACAGTAAACCGAATGGAGAGGTCAATAATTGTATATTATAATACTAGCATATCTCATATGTAATATTCATCATTACTCTCTATATTGATATAATGTGTCATGTATTAATTAAAAGCTGATTCAATAATAAATATACAAATGGCAAGGGAGATTAACATTGTTATCAGAATATCTCTAATAAGTAATAATCTTTTATTTAAATATCAAATGGATAAAGCATTCCCAGTTACTTGATTCATTGCTGTATTTTGAGTTTTAATCCATACTACAGTTGTTTCAGAAACAACACTATTAGAAACCCCCAAAACAAAGAAACTTTAGAATCTTCAAAATGAAACCCTCATTTTCAATATGTGTTTGAAGAATATTTTTTGCAATATCTTAGAATCTTCATGTGACATTTTTCTCAAACTTTAGTTTTGATTTCCTTAACAGTATTCATAAATATAATACTGAATTAACACCTTTGAAATAAAAGGAATAATTTGTCAAGTACTGTCATTTGAAAAGTACTGAGATAATGATATATCAGTGTGTTGTGGTCTTATAAGCAGCTTATTGCTCATTTCTTATCCAAAACCATGTAAATGAAAGAATATACCTATTAGCAGTCTGGGGTATATATGCTGTAATGAAGATCATCTTCCCATGGCTCAGGCCAGCTGATATTGGAGACTTGTAAGGAATGGGCTGAAACAATTAAATTTACCTTTACCTTATGTTTGTACATGTATACATGTACAAATGTATATGCAATTCATCACATTAAAGGGCTAGTAGCTGTAATTTATATCTTAAATATAACTTACACAATCAATTGGACATAATTATTCAAGCTTGAAAAAAATGTTTGCCTTTAATCCTGAAAAATGTGCGAGTAGATTTTTCAATTCTGGAACTTGTCATGCTGCTAAGTACTAGGAGAGTTACTTTAAAAAAATTCATATCTGAAAAAAATATTTCAAACAAAAAATTTTGGGCCATTAAATTCAAAATTTGGGCCCAAAATTTAGCTCAAATCTTTTGACAATCTTTTCACCCAAGGAGGGGGAGAGGCCAGGCCCCATGCCCCTTCCCTGGATCCACCAGTGCTTCGTGGTATCTATCTAGGATTTGAGGAGGGGGCTCCAATATTTTTGGCAAAACATTTTCTGGAGCCACCTGACGGTGAATTTGGTGAAATTGCTGCCTAATTTGATTAAAATTTGCTTAATTTTGGTCCATTTTATTAATTTTTAGCCAGTGTGCTAGAATTCAAAGTTTTACCTTTGCCAAACAATTACAAGAGCAAAATCCCAAAATATTACAATTTTTGACCAATTTCGCTCATTTGGAACATCATATGAATTGCATCACTGAACTTTATATCTGATTTATATCATAAATTTGGGACCATTTTGACATTTGCTTTATTTGTACAATTGAATTCCTTTGGATGGTATTAGAACTACTGTACAGTATTTCAGGCCTAAAATGCAAAGTGCAAACCTTGTATTGTCCATCTCAAAATATATTGTTTTTCTGCATTTTCAGGCATTTTACTCAAGATAAAGTTATAAATCTCACTTATTTCCATCTTTGCATATACCCTCGAATATCTAAGGTAATCAAAAAACTATAAATTACTGAAACACTGCAAAAAATTAACTCAAATTTGGGGGGATAGTCAAGATTTTGCGGGGTTCGCATGAACCCTCCGAAACCCCCTCTCCATACGGCCCGGCTACATGTATTTCAGGGTGATGTATAGTCGACAAGTGTAAAGAGGGAGATATTAATAAACCTCGACCATCAAAATTAGTTGTCGCATAAGCTAAATTCTAAGTTTCATGTCTCAAACTCTCCTTATTTACTCGTGACAGGTTTCAAAATGGCGGAACAGCATTTTGAAAGCTGGCACGTGTCATGTTGCATTCTGGGAGCCAATCCTCCTTGCTGCGTAATCGGGCTACAAAATCACCTAAACATTTGATGAGTCGGAATTAACATGTGAATATCACTTCAAATTTTAAGTTCCTGTTTGTCATTATGGACACAAATTCCACTATATTTGTACGTTCCGGGACAGAGAAAATACAGCACTAAATTCACTGAGAATTTATGACATATGTGACAGAATGTCTTTTATCATAGAGATAGTAATTATTTATGTTCACCACTGTAGTAGCCCAGCGCTGACAATATGAGCTGCAAATTATATGTTTAGGATTAGTAATGTGAACATATATTCACTGACTTACAACTTATTATTCAGATCCCATGATCAGATGATTCAGGATCACATGCAGATTCCCGGGAACACCTTGTGGAGATAAAATCACATTTGACAGCAATTGTAGTTTTATTTTTTTGAGTTTTATGTATCATTATTATGTGATATAGCTATATATAGTATATACTTACTGGGTTATATATTGGAGCTCCTGCAGACTGACCTCCATAGCCTGTATATGCCATTTTAACGAAGGAATATATAGAAACACCTCTTCCTCCACCAAGCAAGTAGGTCAAAGTCCTGAACGAAAAGCTTCCGGTTTGGCCTTTCCTGTTGACCTACATTCGTTTTCGTTAAAATTCGACTCTTTCCAGTTATTTATCATTGTCATTGCAACCAGGCACTCAAAGTCGACGTCACGCGAAAAATACAACACGATGCTCTTGTCTTGCAAATACAGGTAAATACATTTGGAACTAGATCTACATTGAATCTAAAAAATAAGCAATAAGGTACAGCTGGGAAATAACATTTTGGTAGATCTAGCCTAGGCCCTAGTCTAAAAAATTCTCGAAATCGTTGTTCCCTCTTCAAAAGAGAAGACGCGAAAATCTTTCCTTATAAGGGCAAAATATTTCCCATGATGCAGTTCGCGAAGGAACGAATTTATACTTCCTTATTTTCCCTCGAACTCCTATGCAGTGTCTCGGTATAGACACTGCGGCGGGCAGATTATGGAATCCCCAGAATTTGGGGAAGATAGTCCCCCTTTTTGTCACAGATGTACTTGTTTTTCACACAACTTATAAAATATATGTTCTTTTATGTTCACCAATAATTATTTTGTCAAAATATTCCAAAATCAATGAAATATAAGAGGAAATCCCCGCGGAAGGAATTCTGAGTAAAAGTTGTGTTGATAAAATTTACCGCACGTGTTGTTTATTAGTTAATACGCGCAATTCAACCAATAAAATTGTCTAAATTTTACAATCACGCGATCTGAGCATGGGACTAGAACCAATCACGTCAGTTGTTTATTGCGATGTTACCATGCTTACGGTGAGATACCTGCCCGCCGCAGTGATATATCACTGCACGGGAGTTCGATTTTCCCTCGTAGGTTTAAGGACAGGGTGCATGATGGGAAATTTTCTGCATTCCTCAATTGAGTCACATGTTATTTTTCAAACAAGAATAACTCCTTCCCCACATTGTCTACATCTTTCAAGTTTGCACAAAGAGTGCACTTATGTGCCTAGAAAAGCCTTGTGAGAAGGTTTGCTTTGTAAAATGTATAAAAAATGAGAAAATACAGTGAAAAAAAATTCTGAAAATTTTCTGATTTTTTTCACGGAATTTTCTTATTTCTTATACACTTTATCAAAACATTCTTCTCACAATTCTTTTCTAGGCACATAAGTGCACTCTTTGTGCAAAACTGGAAGATATAGACAATGTGGGGAAGGAGTGATTCTTGTTTGAAAAATAACATGTGACTCAATTGAGGAATGCAGAAAATTTCCCATCATGCACCCTGACCTTAACATGGGGATTTTCACACCTATTTTTCAAACGATATATTCGTTCATATTCCCGTACGAGAGTACAGAAAAAATTATTAGAAACGATTGATCTTTCATTAATCTTAATATAACAGCTATTTTTTTCATTGTATAATTCATAGCGTGGTGAAAACGATGATTGAAAAATGAGAAAATATTCCGGAAGAGAAGGTCACATGATCAGTAGACTAGTCGCCATATTGGAAAAAACAATTCCATTCGACTTTCAATACTTTCATGCCAATCTTACCACACTACAAACTGCGACATCGATGCAACAACTGAATAAAAGTATTCATCTTCAAATAACATGATAGAGTTACGTTGAAAACCCACAAACAACTGAGCAGTAGACCAAAGAAGACGCGTCGCTATTATCTAGGTCAATCTGTTCAGTGGTCCGAAAGCAAATCTATAGTACTCGTTTCCGAATTTTGTTGTTCATTGTACAATTTTTTATTGATTAAATTGGTATACTGACTATTAAAGCAATGACCAAGAAGAATACTTACGATGGTGTCATTGTTTTATTTAGCGTGCGGGTGTAAAAACAAAATTGAGTAATTAGATTGATTTAGAACTTTTGTGTCACGCAAATAGCTACGCGAAATGCATAGTGGGAAAATACTGACCAATCAAATTTTGTCCTTTTTGAGTGCTTTTTCAGTGCATATTTGCGAACGTTCTGATTCAAAGAGCGAACCGCGAAAAGGAGAATTGCAAAGTCAGCACTATCAATGGTATGATGTCTCTTCCTTTAGTAATATAATAGAGAAAAGTCCAAAAGCTTTTTGTCACAATATTTACTCGAAGTGTTTATATTTCAATTTATCCTTCAAACTGTGGCATTTATGATAATAACTTTACATGTATATGATTGTTACTATATGGTTACCTGCATTTTACAAGCAGCAAGCAAGCAGGCGACCCAGGCGGGCGCTTTTATTTTTTCATAGGGGTGGTAGGATCAAAAACACATTCCAAAATTGATTTATGGACTATCTTTGAGATTATGTTGTCATAACAAAAAAGCTAACATACTTGGGCCTTAGGCCTACCCGAATTAAAAGTATCCAAATTGTCCTTGAAAACATGGACGTCAAGTACGTTTCTGGCTAAAGCTGGAGCATAGATTATTTAGAGGACTGGAAACAAGAATGACCTACCTTTTTATTTCCCGAATCTCGCCTGAAATTAGCTCATCTTGGTGACTGTAACCTGTATATCTGTATTAATAGAGTCTTTTTGTATCGCATCTGCCTCAATTTTAAAGTTTTATTGGTATTTTTAATAATATGATTTCACTGTTTTTATGAACAGGTACGATTAAGCCAAGCAAATGGCAGCTGACCTGTTCAAAGTACTTTTAGTACTAATTATCGCAAATGACCAATAATTTTGGAAACAATATTATAATAAATAGATTACTAAGCATCTAAGGTAAGTAAAACTAGATGAACAACTGAGTTAATAGTGATAAATAGGCCAACACGAATTGGCAGAATTGAAATAGACTGCCATCTTGTTTCCAGTCCTCTTAAATAATCTATGCTCCAGCTTTCGCCAGAAACGTACTTGACGTCCGTGCTTGAAAATAAGAAATCAAGTTTACTGAAGCAGGGTTTAAATTCTTGTCAATCGTTTGTGACGTCACAGGCGTGCTACCTAGCCAACAACAAAACAAACAAGTATATGGTATCATTCAGTGCCTTACACTACCACCCTATGCAGACAGAGCCTGTGGGAAATATTGGGTGCGGAGCAAATGAGCGGAGGGTGCGGAGCTAACGGTTATTTTTGAATTTAAATTTGGGATATTTCTGAAACTAAGCCGTTTTGGGACTTCAAATATACCAAGATATGTGTATTTGACACCAAATATCAATACAATTGTGAAAATAGTAGCGCAATTCATTCTATAGCGACGCAGTGTGCCTTAAACCTTTCCCAGACCTATATATTTTGAAATTATCCTTTTAATACTGAGTCCCCAGCATTCATAAAAAATGGTGTTCAAGGTGCACTATCTATACAAATTATTTTTGCATCTTGGAAGCCAGACAGTATCTGTGTGATTTTATAAAAATTCGGAAATTTTTTCAGATATGAGCCCCCTCTAAATATTGGGTGCGGAGCAGCTCCATGAACGTAGCTCCGAACCCAATATTTAGAGGGGCTCATATCTGAAGAACATTTCCGAATTTTTATAATTCATTGAAAAATATTTAACAAAATTACAGAATTCAAGTTCTGGGGTACATATCACCATTTTCAAACGAATTAGCCCATACAATGACTATATTTCTGCGTTCCCCTATACATAACCTTCATCTTGACACTGTATTTAACATAGGGTTTGCGTCTTGATTTTTGAATATCACTAGGCCAACATAGGGACTCATTTTTAAGTAAAATCTCTGCTTCACCAATGAAAATTAACGAATAAAGTACTGGTAGTTCCAGTTTACGGGACTAAATTCTTGCGATTTTATTCTAAAAATGGCACATTAAGAAAGTACTTGGCCTCAGCTTTACATACATACCTCAAATGGCCATAGTAGATAAATTTAATGGTTATTTGCTTGCAAATTGACTTTAATGTAATGTTTGAGATAGATGTCGCATCATACATATTGCTAGTTTTTGAAATAGCCGTCAGAGGCGGGGCATAGTGAACAAAATTTTTTCAGCCTTTTTCGGCCTTTTAAATCCTGTGTTATATTTTGCAATATTGTTCAGTTTACTTATGCCATGCTCAGTTTGTCCCGATTTTGAGCGATTTTCGTTCGATGGGATAACAAATGGGTGCTATCTTGTAAGAACAAGAAAAAATGAACCTCGCACGGAGTGCCCTGATTCCTCCCAATTACACATCCCAACCTTGCTTCAGTAAACACGATTTCTTATTTTCAACGACAATTTGGTTACTTTTAATTCGGGTCGGGAACTTTTTCCAATTGTGGTTAGCAACAACGACGACGACAGAATCTCAGAGATAATCATACATTTTGATCCTACCACCCCTATGAAAAAAATAAAAGCGCCTGCCTGGGTCGCCTGTAAAATACAGGTAACCGATTGTTACATAAAGTGGGGACCAAAAATAAACCTCAACCATCAAAAGTTGTCACAATGAGATAAATTCTGAAACTCTCCCAAGCAGTAGAAAAATAATTCCCGTTCACTTGAAGTAGCACAATAAATGAATCTAAAGCTTCATACCTGCAAATGATGGATAAATCCCTACCAAATCGAACGAATGTTTTCATGAATCGCCATGTTTGTGAAATCACCTCAACATTTGAAGAGTTGGCATTAGCATGTGAATATCCACTTCAAATTTTGAAGTTCTTAAATTGTCATTATGGACTCAAAATCCACTATATTTGGACTTACTAGGATGGAGAAAATAGAGCACTGAATACACTGAGGTAAGAATTTATTACATGTGCGACAGCATGTCATTTTCATAGCTTTTGTAATTCTTTATGTTCCCCACTGTACCAGTACGATCAAAAAAGTTACTAACATACCAAATGAAAGGTGATTTCCTGGTCAAACTTGCAAAAGTTGGTCCAAATTCTCACTTGATCCATCCACTCCCTCATATACGCATGCGCAGCAGCCCGATGTAAAAATAAGGTGTGGCTAGAGAGCCTTAAATTTTAAGGCTCTTATTTTGATGTCTAATTTTGCTAGAGAGCCTTTTTAGGCAACGAAAATGACAAAATAATTCTGGGATGAGATCAAACGACTTTGATATTTGTATTGATTGTTAAATTACAAATAGGTAGGGTAAAGAATGTGTCAAAGTCATTTGATCTCGTCCCAGAAGCAATATTTTGTCATTTCTGTCGCCTAGAATTCCTTTAATATATTAAAGATGTTGTGATTTGATTGGTGAATGAACTGACAGATCGGATAATTGGATAATTGAGATCATAGGTACAAATTACTCTGTTGCATGTGCCTGTTTATCCTTTTTATTACCTAATTGCTTTGAGGGTGGTGTTTTCAAATAAAAAGAGAATCACAAATAGTTCTTGGCTCATATGGAGAGCCTATTGAATTGCCAATTTGTCTAGTTTATGTTTGTTTATTCATCATATTTATTGTTTACTTCTCTGTGTTAGTTGTTCTTTGAAAATTATGAAAGTCAAAAACATATTATCAAAATGTTTACCTGCATGCATACCAAATTGCGGATAACTTGTGAATGAAATCAGTATTTAGCCTGTTTTGTGAGCATTTTTAAATAGTTTAAGTTCTCTTGGTGTAATGTAACACATTCATGCTAATCCATGAAAGTTGCTGGTCCATGTCCAGCAGAGTCCATAATATTTAAGATGCTTCCAAAACAGAGAACAAGAGGATGAACTACAACCTCTTTTCAAAATGAAACTGGTAATGTTTGGTTTGGTGTTGGTAAAGACTCATATTAAGGGCACACAGATTGAGGAGGTTGATTATATGTAAAGACATCACTGAGCATTTAGGGTGATCTTTTATTTGTTTCTTAGGAGATAAATTGGTATCTAGTTTACTTATCTAAAATCTGATAGTATGAATTTGGATGTTACATGTCATGTTAAGCCTCAGTCACATTTGCTCTACAGCTACGACACCGGGTGTACTGCGGCCATAGCTTCAAAAATTGATATAGAAAATCTACATTATACTGCTCATCCTTTTATTCTGAGCTGCAAATTTCTCTCGCTTTTGGGAAGCTACGGCTGCCGTTCAGTTGCCATAAAACAAATGTGAGGCATCATTCTCAAGATGGTGACTTTTCAGATGCCTTTAGTGTGTGTATTTCTGATTCACTGAATTATCATTCGATTACTTGGCTAACAGAAACGAAATGGCAGTTCAAAATTTTGTAAACAAACAAAATAATGATGTCATTAGATAAGATGTAAGAAATATGATTATATCAATTAGAACATCACATCACATGTGTTATATTCAAAATATGCTGGAAAAGTTGCATGTAACAAAACAGGTACGTCTTGTGGAAGAAATAATTATGAGGTAAACTATGAAATATGGCTTCTCTCTTTTTGACAATTTCCATGATTTTGCAACTGCTCAGGTTGAGTATGTCAGTTCTGAGTTTCTAACACACTTCTCAACATCATCTTGAGTAGCCAGTCATCATCCATTTCATCACTTCAACCTTTCTATTGTGGGTTTTAATCTTAGTACCAAATACCAGTATAATATAAGTTAATTTGAACCAGATGCCACATTGTTAAGTGTAAATTTCCAATGTATCATGCCTGCTATATGCTTGTAATAAACATGTTGCTAGCTATATGCTTGTAATAAACATGTTGCTAGTTACCAGTGCTAGATTTTGTGAAGAGAGGCACGGCGCAGAACACTAAAGGGTCAAATGTTATAAACTATACATTTTTTACATTTATTGCATCATTTACATGTTACATATTTGTTATTAATTCTCATTCACTCTATTTTTTCCAACATATCCTTCTTCATGCCATTCTTTACTGCTATTTTCTTTGAAGTATTTAAATAAACCCAAGTTTTTCTAATTTTATTCTAATTTTAATCTAAAATATGAAATAAATTGAACTGAATTGAAAATCGGCCATAAAATGACATCATCCAGACATCCACTTAAGTCATGTATCATGAATCTCCATTTGGACTGTGATTATATCTGAATGTTCATCTTAAATGAGTTAACAGTATATAAACTAGTGCCAAGAGTCTCAGAAAAGTTCCTTCTCTTTAGAGCTGATACAACATGGCCACTGTGTCATCATAGTCTATTATAATGACATGGTTCCACTGTCTTTTATCATAATATTTTTTCCTTGTCTATATTCATGGCATGATGGCATATTGTCTATTATCATGACAGGGTTTTAATGTCTGTTATCATGACCAGGTTTTATTGTCTATTATCACTACAGGTTTTTTGTCTATATTCATAGCATCATTTTCTTGTATATTGTCATGACATTGTTTTCTTCTCTAAAAGGTCTTTTGCTTCATTAATTTTGGCAGCTAAATATGGTGAACCACCTGAAAATAGAAACATAAATTAAAAAATTATTTTGTAATCATGATTAACCAGAACAACGGCAACGCCAAAGCGTAGCGAATCCCATCGAACAGCCATGGATGGCATTTTTACAAACGAAGGATATAGCAAAAATGGCAGCCATTTTTCAAAATGGCCACCTTCTACCAAAAGTGTCATTAGACCATGTGCCATGCTTATAGTATTGACATACCAAATATGAACAAAATCGCTCCACTACTTTTCAAGTTATAGTAAAATACGTTAAAATGGCGGCCATTTTTCAAAATGGCCACCTTCTACCAAAAGTGCCATTAGACAGTGTATATACAGTGCCTATAGTATTCACATACCAAATATAAACAAAATCGCTCCACTACTTTTCGAGTTATAGTAAAATACGTTAAAATGGCGGCCATTTTGAAAAATGACCGCCTTCTACCAAAAGTGTCATTAGACAGTGTGCCATGCTTACAGTATTCACATACCAAATATGAAGAAAATCGCTTCACTACTTTTCGAGTTATAGTAAAATATGTTTAAATGGCGGCCACTTTTCAAATTTTTTTTCAAAATGGCCGCCTTCTACCAAAAGTGTCATAGGACAGTGTGTCATGCTTATAGTATTCACATACCAAATATGAACAAAATCGCTCCACTACTTTTCGGGTTATAGTAAAATACGTTAAAATGGCGGCCATTTTGAAAAATGGAGGCCATTTTTCAAAATGGCCACCTTCTACTAAAAGTGTCTTTAGACAGTGTGCAATGTTTATAGTATTCACATACCAAATATGAACAAAATCGCTCCACTAGTTTTCGAGTTACAGCAAAAATCGTAAAATAACGAGTAAAGACCGCCATTTTTCAAGATGGCTGCCATGTGCTTCTTTCATATCTACATTTCTAGCTTTCTTAATGTCCTATTTAATTTTTTTACATCTAAAACATATTGCTGTTACAATTTTACATATTGTACCTAAATTACTGTAAATTCGACACTAAAATGGCCGCCATTTTGAAATGAGCCGCCATTTTGAAAATCGGCTTTCGAGCAGAACTTCTACCCCCATAGGGTATATGTGTACAAAATATGAACAAAATCGGGCCAACGGTATTTGAGTTATTGCCCGGACGGACGGACGGACGTACGTACGGACGGACAGACGGACGGACGGAGGCGTTCCCTATATCCCTCCGAACTTTGTTCGATGGGATAATTAGCTTATTGTTAGCTATAGATTATTATCTATGAGACACACAGGGTGAACAATATTACACCTTTGAACAGATTACCAAGAAGGATTAATAAGTTTGGCAATACAGTAATACCTGTCTTAGTGAACACTTCTCTCTAGTGAACACCCATGTCCAGTGAACACCTCTTTTTAGCACATGCTCAACTGAGTTCTGTATAAAATTGCCTCTCTAGTGAACACCTACTTATAGTGAACTGATATTAACAAGAAAATGGGAAGGAGTGGTATAAAGAATCTCCATTTCATCCTTACCTCTGTCTGGGTGGTTCAATAACATTATTCGCTTGTGAGCTTCCTTCATTTTAGCTGGACTACTGCTTGGACTGAAACACAAACATATCAATCGATGATTGTATCAAATGAGTCAAATATTGGGTCTCCTTTCTCAGATGAATATAAGAGGAAATTAGCTGCTAAGGGACCTGACACTATAAGTTATTGACAGGAAATTCACAATCAAGGAATCCTTTTTCATTTTTTGACATTATGAATTTATATGAATAAAATCAGACAAATAATGAACAGAACACTACACGGAATAGTAAATCTCACTGAACAAAACATATTTAATCAAATCACATTTACACATTTGAACATTTCCTGATCAAAGTTTCTAGAGACAAAGCTTTTATAGCCACAACTATTTTGAATTGAGTAACTGAAGGACAGTGGCCCTGTTTTGCTGTTAAGTTAACATTCTAGCCCAAATAGACAGTGTTTAGATCAAGACCAACAGTTTCTTAAAACTGAGAGAACTTGGGAAAAGCCGATGCCGAGTCAAATAAATACATGAATAGAGATGAAATAAATGTACTTAGAACCTAAAACAAGAAGCAGTGATATTTCTACCATTGATGTTGCTGAACCAATGGATGAGTAGATAGAGGGAATGGCAACCCACAGAGAATCAGCTCATATGAGATGCTCTATTTGATTGGTAGAAATAATACAATTGTGGAATAAAAGGCCAGAAGGCAGTAAGATTGAAGATAGGATGAATTTTCAGCTTTTCAACTTGAGTTTTGACTTGCTTTTAGGATCAGTACATGATTTTATAATTGATTCCCTATAGAATGATCGGAGCTGTTGAAGAATTCATCAATAAACCTTATCCAGGGTCAGCTACTAACAAGAGCTTGTTTTTAACAGAAAATGTAGAAGGACCTACCTGACTCCAAGAACTAGGCCAGCCTCCCGTTTAGACATCTTGGGTTCGAAACCACCTTTGTAATATTTACTAAAGGACTGAAAACAAACATAAAAACTCAAATGCTGCTTTATTAATTTGAAACTAGTACCAAAGGGTATAGAGGGGGATGAGTAAGGTGTAATGGCTCTCATTTTACTTTTAGTGGTTCAATTTTCATATAACCCTTATGTATCTAATAGTTATGCAAATTAAAATATGTCCAGTAAAAGAAAATGTTATCTGTCCAATACAAGAAAAGATAATTCACTTTTTGTGATTTTGTAACATGGGGTCTATGGGGAGTCAACCCGAACAAGAAGTCACTTTTTCAAAACTCAAATATATGCTGCTTTATTTATTTGAAACTAGTACCAAAGGGTATAGAGGGGGATGAGTAAGGTGTAATTGCTCTCATTTTACTTTTGGTAAAGTGCTGTATCAACTGTGAATAACGCAAATGCGAGTAGGTATTTACCAGATTCACCACCAGGTGGCTCGTTCGGGTCAGATAACATGGCGGGTATAGTGGATTTTTTGTGGATATTTAACTTAAATGACATTTGTTTTAGTGGTTCAATTTTCATATAACCCTTATGTATCTAATAGTTATGCAAATTAAAATATGTCCAGTAAAAGAAAATGTTATCTGTCCAATACAAGAAAAGATAATTCACTTTTTGTGATTTTGTAACATGGGGTCTATGGGGAGTCAACCCGAACAAGAAGTCACATTTTCAAAAAAATTAAATTTTCAAAGTTGATAGACAATTCTCGAAACCATATTTCTAGATGTACTTTTACATGCAGATTTCAAATATGACATCGCTTTGACTGAATTTTGGATATTTAATGATGTAAATCAAGATTATTTCTACTCGCATCTAGTCTATTGATTTAGAAATGGCATTAAAAAATGACTTAGACATTCCCATCCTATGAGTATGAAGGGAGATAGATGATTTTATAAATCCTAAGGCCAAGGATTTAATATACTGATTTACTTTAATTCTGACATCCTTGAAATATAATTACTGTACATCACATTTACACTGAATTTAACTCCACTTTGGGGCAGATTTGGCAAGATGAATTAGAGTTCTTGGTGAGTTTCACCACATGTTACTCACCCCACTAGGAATTGAATCCATTTGTTTCTTTAGTGTTTGGCCCATTGTTTTAGCATGACGACTCGCATAGCGACCTACAATCAAGCAACAACAACAATAATAGTAAATTATTTCACTAACTAGAACTGATATTTAGAAAAAGGGTGGGCTTACTCGAACATTCAATTGGTAAAGTAAACTAGAAAATGGGGTACTCAATGGAGTAGCAAATCCCAACGAACAAACTCTTCATGAATCTGAATTATGTCACAATATAATATTTCAGTAGAATACAGTATTATTATAGCCATACTTTTAGTCCGGATGTGAAGTGCCATATTTTAAGTGAAGGTGGAAATGCTTATTATATGAACTTTTTTTGCATTTTCTGTTTAAACATGATATCCATAATCAGAAACTGTCGGATGCCCACGGGCACCCTTGAGGAATTTTTTGGGCAGCCATTTTGAATTTTCACACGTTTTATGTATTTTAGCCAGCATGTTAGAACAGAAAACTAGCATACACATAAACAAATCTTGCTGTTTTTTCTATAATAGATTTTTAATATGATGTTTACCAATATGTTAGGTTCCAGAAATGTTTCTTGACAAAAATAAAAAAATTCAAGATGGCCACCAACCGTACAATTTATTAAATGTCTCATTCTGGGATAATATCAAATTGATATTAGTGTTTTCTACAAAATTATCAATAAATAATACTAAATACATCTGATTATGATCTCTTTCTCACATATAAAATATCTGAAATGAGTAAAAAGTAACCTACATAATAATAATGATGTTCCACAAGGGTCATATCTTGGTGCTATATATATCTTGAATTTATGAATTATTTTCTTTTACTAAGATTTCATCAAGGATTTTCCTCAATAAATCCTCATCAGTTTCTTCCAATTCCTGTTCAGTTACTGCCTTTGTATGTTGGTTATTGCATTCATTCCCCTTGCAAACACAGAACAATGTACATGATAAAGATGACTTGGAGCATGAACATCGCCCAGTTCCACATACATTGCCCTCTGATGCACATGTGCACTTAATGAGCTGAAGAATTCCTTCGGGGTACAGGGTGTATCCTTGGGCATTGTTGTTGGAACAAGTGAGCCCGTGTAATTCCATAACATCTAGAAACAAATTCTGTTGAAGTTTTCTCAATTTCAGTCATGTCTGCATTGACATCTCCCAAGTTAGCGAGTGAGTATCTATTTAACACCTTCAGGACTGTTAGCTTGCCAATTCCATGCATGCAAGATGTCGTATCACTGCCAGAGAGACCATGCGCAGCTAACAAGTTTGGTATTTTTAATTTGTGTTCATTTACGGTTGCATTAATGTTAATGTTTGCTCGGCGAGATGATGTTCCCTCCATTATGATGTTATTTTCCATTAACTTGTGCTTGAGACAGTGATGAAGAAGTAGAAGGAAAACATCAGAATCATCACTGAGTACACTGATATTCTGTATGCCTTTACTGGCAGCATGCAGAACCTGGTGTACAATAACAACATCTGCTTCTTCTTGAGTGGTCCTTAAGTCATCACGTTGGTCAATATTGCCTTTGTGAATTTGTACAGGTGTTGGATCAGGACCTGTGATAACAAGGATGTTGGAGAATGATCCTTCACTAGCTTTTTGAGCAAGATGGTCGATGACACACTTTATCAACTGGACCTTGTTCTCAGTCACATTCAGAACAACATTCTGTACAGGGAGAGGTGTGTCAGAGCTGAACTTATGCACTCTACTGGCTGATTGAGCTCGAGATGACCTGGTGCTGTTCTTTATGCTATTGTCTTTATATCTGTCAAAGATAAGGTATACATCTGATTCGGTTAGGAGTCTCAGGATGTACTTAGTGAAAGCAATACAGAAGTTTTCAATTTTGCCAGCCATCGGCCATGTTATGATCCAAAGGATGGCACACCCATCAACGACACGTACATTGCAATTGTTTCCTTGTGAGGTCACCTCAATCTGTAACTTTTGTTTCAGTGTTGATTTTGAAGTTGTGATATTAATTTCTCCATTTTCATCAAATAGTGATGATGGAGGAAACATCATCTGGCCGGGCAAACATTAACATTAATGCAACCGTAAATGAACACAAATTAAAAATCCCAAACTTGTTAGCTGCGCATAGTCCCTCTGGCAGTGATACGACATCTTGCATCTTGGAGTCCTGAAGGTGTTAAATAGATACTCACTCGTTAACTTGGGAGATGTCAATGCAGACATGACTGAAATTGAGAAAACTTCAACAGAATTTGTTTCTAGATGTTATGGAATTACACCTAAAGTCACAGACAAAATGTCTGATGTGAGATATGCTGTATGAGCAAAGAAAAATGCTGCAAAAATGTTGCAAAATTACAAATGCACCAAAGCTAAAATCCCTCCCACCAACAACAGAAGCATGTTCCCAGTATGTGAAGCGAGCTCATTTCCAAGTAGCTATATGGAAAAATGCTGATATGCCTGACCCCCCACTTATCCTTCCAACAGATTATGGTTGGGAAATTAACAGCACGGGCTCACTTGCCCCAACAACAATGCCCAAGGATACACCCTGTACCCCGAAGGAATTCTTCAGCTCATTAAGTGCACATGTGCATCAGAGGGCAATGTATGTGGAACTGGGCGATGTTCATGCTCCAAGTCATCTTTATCATGTACATTGTTCTGTGTTTGCAAGGGGAATGAATGCAATAACGAACATACAAAGACAGTAACTGAACAGGAATTGGAAGAAACTGATGAGGATTTATTGAGGGAAATCCTTGATGAAATCTTAGTAAAACAGGGTTCGTACACCTTTTTCAAAATGAATTTCCCTGACAATTCCCTGACATTTCCAGGCAAAAAAGGAAATTTCCAGATCTAATTTTCCTTGCACGGCCTCTAAAAAGTCTCAAACGGTAACTGGTCAAGTCGTACACAAGACAACTCGTACCCAAGTCGAGCTGTACCCAAGACAACTCGTACCCAAGTTCATGTTTTGTTTTCAATCAAGTGTTGGAATGTGAATGGGTATAGAAATACATATTATAATTGTTACATACAGTTCAGAATAGTTGGAAGTATGTAGAAGAGTTTTTGGAAGAAATCTATTTAATTTTGTGACATTTTGAGGTTTGAAAAATTAAGTGTTCATCTATTTTGACTATTATTTTATATTGGTCGCAGATTCAGGATGTTTGAGGGAAGAGACCTATGTTTATTCCACATATTCATAATCATTGTTCAAAATATTAGAGGTATTTTTGTATGTTTATGAGTGTTTGGAACAAGTGTCAGATCTTCAAGATGGTATTATTTAAAATATAAAGATTTATCAAAACTTGGGCCTAGGGTCCATGTGCAGTATGGCAAGTGATTTCGTCATATCTTTCACCATGAGTACTTTCTGGGCATAAATACAGTGAATTTAAAAAAATCAATATGTTTTCTTTTAAATGAAGTCCCCATGGCGATAAAAATATCAATTGACGTTTCGAAAAATTATAAATAGGGACTCCACATCAACAATTTTTTCAAAATGTTGAACTAATATTTGCTCAAAAGAGGATCTAATTTTTCTGATTTTTATTGCATGAAAAGATTAGTCCTATTAAACAAGGGGTCTAAAACATCTTCAAAACTAGAATGGTATTGAAAGTCTAGTTTTGAAGATATCAATTTTCGATGACCAAAATCATGCTGAAAACAATGGATAGCATAAGTTTTCCCTATGGGAGAATAACATGGGAAATGTGGTTTTTAACTTTATCGCATTTCAATACCCATCCACTTTTCAGAAGTTATTAATCTAGTGTAGTAGAAACTTTTGAGATATTTAAATTGAGAAAAACAAGATCCTCTTTTTAGGAAATAAGCCTTACATACTGAAAATAAACTTGGGTACGAGTTGTCTTGGGTACCAGTTGTTTTGGGTACAAGTTGTCTTGGGTACCAGTTGTCTTGGGTACAAGTTGACTAGGAAGCATCTCAAACAACTGTATTATTAAAGACAAAAATACTTATTATGAAACATTTTGGGTTTCTCCTTCAGTACCATTTCTCATGACTTAACTTTACGGAGCTTCACCACAGAAATTTTTTAAAATTGACATTGTATATGGTGCATTCTAAGCATTTCAAGCTATAATTTGTTAATGTTTTGTAATGAATCAAAATGACAACTAAAACTTTAAAATTTTGATCTAAATCCTACTAGAAAAATAGCAACTCACTTGAGGGGCAATTCCCACCTAATGAAACTTCTTAAAAATTGTATAATATTATTCTTGAGCAGGTTCTTTGTCCCTAAGGCTACATCATACAAAATTTGAGCCAAAGTAAAATGCTGAGTTCATCTTTACACAAACAAAAATTTGGACCAAATTCAAAATCTGTTTATAGTACCCCACACACATTTTGGTTGCCTTCTTCCATGTGCTAAGGTTTTCAAAATTGGCAAAGCCCCTGAAAGTTGAAAAGACTGACGTCGGCCGGACTGTGGAACAGACAGCTTCTTAATACAAATACAATTTAACACTGTAAAGAGCTCTCAGCATTTTTTTGTTTTTCACCTCCTGCCCCCCCCCCCCTCAGATTAACCCCTCAACAAACCATGAAACATATACCAGTAATTAGCTTTGAATGGCCTAAGACTATTAGCTTACTACATGGAAAGCATAATGGTGTTATATCATCTATATATTATTTTTATTGTTCGGTTTCAGTGTAATGTTCACACTGTTCTTACAAATAGACAATACCAGATCTAATGTCATTCAATCAACCCTAATGAAAAGATTTGCAATTTGTGGAAACAACTAAATGATTTTGGATTTCGATGATATCCTGTCATAGCCCTAAAATGTATTTTCCTGGAACACTGTTTTTCAACAATGATACAAAATTCCCTGACATTTCCCTGACACATCTACTGTTTCAAAATTCCCTGACATTTTTGGCCCTTTTTGACCCAATTTTAAAATTCCCTGACATTTCCAGCACCTGGAAAAATAAATCAATTTCCCTGACATTTCCAGGTGTGTACGAACCCTGTAAAAGAAGATAATTCATAAATTCAAGATATATATAGCACCAAGAAATGACCCTTGTGGAACATCATAATTATTATGTAGGTTACTTTTTACTCATTTCAGATATTTTATATGTGAGAAAGAGATCATAAGCAGATGTATTTAGTATTATTTATTGATAATTGTGTAGGAAACACTAATATCAATTTGATATTATCACAGAATGAGACATTTCATACATTGTAAGGTTGGCGGCCATCTTGAATTATTTTTTTTTGTCAAGAAACATTTCTGGAACCTAACATATTGGTAAACATCATATTAAAACTCTATTATAGAAAAAACAGCAAGATATGTTTATATGTATGCTAGTTTTCTGTTCTAATATGCTGGCTAAAATACATAAAACGTGTGAAAATTCAAAATGGCCGCCAAAAAAATTCCTCAAGGATGCCTGTTGGGCATCCGACAGTTTCTGAATATGGATATCATGTTTAAACAGAAAATGCAAAAAAAGTTCATATAATAAGCATTTCCACCTCTATTGGCTCTACATCCAGACTATTTAAAGAGTTCTCTTATAATTATTGAAAATTTTCGCATTAGGTGGCTGTTTAACATGTTAAGATTTTTCGAAGGATGAATTTTAAGATAAATAAATGAACTAGAAAACAGAAACCCTGCAGAAAAGCCAATGATGCGAATCCCACATGACAAAACATTATTCATTCAGCTGGACCAAATCTGGTAACTAGTTGTGTTATTAGATAAATTCATAATTTGAAATGATGGCCATTTTGAATTCAAAATTTCTTCAGCATATAACATTTGAACCAAATCTGTAAACTGGTATTTGAGTATTAGAGATTACATTTTTTGTTTAAATGGCAGCCATGGCAAGCCTGTATATGAATCCTAAATGGACTGATTTAAACCAACTGTCAGGTGGAGAGGTTCACAATATAACCAAAACAAAACAATGGAAATACATACCTGCAAACCCTACTGCTGCCAATCCAAGGCCTGCAAGAATTAAGCCAGAACTCTGAAAAGAACAACACTAATACATATATATTATACATGTACATGTATTGTGTGAATGACTTTCATACTTCAAATGAAGAAAGAAGGAGAATCTAACTATAAAGTATTAACTGCAGTTGCTGAAAACAATTGTGATTCAAAATTGTGATCAGATGGCTAAAATAAATAAATAGTACCATGGGTACTGGGCACACAAAGAGAAAGTGTATTCTAGACATTATTGTTAACCTATACATTTAGCTGCCTGTATAGTCGAGTACAGTTGGGGACATAAATAAATGACAGGTGGATTTGCTGAAGTGAGGATTTCCCATGTTAAAAATAAGAGAATTTACAAGAGGCCATACATCAGTGGATGAGATTATACAAAATGTAAAATATACAAATTTTAAGGGATATATATCTAGACAATATTGGAAATTATGGGCTTTCAGACCACCATAATTAGGAAATGGTGATCGAAAATCGACCTGTCATTTATTTTTGTCCCCAACTGTAAATCAATGCAATACTTTTGAATTTAAGCACATAAAAAGTCATATTTTATCAATGAAAATGATGGACATTTTTGATCTTTGTGACAAATTGTCAAGAACTGTAGATATCATAAATTGTTTATATAGAATAACGTACAGTAGTTGAACAATTTCAAGCTACTTTATGACCAAAAAGAGCTAGCTGAAAACATGAATTGTGGAGGATTTCAAATAAGCTACCAACGAGTTGACAGACAGACAGATGGACTAAGAGACAGATGGACAGACAATAGCTGACCCATATGAGCTAGAAATAAACAGTTTAGTACGAATCACTTTTTATGAGGTGATCAAACCTTAAAAAACTAGAAATCAGCAACTCCAAAGAGTAGCAAATCCAAACAATCAAAATATTCATGAATGCAGGGCCCCAGGTGCAGGGCTCTCGCTAGGCTTTCGGACTCTGGTATAGCACCACACTCTACTTAGCTCCCACCACACCCTACTGGCAAATCATGATTGTTACCACAGTCAAAACTTGACTAAATACACAATAATAGAATGTAAAAGGATAAAATATAACATAAACATGATGTATCATGATTGAACGGTTATGTTGGAGTTGTTTCCACCATACCCTAAATATATACATGTCACTATATAATATTTAGTATTTACTCTGCCATTGATTTACAGATGATAAAGGGCTGCCATTAGAAATATATTACGACATACATCATGTGATCCAATTATGCGCAATGACTTATACATGATTTCTGTCACAGTGTTGCGACAGCCAATCAGATTACGAGTTCTTAATCGGGGAAATGCTAACTGCTTATCGCAGGGGGTAAAAGAAAGAATACATTCTGGATTTTGAAGCCCTGTGGTCGGAGGATGGAGCACTCGTGACTCTGTTTAGTTTGAAAACCCACCGTTTATTTACTGTTCACACTGTATTCCAATTAATACCTTTGGTCTTTACTCTCAATAGTATGCAACTGCGTATTCTGTGTATATGTTGTTACGCCATGCTTAGACTTTGCTAATGCTGTATCATCCAAATTCAAAGTTCAATCAACTTTTGAGAAGGGATTGATGGGGGAAAACAAAAATAAAATTCAGAATAGCTTACCATACTTGGCCCTCGTATATCTGCTTCGGTGTTTAGGTTTGCCACATTGGCTGCTAATTATTCTTACTAATAAGAAAGTATAGAAACACGTCTCGTGTCGTTTATCAGTTGATTTCTAGAGAGGCTTGAGTTCTCTCTTTCTTACGAAATAACATGTAAAACAGGGTATCACACCAGTAATTATGAGAATACTTCACCTAGCATTTCGTTCAGAGCAATTGTGCATTCCTTCTCTCATGAAGATGTTACCCAGGAATGTTATTGTTAGAATTTAATGAATTTTTCAGAAGATGGTTGATTTGCTTTCAGGAAAAATATAGGTTGAGGGATATTCCAAGGGTTTCCATCGGTCGATGAAAAAGGCGACGGTCCAAAAACTGAAAGTGCTTAAGATAAATTTACTGTAATGACACCTTTAGTCCGACTTCCGGTAAAAATTGCACTGTTGCAAGTAAAATAAATTTCCATTTACATTTGTTATCACACTTCATAAATCTCTCTTAATATTCAAACATATTAAGCAGCTGCTTACACACAGACATGCACGGGGTAAGTTGCTACTTAGAGCCTTAGAGCTTAGATCTAGAGGGAATAAAATGGTAGATTATTTTTTAGTTTTTTTTTACAATTTATGTTTCATTCAAATTTATCTAGACTACCAAGAGGGGGAGAAACCCCAGGGTTCAAAGATGACATATGCTTATGATGTAAATCTGTATTGAGATGACATCGTCGCTGATTGGTTTAGCGAGTCGATCGTTGATTGGTTTAAAACTAGGTCAATTTGAAAACTAAGATGGAGGGTAAGTACTTCCGGGAAAGGAGGTGCGCGAAGGAGGAAATCGTATGTCATCAATTGAATCATTGGGTTTCCCCTCCTCTTTAGACTACCGTACCACAATCCAGTCACAGATTTCCAGTGTAGAAATCACAGATCCCAAGTTATCGCATCCTACGACCCCTTTAGATTGTGGTCGTACGCCAGGCCTGTCAACTGTCCCGCAATTTGCGTATTTGTCACGCATTTGCTGAAGAATTTGAAGTCACGCCAGTTATTTTTGCGTGACAGAAAATGTCACGCAAATACGCATTTTACCTGGTAATTGTCACGCAAAAATATTTCTGTAGAAAAATTTCTAAAAAAGATCGTCTACACAGCAAAAATACGAACGCCGGAAAATAATGTACGCATTCCCTTCGGAATTTTCACGCGAATTACGTATATGTCACGCATTCCGTTCGAAATTTTTCGTACCTACCCCCCCCCCCCCCCCCCCACCGCGAGCGAGCATAGCGAGCGCGAAAAATTTGAGGTGTTCAAAATTTGGCAAGATGTAATAAAATTTAAACCAAGGTGTTCAAAATTTGGATCAAGGTGTCCAGATTTGGACCAAGGTGTCCACATTTTGAGGGGAGGTGTTCAACATTTCCAAGTCACTCATGTTAGGTGTTCCCAAGTTGACAGGCCTGTCGTACGCCGGTATCATTGGTAAGCCTGTCTTTCTACAATGTCGGAGAATGAACTACGCATTGCACTATTAAATGACCTACCTCGATACATTCCAGAGTATTTTAGAATTCTTTTTATGTTGTTAGATCGCCAATTGTATGGGTTTATCGGCAGAACGAAGAGATTTTAGTTTTTACATCGGAAATATATCAGCAATTTTCAAAATGTCGGAAGGGGAATTCCCCAGGGATTTCCCTTATGACTGGTGCATGCCGGGAACTGAATGGAGGAATTTGACGGTTGAAATAAGTTAAATATTACACGCAAATATTGCTATCAAAAACGAAAACCTCATGTTCTGCTGATAAACCCACACAATTGTGGATTCAACTACACAAAAAGAATGCTAAAATACCAAGGAATCTATTTAAATACACGAGGGGAAAGAGTACCCGTGTATATACAACCTACCGCCGAGCAAAGACCCGAAGATGTCTGAAAATGTAGGGGGTGAGTTATAAACTTTTGTTTATATCTTGAATTTCTCAATATGAGAAACAGATAAAACACAGAATTGTGTGTAACTGATAAAGTTATTGTTCCAGGCACTCATGTTTGCAAAATAATGAGTACTTAGCGCAATGTTTACTATCCAATCGCTAAATTCAACTTTTAAATATTTGAATGATGATTTACATCTTGAATAAGTAACAACCATGGCTGTCTTTACTTCATTCGATTCAAAGATACAATAGGTGTAAATGTATCATATTTATTTCACTGCCATACGTTGCATATCATTGAAATCACTGGTGAAAGTTGAAAATGAAAGACCCGATTATGTCACGAGTACGATTATATAGGACCCGAAGCTACCACCGAGCTATTCCGACTATACCGTGAGTAGAACCCGATGAGGTAGTGAGTACGTTTTCGAATGAGCATATAATATCATGACGATATCACAAATATTCCTTTTTATGGACCCCTTTTTATTTATCATATACTCCTGGCACCGGGATATAATATAATATGATATAATTCCCGCAGCACTATACGTCAACGTCTGTTTCCGGCAAAGTTCTTTAAAACATTGAATTCATGCTTACACTTGAATCACCATCATTTCCTATGTGTCTATGGTAAGAGTGCAACCCAAAAACATTTAATTCTGCATTGCAAGCGCCATTCTACTCAAAGAACACAACTTGAAGAATCCCAATCTTCACAAGCTTCATTTCCTCGAAACGAAAATTACCGTGATCTTTCTTTGATAATACAATACCATAGTCAAAAACATTGTAAATCCATTTTTTGCCATTTAACTCAGGCACATTAACCGAGGGCTCATAGGAACCAAGGGAACACATATTGTATATCCCAAAGAATATTTTAATACTCAGTAATGGATGGTGCTGACTGAAGTGGACCACAAAGTCATCCATCTCGTGTGATTTATAACTACAGTGGAAGCATTTGTACCGAGGACCTGAAATACAATGTTTCGATGTGCAGTGGTAACTGGTGATAGCCATATTTTTTCAGTTTCATTTATTGTTCACAACAAAATGATTCACATGAATGATGCAGATTGTATGTTTATTACTTTTTCATCAGCACGTCATAAACTCGACGATATAATCGGATCTCAACTGATTTTACTCAAGTAATGTTCGGATACTGAGATCCTTTACTCAAGATATTTTCTACTCGTCGATCACATCGGGTCCGATGTCCGATAACCTCGGATCTTTTAGGACAAAGTTTAAGTGAAGATTTTGCTGTTCAAAAGTGCTATTTTGACCTAATATTTTGACACTTAATATATTATGCATATGCACATCCATTTACCGACCCAAGTATGTCTTATGTATGGCTCATTATCAATTAAAGCGAGTATGAATGAGAAAAAACAAATCGAAAACCATTATACGTTTACCTTATCTCTTAATTTGGACATAAAAATATATTTCAACTATAATTCTAGGCCAATTGCGCCTGCTAGAACATCTTAGTAACAACTCTAACCATCCAAAGGAATTGTTAGTGACATTATATTACCTATATTGTCCATTTTCCTACGAGATGACATTATCAAACATTTGCTCGGCGGTATGTGCGTGTCTTGCTCGGCGGTAGGTTGTATATACACGGGTACTCTTTCCCCTCGTGTAAATAGGTATCTTGAGTGTAAGTAGCGTAGAAAATTCTCCCATGTTGTAATCGTACAGACAAAAGAATAAGACGTTCGCGAGACTAGAACGTAGAGATAGTCTTGGGAGGAGATAAATCCCAAGCAAGATCCAGTCCTCATAGGATGATAGTTCTGATAGGCTCAATAATATAACAAGACGGGACACAAACATAGTACATCAGAAAAATGAACACCCAAAAATATGACCCTCGTACTGAAATAGAGTTTTACTGGGACAATTATGAGATGCCCCGAAATTATGACTGAGATATGGCAATGGTCGGATTTTCAACTTTCTATGAGAATGGTCTTTAAAAAAATTTTGTGACGTCACACTTGTTGTATGGCATTGGTCTTGTAGTTGCACATACATGTATCTTTAATTTGAGGTTGTTTGAATTTGTTTTTCTCAAAGATCTAGCTTTTTTTCAGGGCTTCTTCAGTTTGGATATCACTTTTCCGCTTGTGGTATGGCATTGGTCCCATATCTGAACATTTGGTTTGGCATTGGTCTTATATTTGGACATTTGGTATGGCTTTTGGCGTTATTTTGGTTGGTATGGGAACACATTGAATTTGACAGATTGGTATGGGAACTTATTGATATCTGAGGGTTCAGCCTAGGACTCCCCCAAATTTTGAATACAGTGACCCCTACTTTTAGCAATTTTCAAAAACGTTATGTCCAGTGTAATTAATGAAGGAGTGCTCAATTCAATTACTCAGATGCAAGTAGGTAGTTACCAGTTTCGCCACCAGGTGGCTGATTCGGGGGAATTAACATGGCAGGGTATTACAAAATTCCCTTAAACTTGAATGTGCATCAGTTTTAGTGGTTCACTTTTCATATTACCCTTATGTATCTGATAGTTATACAAATTAAAATATGTCCAGTAAAAGAAAATATTATCTGCCCGTCACAAGAAAAGATATTTCACTTTGGTTTTACAACATGGAGTGGGGTCTATGGGGAATCTCCCCGACCAAGAAGTCACATTTTCAAAGAAAATTGAATTTTCAAAGTTGATAAACTCTTCAAAACCACATTTCTAAATGTCATTTTACATGTAGATTCCAAATATGACATCAGTTTGACTGAATTTTTAATGACGTAAATCAAGATTATTTCTACTCGCATCTGGGATATTACAATAATAATATTGCCGTTTTTGAGCTTAATAATTAGTATTTGTATTAAAATTAGGTATTGATTGCAATATGATAGAACGCTTATAATGCCCAAGTTATAATTTATTTTGTATCACGCGGTCCTAACTTCGACCGTTAATTTGAATTTTTGACCTACCGGATGTTTGAAAATCAAGGATTACGAGTCTCATACTGCACCATTTTTCTTCAAATTTGTTGCATTCAAAGCCTAACAAAAATCCCTTTCTGATGGTGCATTATTCTCTTAAACAGAGTCCCTACTAAGAGTCCCTACTAAGAGTCCCTACTAAGAGTCCCTACTTCCAGCGGCATTTTGGTCCCCAGCCGTAAGAAGGCCTTCTAACCACCAGTGGACCAAAACGCTGCTAGAACGAGGGACTCTTTACAATAAAGCAATGCACCGACAGAAAGACAATTTTGTTTTGCTTTTAATGGTAAAGGTTTGAAGAAAAATGGTGCAGTATGAGACTCGCAATCCTTAATTTTTAAGCATCTGGTAGGTCAAAAAATTCAAATTAACGGTCGAAGTTAGGACCTCGTGTGTATATAAATGTGAAATTATTTGGGGAATCCATTAACAGTTCCGGGTGTTTCTCCAAAGCTACGTATCTTTGTTTGGGAAATTAGTCACATTGTATTGGATTTCCACATGAGTGGGCTATGAGTATTGCACTTGTTCAAAGATACGACCATCTAAAGTCACTTGTCATACTAATGAATACAGAAAGACACATATGTTGTCACAACCTTTATTTTACTTACCTGAATGTGTAGAAAATCATTTTTCTTACTTTACTGCTATATTTATTATTTGTAACATTATTATGACTAACATTGATTTTATGCTTGTTTTCACAGTGAGACATTTTACATCATGGATCAGCCAGTCGACACTGAGACAAGATTCTCTATTGAAAACAATCACTTGAGTGCAAGACTTGCTTCATTAAGAAATGAACAAAAGATATGTGATATCACATTTCGTTTGCAAGATGGTAATGAAATAAAGGCCCATAGGTCAATTGTTGCTGCATTCAGTAATTATGTGATGAGCATGTGCTCGCAGAATACAAATCAATTAATCGTTGGTTTGGTTGTGAACTTACCACAAGCTTCTAGAGAAGATTTAGAACGAATCTTGGATTTTATATATGGTGTTCCACTACTGTTAAACTGGAATGAGCTGCAAACACTGAGAACTTTATCTAAAGAACTTATGATTCCTGACCTCGATGCAGCCATAAGTAAGGCATTTCATGGTCATGTTGAAGACACTAAATTCATGCATGATGGATACCCATCAGGACAATATACAGATAGCTGCAAGTCAGAGCATGGTGTAAAGCAGGAGCCCCCTGATGAAGACTCATATGGCCTGCCTGACTCTGGATCTTCTCAGGACAATATGCATGATGGATCAACATCATATATTGCACATGATGCTTCAGATAATATCAAACTAAACAATGATGACAAGTCTAAGAAAGGTGACACGGTTGAGGAATATGCTGGTTATAATGAAAGCCTTGAAGGTGATGGTGACGATGATAATGATGCTCCTATTGACATTGAAAAAATTGGTAGGGATACTTAAGAAACATATTTTAGCATATGAACATATTGATTTTTCGTCTTTTTGGCATTTTTCGATAAAACTGATATAATTACAAAATGTACAAGATATCAATTCTCATACTACCCCAAAAGAATGTGTTGTTTACGTACTGATGTTGTCTTCTTAATTGTAGCTTCTTCAGATGGCAAGGGCTGTACTGTGTGTGGCTACTATTATGCTGGCATGCATTACGGGGCACAGGTGTGTGTACCTTGCGAACGATTCTTCAAGCGTCATGCTCAAAATTCTAAGACTAAAATAGTCAAGTGTATGTTTGACCAGAATTGTGAAATTGATTTGAAAAATCGTAGCAAATGTCAGTGGTGTAGAATGAAGAAATGCAGAACAGTGGGCATGAAAATGCAAGGTAATATTTTTATTTTCTTGGATGTCAAAATTGTCAATGTTGTAACAGTAGGTCTGAAAAAATTGAAATTGTTTTAACTCCAAGAAATTTTCTTTGTAATTATCTTTTATAAAACGTCTTTATATAGAATGATAATAAAATAAAGTAATCATAATAAAGATTGTGTTTTTCATAGATTCTAACACCTCAACAGTTTCTCAAACTAATTCAGCACATGAGGCAGAGTCGGTTAGAGGGTCACGCAACAGGAAGGAACCAGCAAGATTCACCAGTCCATTATATCCTAAGCTGATAAGGCAAACTTCCGGTAAGATATCTTGGTCATTTGGAGGGGGCAAAATAAAAGTGTTTTGAAAAACAACACACGGTATATTGATGGAGGATTTGCTTCAAACATATAGCAAAGTGAGAATTAATTACTTCAATTTCTCATTACTCAAATTCCCATTTCAGAAAAGCATGTTTCAAGTAAGTTTTTGGAACAACCTGTAGTGGTTTCATCTGTAGGAATCACCATCACTTCCATTACACTAGAATTCTTACTGTGATTTTTGGTATTCTGACAATTTGTTTCATAATTCATTTCAGGATTGAGTCCAAAAAAGAAACAGAATATGGAGAAACCTGTTTCAGCAAGTATGAGCTCCATTGTGGATGAAACAACAAAAACTGTGAACAGTGAAGAGGAAGAAAGTGATAATGAAACAAATCCTGAATGGAGTGATATGAAAACAGATGACTTTCAGTTTGTTACAACCTCTAAGCCAAGAAACTTAATGATGTGCTACTTCTGTAAACAGCACATTGAGGCTGAGCGCATGGTGGAACATGAGAAACTTTGCAGAAAGAATATGCCATTTAAATGTTGTGTTTGTGAAGAAAAGTTTGATACTTATATAGCATGGAAGGAGCACTTGGAAGCTCATCCTGATACTATTTTTTGTGATATTTGCTACAATGAAACATTTTCATCACAAACTGATCTTCTACCTCATAAACGGGAACATTATTTAATGGATAGCATGAGGCATTATCATGCTGGAGAGCTGTATGGTGTCTTAATGAAATCCTGTGATGGTGCAATGCTGTTACAGTGTGTATTATGTGATTCCCCTCAAATGCTCTACACAAGCTCCATCTTTTTATCTCAGCACATCAGAAAGGAACACAGAGGACTACCCTTTAAATGTAGTCTCTGTGGAAAAGTATACAGCGGGTCACATGGTCTGAGGCGCCATCTAGAGGCCCACACTGGTATCAGGCCTAGATTCTTATGCTCAGAATGTGGGAAAGTGTACGCCCAACAGAAGCAGCTTAAAGCCCATTCTGTTACCCATGTACTGGGGAAACCTTTCTATTGCAAACTATGTAATACAGGCTTCGATAAAGAGGGAGAAATGAGAATCCATTCAAAGACAGCCCATACTGATAAGATGGATCACATATGTTCTCAGTGTGGTAAAGGCTTTATATCTAGACATCTAATGAAACGACATATTGAAACAACTCATACACAAAAACACATATGTTCATTCTGTGGGAAAAAGTTTGGTCGTAAAACAAACCTGAAAACTCATGAAAGGATTCATACGTCAGAAAAGCCATATAAGTGTTCCCTATGTAATGCTGCATTTGCCCAACTGGCTAGCATCCAGTGGCACTACAAAAAGAATCATCCCGCCTGTAGTGGACCATCTAAGTCTGAATTCACAAAGGTTGATGAGACCACAGAGCAAAATAATGTGATTAATGAATTAGATAATGAAACACAAACTACCCCATCCATGGAGATTCCACCTAGTTTTGGTCAACTGTATCCTCAGCCTATGTACTTCAATCCATATGTTGGAGGTATGAACAATTGACCAATTCATACATAGGGGTTATGAGCAATTAATGGAATCAAGTAAATTTGGATAGGTTAGTGGCTGCTTTACTTGGACTGGTACATTTAATGTTTTCATGAAAAGACCACCGCAAACAATTTCAAAAAGTGATATCTTTAATCCTGGGTATTTTCATAGAATTTGAATAATCTGATAAATAATCAACCTAGCAATAAAGGTGCATTAGCTATTGCCTGATAATGTAAAAAATGGATAAACAGTGTTCCTTATTTTGGCGGTTGGCATCTGTAACAAATGGTGATAACATTTTGCATGTTAATGCCTTGTTTGTTTGATACTCTTTTGTTGATTCGCAGAAGTCAGTTTCCAGTTTGTGTATATACAATTCCTAAATTATAATTCTATTGATCTGACCTTAGTTGGAATATTCTTATCTTAAACATTTTGATGTTAGTTTTATAAAAGTTACACAAGAAATATCACTAGATATAATTGTAGTTTAAATAATTTCATGAAGATTTTGTATTTTTTGTCACTAATTCTTGATGGTGACGTACCATTTTTTAGTGCATTTGGCTTACTGAAGATTGGGTTAACTTGGCGCTAATTAATTTGGCAATTTTGCCATTTTTGGCATATTGGCAGCTATTTGATTTGGCGAACACTTGGGCTTGGACATTGCTCTGATGCCACAACTTCCATATACACTGGAACAAAATACATAGTGTTACACATATTCAATCAATTCAACTACTATTTTTTGTAATTTATTGTTCAACCAAAGCCCCTGGGCCAATTTAGAAGTGATATGTTCTGGTTATCACCCTTATCCTTTTTAGATTTTGTAAAAAGTAACCAGAAGTGACTTAAATACACAAGACGAAATTCACGGTGATCCTTGCGGGTGTCAAATTAACCCAATCTAGAGTATGTGTAACTGTTGATGTTACACTTTTGTAACAATATTTTAATGAGTAATCTCCAGATTGACTTGATGTCCATTAATGACTTTTTATATGAATCTAGTCTTGCACGAAGCATTATTTAATCAGCATATTAAACTTCACACACTAAGTTCCATACCTTATACAGTATATACACTAAAAATGGAATCTAGCCTGGATAGAGTGCCATAAAGACAGTGTCAAAGAACATAAAAAGTGATATTTGTGAAAATACACATGATCTTCATTCTTTAAACTGTGTAAATTGTGTGTGGGCTTCACTCAAAAAATATATCAATTTCATTATTATGTCACATTGATAAATAATAGTGCAAACAAAGGTGTGCATATAAATCCTAAGTCTAGAAATGATATAATGATATTTTGTATGATCATGCAAGCTGTACATATTATATTAATATATTATTGTGCTGTACATGATTAATTGTACATACAGTGCTGTAATTTAGAGATGGTGTTCAATTATCAACAGTTGTAGATTAATTTTCTTATATGGTTCGACCCACTCCCCTCCTCTCATCTAATGAAATTTTAAAATGTTGATTTGTCTTTCACTAGAATGCTAAAAAATCAACACTATTTGCTAACGAAACCATAATTTACCCCGTCTTAACTAGCTTCACTATTCCACAACTGTTGGACACCATCCCTTACCAGAAAAAATTAGGCAGTCATATACTTTACTAGTCTTATCTGCATCATGATAATTCATGACATCTCATTTCTTCTCAGCCCTGTTTCAGGTGAAACAGAAAGATGCTATGAGTATCAGAATGTGGTATCTGTAGGAACATCCTATATATGGCGGCATAGGTTTTTACCAAATACCAATATGGCCAAAGGAAGACATTGATTGTACAACTATTGTTCAGCCAGTCTGGTGCTACAGCATGGCTACAGGTTGTCAATTGTAACACATGTCTCACAATGTAATCACTAAAACAACAGGCTTAGTTTATGTTATTCCTCCCAGAGGAATTCTCTGTTATGGTGCTAGTATGTTGTATTCCTTATGTTAAAATATAATACAATAACAACAGACAGTTTGTGCAGTGTTATATATATATGGTAATCCTGGTTTCAGAGCTGACATAATAACTGACTGCTGTGGAGGTATAGTTATTATGTAACTTTCAGTTGATTATGGGTAGGTACTTTGCAAGTCTTGGCTACAGACACGGCAGAAGCGCCTCAAAATGTTAAGAAATGCCTGAGGTTCAATTAAATGTAAGCCAAAAATAGTGGGAATAGAATGTATTCTTATTTTAGTTGATGTTAGACTTGTCAAAAAAAGTCAAAAGAAGGTTAAATCTGATTTTTCATGAACTTGAAAGTCCATGGATTTATTGACCATCCCTAGAAAAATATTAAATGTATTTTGGCCCATTTTTGAGCTTGGCTATAGTTTAGACCCTTCTAGGGTATGCATATAAACATTTGCAACATTTTGGGGCATATATAGCTGTTTGCACCATTTATGGTAAACAGCATTAAATGTTGAATTTAAAATACTATAATATGGTTTGATTATCATGTCATGTTGGTTTTCAGTTGACTCTTCGCTATGACCTGTTGCTGTAGGAATAACTGTTGCAACCATAGCAACATGTGAACAACCAATGGCAAAATGAGACAATAATCACAAACACAAATGAAAACAGTTGAAAGTTGACCAAAAATGCTATGAAAAAATATAACATTGTTAGACCAACTTCATTAACTGTTGTATATGGCTGGAAGATAATCCCAAATGTAACAACAAGTCCTATCCATATTATTATTAAAACAATTGAAAATGGGTCGTCGGAAGCATGGAATATTTTCTGGGTGAGACTAGCATCTCTGATGTTCTGTAATCTAGAATCAGTTGCTACTGTGTTTTTAACAATAAATGAGACACTTTCTTTGGTAATGTCTGCATATTCCTCTTCCAGGTTGTCTCGAAACTCTGTATTATTTGCCACATGTCTAGCAATGTATATCATAGCCTCGTTCACCCAGAAACTGTTGATGAAAACAAATAAGAATATGCTCAATACAGGAAGTACAACTGTAATCAAGATCATGAACCAGACATCCCAGGTGGCTCGGAAATCTTCATCAATGTAATTCACTTGATGAATCTGTAGAGATAGCATAATCATCATCATGGTGAAGAATATTGTGTTGCCAACAAGAGTCCAGTATAAACGAGGAAATATCCCACCCAGCCAAGTAATCCTTCCTTCATTTTCCTTTGTCATTGGAATTGTCAATCGGAGATCATCCAGGAGTTTATAGGCAAGGACCATGCGGACAATGTATGTAAATAGGAGATCAAAGATATCAAATGATAGCAATATTATTCCTATGTAATCCATGGCAGATTCTGGCTCGTACGATTTCTGAGCAACTATCCCAAATATATTACATACAATCATTGGATACAACAGGACTTCATGGAGAATATTCTGGTACAATCCCAGACGATTTTGCAAACTTCCAATTTTCCCTTGAAGAAAAGTGAGCTTTGATGAAAAGAAGATGGTAGCTTGAAGCACAGTCTCTATGATTCCTAAAACAAAGCAGGTTACTTTGTAGTGCAACCAGAGAGGTTCGATAATTAAATCGACCAATGATGCAATCAAGTTTATCACAAATATAGATTGGTCTTTGATATTAAATATCAAATCTGTTTTATCCCCAAATGGTTTTTGTAAATGTATTGCTGCAACAGCTAATCCACTTTTCACAGTTGTTTTATTTTCTTTGTTATTTCCTCTGATGTTATCAGGAACTTTATATCCAGAGGCTCTCACACCATAATCCTCCACTAGTGCACTGGTGTCATTTGTGTTGACTATTTCACTGTTGTTTAGTCTTACATTGTGATTGGTTAGAGTTGTCTGTTTGGAAGTGGCTGGTCTTGCTTGTTGTGTTGGATGCACAACAGCAGTTGGTTTAGCACTAGGTTGTGCAATTGTAGGTTGTGCCACAGTAGTTACGGGTTGTACCCCACCATTTGAGGGTTGTACAGAATTATATGATGGTTGTATATTAGTATCCTGATTTGATGTGGTTGTTTGAACACTAAGAACAGGTTTAATTTCCACCTGGTGTGGATGCACTGTGCTGGTGCTTGACCTAGATGTTCCCCTGGACTGCGACCTTGCATTATTTCCTGATACATCAACAGGAGTCATCACCCTTGGAGGTGGGTCTGCTTTCTTTATATTTATGGACTTAACTTTCATGTTAGTTTTCCCTGCAGCAGCAAGTTGTTTCTGGACAAGCTCCTGTATGTTGACATCATCCAGGTTGGCCCCCTTCACTGTTATCTTTATAGGCTTTCCTTGAGACATGATGGTCGCTTTTATAATGGCATCCTGAAATAAGAAATAACAATGACTGACTTATTGGCATTTAGCACAACAAAACAACTTTTTAACCCTCATTATTTATACATGCTTTTTGTTAAGACATTGAGACCACAAGTTGAATACAACATGCTTTATGTTACATTTAAAACATATTTATTCACAAAAATAAAACATATTTACAAGCATATTTTAAAAGCTGATTTTGATTTGAATTTGATTTGAAATGATATTATCACTCGTATTGTTCATATTGATCATATGAATGTAGTTTTTGGCAAATGTAGTTTTTTGGTTTTATCATGAAATGTTCAAAATGATTTGATAAAACATGTTTTGTTTTATTTGGTTCGATTTTTAAAATGTGTGAACTGTGGTTACGCCATCCTCTTAAAATATTCAATGGAATGGTCTCTATCTGCATTTGTGTATGTCTATGTGTCCTCAATTTAATTGTTATAAATAATTTACAAACTTACTATGCCAAGACTTATTATTGAATATTTCTAATGAAAACTGGTGTATTCTTAGCCTATCCATAAATAGTACCTGTCATTAGTAGTTTAATATTTTATTTATTGACTTAATGACATAATATCTCGACTGAAAGATGGACAGTCACCATGGTTAGAATTAATCAACAAGCATTCAAGTAAAACATTTACTGTCAGTGTGTGACACCAAATCAATAGAATCCAGTGTACTTTACCAATGTATTGTACATTGAATATCAGTCTAACTTGACTATACATGATTCAGGATTCTATACTTCTAGTTAATTCCTATAGTGTGGATTCTAATTATTTATGTATAATAGATTGATCAATGTATCTACAAGGCCATAGAAAGTTTATTCAATGTTTTGTGTCCACCCAAAATCAAAATGCACAAAACACACAGCATGCACTCTCTGTGGCTTAATATTGTGTCAGACTTTTTCAAAATTATACCATATTGAAAAAGTATAAATACATATTAGGCTACTACAGTGTAGTATCAAAAGACTAAATTAACTACTTCATAGAAAATATCCAAAGTTGTAAAATACAAATACTTTGGTCCTTGGTGAATTAAAGGAGATGATTCAAGGAAATTATTTTTTCAGTCAGATTTTGAATAAATAACAACAAAACGTTTTTTTATAAAATAGTAAATACTTGCTAATATTAAGGTTATACCATAAAAAGGGAAGTCATTGAATTTATGACATGTAATGTTAAGAAAAATGCATATCATCCAAAGTGATATGCCATACTTACTATTTAATCTAAACGTTTTATTTAAGTTTTAGTCATATGTTTGATACAATATAATTTCAACTTACCTTGTATAATCACCTATAAACTGCACATATTTTAATTTTAAGCTCACATCCACTCCATTTTATTTCATTAACTCTGTACTAGTTTCATTTTGTTTAAAGTTACTCATAGTCTGTATAGTGATCCTGGAGTTATGTTGTTCAAGAAATCTCTGCTTGTTTGTTCTTCTGCCTCTGGCTGAATCAACATTGTTTGCCTTTGCTGCTTGTCCAAATCTCCTCCAATAGTATGTTATAAGTACAGTCACTTGATTCAATCATTCTCCTAAGAGTAAAATGTCAAAACTATTATGATGTTTATCAGCAAAATATAGATTATTGTTTGGCAGAATATTTGGGGAATTAGTTGAAAAGATATGGAGAACATGTACACTTACATTTCATGAAACCTCAGAGCCAGGTATTTTTAGATCACAGAAAATTATGGAAAATGTAAGTGTCTTGTGCAAGGGTTAAGTCTCTTGAAATTGAAAAGCCTTTAAAGGTTTTGTATGCAAGGTAAAACGATCAATAGAGATATTTTGGAGACTGAATGTGTCTCCAATACAATACACAATACCCAAGGAATCGATCGATGTATGCTTGAGTCTGGCCTATAGATTACTCAATGCAATGGGGGTACTTGATTTAAAGGCCCTTTATACTTAATTTAGAAGAAAAAAGAAAAAATTGAATCATTGAAACATGTTACTCACACACTCACTCAAATATGACACAAAGTTTGATTTGCTTTAATATTGAACCAAGAAAAAAATAACTTACGTAGAAAAAAAGCATTTGAAGTTCAGAGATCACGTAGACATGCATGCACATGTTAAACAAAGTGCATGTTTTTAATTACTGTTGATTTAAAAGATGGCGACACTTCTATAAAAATGAATGTATCATGTAATACAAACATTTTTGCCGTCTTTCAATAACATTGATCAAAAATTGATATATAAAGCTTGACAGATTGAAAATATTTTTTGATTATTTATCGTAAGCTTTGATGTGGTCCATTTGAGCTGTTGTTGGTGTCAAATGAAAGATAAGGTTCTTATCAATACATTGGCCTATCCCTGATAGCTGATATGCGATTTTTCCATAGTCAATAGGGGAGTTGCTGTATAGCTGAATAAAGCTTAATAAATAGATGCCAGTACTTGTTTTTTGTTTTGGTAGGGTCAGACTGCCATGGGCTTTTAAAGCTTGCAACAGTCACCAATTTCATGATTTATTAAAAGTGTTGATTGAATCTGTTAAAAATGGCATATTATTATTATGGGATGACCCTGCAATGTTCATGTTCTGATTAATCATGAAAATGTTGGTTGTTGAACTAATAAACCAAGGTTTTGCCCACACTTTTTTAGAAAGGTTTAAAAAGGTCATGGGAAATGATTCGAATAACATTACTGTATACATAACTATCTGTGTATTATTATATACTATTCTAGAAGTAACAGGACAACTCATCCCTAAGACAACTCATCCCAAGACAAGTCATCCCTAAGACATCTCATCCCAAGACAACTCATCCCAAGACATCTCATCCCAAGACATCTCATCCCAAGACAACTCATCCCAAGACATCTCATCCCAAGACATCTCATCCCAAGACAACTCATCCCCAAGACAACTCTTCCCAACTTGAAATAAAACATAATTTTATACAATTAATTTTCATTTTGAAAGAATGAAAAATATTTAGAGATTTTAGCAGTTAGCACACTGGTCATGGAATATCTTTGTTTTTTATTAATACATTTTTTCATGCTGTATTTTAAACTGACACATTTCATATTTTGTCATGCTGTATTTACTTAATATTTTGGTATTTTGTAGTTAGTTAGCCTAGTTTTAGTTAATTTTTGTTGACTGATTGGGATAAAGATAAACATGTTCAAATTAAATATATACTTTGATATTAAATCAAAGATCATCAAAGGTGTAGGATTAACTCAGTTAGAATGTATTATCCAAGGTGCTATCAGAATAATTCTCTCAGATTAATTCAGTCTTTGTTTTAAAATATTTTGGCTTAATCCTAAATAAGATTGCCAATTTCAAACTTTGCGATTTATGATGATTAAATTTGGAAATAATGTCTATGACTTTTATGTTCAATCCTATATTCTCAAATATATTTAGAATAACCAAGAATTCATCAAAATAGCGGCAGTACTAAAACATAACTTTCAAGTGCCATTTCAAAATGCTAAAAATCAGTATTAAAAATTGAGTGTGTAATCAAAATTCACTTTGTAATCATAAAAATGAAAAAGGGATATATATAATATAGAGGACAAAATAATTTATCAATTATACAAGTGGGATGAGTTGTCTTGGGATGAGATGTCTTGGGATGAGTCGTCTTGGGATGAGATGTCTTTGGATGAGTTGTCTTGGGGATGACTTGTCTTTGGATGAGTTGTCTTAGGGATGAGTTGTCTTGGGATGACTTGTCTTGGGATGAGTTGTCTAGAAACCTATTCTAGAAACGTTATTCAACTGTCAACACTGTAATACTTCATGACAATGTCCATATGTCCAAACATATAAACGCGTTTAAAAATCACATTTGTCGGATTGAACATGTTGAATTGTTTGAATGGACATGAAGTAATAATTTCAAATGTGAGTGATGTATGATGATAACCTTTAACGTATTTTGTTGACATTAGACTATATAATAGTATAATATTGTGAAATAACGTAAATAACATACACTATGAATTTTGAAAAAACGAACGTGTTTTTAGATTTAATTAGATTAACAATTATTGGTTTGTACGCTTATTTTCTGTTCTTACAGGCACTTCAAAATTTAGTGTTTGGCCAAAATTAGTGTATAGTTTTACACCAAATTAATAGTCGGTGTGTCCCCTTGGCCATATTAACACAAACGCTTCCATGGCGTATGTCATCATCGTCCTCTATTTAATTCCAACTAAATATCTATTCTAACACATCCAGGTCAGGGCTGTTTCTAGGATACCGAACTGAATTTCAATTTTGGTCAAACACTAAGTTATGAAATGCCTGTAACTTTTTCCCATTTGTGAATTGAACCATAATACTTGGCAAATCAATGTAACTTTGAATAATCTTTAAAATGGATATGACACATATTATGGAGACATTGGTATATGTCTGCCTAGGGGAGGGGGTCTCATACTTTCGGAACACCCTTTAGATTTACATGGCATCGCCCAAATGGTTATACAGGGTGATTCAGGAGAAACTTCAAAGATGTTGCCACTCACTGAATCACGTGATCTAATTATGCGCAATAACGTATACATGATTGCTGTCGCAGTGTTGCGATAGCCAATCAGATTGCTTGTTCTTAATCGGGGAAATGGTAACTGCTTATCGCAGGGGGTAAAAGAAAGAATATATTCTGGATTTTGAAGCCCTGTGATCGGAGGATGATGTAGAGGAAGATCTGTACAAAGTTTCACGAAGATTGGTCCAGTATTATTGAAAGGGCAACATCTTTGACTTCTGGGCCACCCTGTATTTACTCAAAGATCACGTCGTCATTTTTAACCTTCAATTACAGAGCTAAATCTGCTCTACAGACAATCTTTGATAGCTCTTTTCAACCACGAAAGAAAGATCTTTGCACCATTTCCACGAGGTAATACTTTAATTTTCTTTAATAACGAAGTCAATTTATATTTTCAAAGGGGATGCAGGAGTCACCTTTACATTGTGCTATATATCTCAGCTCCTGACCCGACTTGTGTCTTTTCCTTTGGAGTTCTCTCAAGAGTAAGTGTTCACCACACCTCCGCCAAACATTGCAACACCTCGACAGAGAATCAATAAGGAGGTTGAACCCACGGGTGATTCAGAAGCCGTTTGTGACATTGAGAAAAAGAGTCCATATCTGTTAGACAAGGAAACTAGTCCCAATGTTGTTATTTCACATTTCTTTTTGATGATTTGGATATTTTTTATTTTCGATTTTTTAACATTAAGACCTAATGTTGAAAAAATCTAAAATAACACATATCAAAATTACGCCCCTCTCTCTTGACACTGTTGTTTGGCCCATTGTCCAAAAGGAATGACTTCAGCCAAACATGGCCGCATGTGACAAAATAACACCCCATCGAAGAGGAGAAATGTTGCTTTGGGACCAGTCCACATGTTTGAACCTACCGCCGAGCTCACTTATACATTAAGCCATGTTCCACAGTCATGATACCGCTGAGCAAGCTCATTGCATCATCGGGTCTGCTTTACCCCGTGGTCTAGTGTCGTTTATTAAATTAACTTATCCATTGTCCAAATCACAATAGAGATATTCAAGGTCTCGAGTATGTTTGGCAATAGAAGGCTTAGCGATAAAAGTACTTTTATCCAATTTTAATATATCAGAATAGAATAGAAATATCGATCAAACATAATTTAACTCACGGAGGGATCAGGTTGTACCTTTGTAACAATACAAGTCCGTTTACATACCATTCTATCATCAGAATTACAATATGTGGTAATATAAAAGAATTCGAAAATTCAATGCGACCGCTTATAAATATATTTAAGCCGATGTTAATAGCGATTAGACTTAGCGTTTAAGGCCATGAAAATATAATAAACGATTATATGACAAAATATATGATTCTTCTGAACTTTCACAAACGATTGGAATATTATTACTAGTCATTCAATCTCCGATGTTGACCTTGCCAACGGCTTCAAGGTTGTGAAAGACCATGAAACTTTACGAACATTTGATTTTGATACAAAAAGATGAAAAAGGCATGGCATAGTGATATATGTCCTCAAAAACACTACAATGACTAATACGAAATTGCAAGACAATGGAAAATTGAATTCATAACTAACAACGGTATGCCAATTTGGATTTTTAGTGATCGATTGCAGAATATTATTATTGAGTTTGATACATCTGACCATCAAAATGAATGACGGCCGAATGTTACATGTGAACAATTTCTCCAAGAAATTTCGTAAGAAAACTTCAATGGAGAACAACGTTCTATCCAAGAAACTAAATGTCTACACGAGCTCAATGAACAGACACAAAACGATCGAAAAACACAAGCGCCATATGGAGACCATCCCCATGTTGAAAACATACATGGATATCAAGTGTGTACAAAAAATTATGACCATGCGCAAAGTTAAAGATGATAATAATGAAGAAATTACGAAGCCTATTAAACGAACTGATCCTTTCGATATGAACGGATTATTCAGAAAGAGTAAAACTATTTTTGGAGAATATGGCGGGACTACTACCGTTTCGATTAAACCAGATATAGAAAAACTTATCTCGCACAATCATCCAAAAAATAGAAAACATCGCAAAGTTATGAGACACTTGGAAACGGGGGAAGATACCGGAAATTTGTTGGCTTTGGACAGAGCGAGAACAATAATGGACGAACTCATGGAACGTCCTTTCCACCCATCGAGGTTTAATACCCCCAAACGAGTGCGTGATTGTAAACTTCCACAACTGGTCCAGAGCCCCCGTCACACGATGCATTCAAGTGAAGAGACGACTCAACCATCCGCGAGGACTCTAAGGCTACCACCTGTAGAAGTCAGAAAAACATTTAAAAATATTAAGAAAGCGATCGAGAGAAGAACAAATCCAACGCATAAAATAATACTCAATCCAGATAATAATCGTTCCGATGAGACAGCAATCAACAATGTCAACGAGACATCAATACAATCCGATAGAGCGGTTAAAACACAATATATAAATATAATTCTAAATGGATCCGTTCCTAATAAGAAACATCTTATAGATAACAAAGTATCTAACAATGAGAATGCAATATCAGATCCATCAAAAAATAGTGTCCAAAATGACGAACATATGACTGCGAAATATATAGAAGGAGAACGTAGTCCGCAATCTGGGAATGAGTTTTCGAAAAATGGAGAACGCACGCCGATACTTCATTCGACTTCACCACGGAAATCACAATACTCGAACCATTTATCCCCAACACGTCGTACAAGTGACTCATCGCACCCCCGAATAGGACCTAGGTCACAAACAAATTTAATTTTGAAGTCACACAGTCCAACGATCCATGAACTTGATGATGATGAACAATTATAACATCTCGAAATCTTCACTGGGGAGTATCGTGATGCAACAACACCGTGTTGTTGCATCAAGATGGCCAGACTTCCGGTGATAGATTTTCGTACGATATTTTGTTTCCCCAATTAAACCCATTTCTAGGACGAGTTGCTCAATAACCATACACGTGCAGTTAGCGAACGATCTATATTTAAAGAAACTGTCATTAGTATACATGTACCATCACCAAGAAGCAATAAGTTCACGGTTTTAGTTCCTCACTATTGATGCAACAACACCAAACCGAAGATGCAACAACACTCCTCTAGATTTGAGCAATGATGCAGCAACACCAATTAATAGTATAATTTCAGAAGACCATAAATCTCGAGAGGAACAGATTTTTAAATGCTACTATTGCAATACCGTTACCAATTAGCCTACCCATATTTGCGTTCTTCTCAAGGCATTCAAAATACACGTCCTGTGGGCGAAGATCCTTTATATGTATTTTCAAAAATTTATACTTTTACATATTATAATGTACTGGACGTTATTCTATAACATAGTTCAATCGCCTTTAACATGGCAAGCTTTAGTAACCCAATCTATTTTCATAAACCACTGTTCCATAGCTTGATGGCCCTGACTCCAGTTAGTATCATTCAAAATGGTGGACAAACATCTTTCGTTCTCGGTAAACATGATGAGCTATTGGATATTATCATGATATTATCTGTCATCCATCTGTGGAACAGTGATAAACTAGTAGATGTACAGGGGCGGATCTGGGAACCAACAAGGGGGGGGGGGCAAATTTCAGGTCAGAGAAAAACACGTCCGCGCTTGCTGGGAAAAAAAATTTTGGGCCCCTAAAACCCAAAAGTGGGCCCAAATTTTGAAATTTAGAGGCCCATTTTCTTCAAAATTTGGCCTGAAATTAAAAAACAAGGCCTTAAAAGGCCCATTAATGATCAAAAAGGCCCACTTTTTGGTGCCTGAAGGCCTTTTTTGGCCCAAAATCTTTTTAGGGCCCAATTTTTTTTCTGGGCCCACCAAAGGGGGGGGGGCGGGCCCCCAGCCCCCCCCCCCCTAATCCGCCAGTGATGTACGTTACCACTGTTTATCAAATTGTAACTAAAACAGTTTAACTGTGACATTCGTGAGCTGAGGTTGATGGGATGATTGCTTCATCTGATATAATATCACCCTATGCTTAGTGAGCGGACCTAATTTCAAGGGTGATGGTAAAGACGAGGCATGGCGCCCAAACCTGGCCTGTAACTAGGTGCACTGATGCTTTCTTCGCAAATTACATCGCCATTGCTCGTCATCGAAATTCTGATCGCCGAATAGACACTCTAGTAAACATTCATTTTGCATTGGGTGTACATAACTAGAGACCGCCTTATTTCGCATATATGAAAAAATAAAACATATCTAGGTACATATATCTTTATATGTGACATCGATCAGGAATTATTGACATATTGACAATATTAGGTTGTAATTTCTTGCGGTAAATTCAAATTGTATCTTTAAACGACTGTTTCATCTTAACTATTCGTTTTATTGGATGTAAAACAAACGGTATGCATAGTTTAACATATTTCACTTCTAAAACAGCATAAAATATCACAATATCATCACCTTATGCTGCAATAATACGACTTAAAAGATTATGGTACTAATATTTTTTGGTTTTTGGGCGCCCTGCCTCGTCTTTACCACCACCCTTGAAATTAGCTCCGCTCACTAAGCATAGGGTGAATATGACATGATTCTTTATTTCCTACAATTTGGAGAGCCAACGTGTAAAAACGTCTAATTGACTTTATTAGAGAGGCCGTTTAGTTACACGTTTAATGGAAATCTTGCACGACGCACATGTAGAATTATTGCTCTCTTTGGATTCCTTCTCTCCGACTGAGTAAAAAGGTAAACAAAAGTGATAAGATTTAGGGCCCAAAAAGGTAAATTGATAGGGGTACAGTTATCCCAGATATCCCGGGCCCTCGGGAAATATCATATTGTCTCTCGAAATAAAACCAATATTGAGTCCCTCTCAGTAAATAACTTTTATATAATAGCATTGTATAACTGCAATATCATTAAACCAACACTCATCCTATACAACTCTTGAGAACGATGTACAACTCCTGGATAGCGTAAACTCCTGAGCAGCGTATACAACTCTTCAACTTGATATATGACATCATACTTTGGGTGGGATAACAAAGGATATACAATATACAATTGTAGACCCCTCTTGAGGTCAACTGGCAAAATTGTATACCGATACTGTAAACGTTGAAAGTACTGTTGATCACTGAGACCAGATGTCGAGGACACTTTTGCCAGTTGACCGAAAAGAGAGGTTAACAATTGTTCTGTTAGTCCAAATAATATAATAATTGGACGAATATATAATCGAATATCACGTGAACATATTTGATAAGTAAAGGTATCATATTTTAGCAAAAAATCCCCAAACCGTCGAATACTTGTAATTTTTTACACAACTTATTTTTTCAAAATTAAAAAAATTTCAACATTAAAAAAAACAATTTTTCAAAAATAGGGGTCAACAGTACCTAGTAGTGGTCAACAGTTTACAATTGTTGACCTCCCCAGAGGCCAACCGGCAAAATTGTATACCGAGACTGTAAACCGAAAAAATACTGTTGACAGAGACCGAAGGTCGAGGTCAACAGTAGTTTCAAGGTTTACAGTCGAGGTATATGATTTTGACGGTTGATCGAATGGAGAGGTCTACTATTGTTTTGTTAGTCCGAGTAAACTAATAATACACATATAGACGACGATCATCAATCGGCATGGCTTCATTTCACAACCTTTTCTCCGAACCACGTTAGCAATATTTTTTTAGAAAATATGGAGACAGTGCAAGAAGCTTAACTCTGTATTTGGCACATCACGGCGTACTCGTTAGTGAATTAATGTTAATTTTAAGTTTCTATTTGTATTTTTGCTATACTTGTCGCCTAGTAAAGTCATTTTCATCAACACTTACAAAATGTCCGTCTTCCATGATTTTTTGTGACGTCATGAAACTTTTTTCAGAAGTAGCGGTCAACAGTACCTAGTAGCGGTCAACAGTGTACAAATAGTGACTGCCATTGAGGGAAATAGTGCAAAATGTTTTCCTCAAGGGAATATCCTGTCCACTGACATGTTCCCGAGGCTGCAGGCCGAGGGAACAAGTCAGTGGACAGGATATTCCCGAGAGGAAAATTTTTACACTATTTCCCGAAAATGTGGCAGTCACTATTTGTTTTATTATATACCTGATAAAGTGATAAGTACTCTGTAAACAAAAACAAAATTGAGAAGTCTTTTCATTTCAATATCAAATGTTCACAGGTTCTTATTGGCATTTAAAGGCATTTTACCTTTCAACTCCTATAATCTCAGATTTGGGGGAAGATAAAATGTACTATTGACTGGTCACATGACCTAACTGGTGATTAGTACAATTCATCTTCCCTGAAAGCAGGGATTTAGGACTTTCCAGGGAATTTGTTCATCTATTCCATGTCATGTGACCATGAATAAGCCAATGAGCATCTAGAATACATTTGAGGTATATAATAATACATAATTTTGACCGCTAATCACCCAATCCGAATCGAGTATTTCAGTTGAGGTACTAACAATACATTTTGTTGCCCGCTCATCAACCAATCAGAATTGAGTATTTCAATTGAGGTACTAACAACACAAAATGACTGATATCTGTTGTCTTTCCAAAATTATATTAGTTATTTGTAAGCAATTTCCATACGGTAAATCAAGGGCATTTAATTTAGAAAATGTATAATCTTTATTTTTCAGATACAATATCAATGAGATTGCCTCCCGAGGATTCTGTACTTTATTTAGTTTGCCTTGTATATCCTTTTAACTTTGATATAGACAAAGAAACCAAACAAAATACGTTCCGTCCATGGACCACTGACTCACGCGTTTTATTCATGTCCCGACCTACACCTGTAAACAGAACATAAAACAGTTTTTCTTGTTGTTCAATGATACATTATATTGGCGTTTTTGCATCAGCACATTGGTGTTGTTGCATCATCGATAAGAAACAGAGTGGTGTTGTTGCATCAATAGTGAGGAATTAAAACCACGAATTTATCGCTTCTTGATGATGCTACATGTATACCAATGACAGTTTTTTAAAATATAGATCATGTGCTAACTGCATGTGTATGATTATTGAGCAACTCGTCCTAGAAATGGGTGTAAATTGGGAAAACAAAACATCGTACGAAAATCTATCACCGGAAGTCTGGCCATCTTGATGCAACAACACGGTGTTGTTGCATCACGATACCCCCCAGTGATCTTGAGGCTGATCAGAAAACCACAGTCTTCTCACCAGATGCTTGCTATTCATATTGTGACGTTGATCGGCACTACGTAATTTTTTAAATTAAACCTTAAGTCATAAAAACCTCGGAGGGAATCTATTAAAAGTGTTGTCATTGCTCATTCTAGTGAATTATGTCCAAGTTGCATGTAGTGCAACTTCATATAGTTTGCGTAATATGATATATGTTATCACTTCATTTGTGCTTCTTATCATTGTTTTTACTCCTCAACTTTGCTATATACCCAACACCATTGAATCCTTACTTATTTTAAGTGGCGACATAGAATCACATCCTGGACCTCATAACTGGTCAACTGTAAAATTTTTGTTCTCCAACATAAATAGCATCAGTGCTCAATTTGGCGCTCGGTTTGATGCTCTTAAAACACGTATCTTAACAGAAGATTGCCAAGTTGTAGGTCTCTGTGAAGTCGGAACCTTTACCCAAGATGAAATTACCAATCGTTTTTCCATTCCTAATTTCCATCCTCCAATTTACTCGGCTAAAAATCGTGGCTTACTTATCTATATATCTGAAGAAATCCCTATTATAGCTCGACATGATTTTGTTAATGCTGAGGGAGATGCCTTATTTATTGAACTTAAGCTCCACCACAAGAGCATTATATATGGAGTTTTTTACCGTTCCCCTTCCCAAGATACTCAACAGTCTAAAGCATATTTTAAAAGATTTTATGATACCTGCTCCAACATTTTGACTAATGCGAATGCTGACCTGCTTGTCATTAATGGGGATTTTAATGCTCGTAACAAAATTTGGTGGGATGCTGACAATGAAAACCTTTCTGGAAATGAGCTTAATAACCATCTCCAAAGTCTGGGTTTTTCGCAGTTAATTGACCAACCAACTCGCGTCACAAATAGAAGCCAATCCTGCATTGATCTTCTTATTACTAATCAACCAAATCTTATATCCTCTTCAAATGTTACACCTCCAATCGGAAATACTGACCACAGCACTCTAGTCTGTACCTCATTTATTGGTACAGTAAAGGAACTGCCATATTTCCGTAGAATTTGGTCATATTCCGAGGCTGATGTTCAAAATATCAACGACTCAATTAGAAATTCAAAACTTGATCAACTTATTGAAAATTCATATGATATGGACATGTTATGTGATCAATTTACTAACCAACTCTACCAAATATTTACTAATACCATTCCAAATAAACTTATAAAGGTCCGGAGCAATGATAAACCATGGTTCAAGCCTCACATTAAAACACTAATTAATAAACGGAATCGTCTACATTTCAAATACCGCCACAACAACAATCAAGAACGCTATCAAAAGTACATTGACCAGTGTGATATTGTTAACGAGGAAATAACAAAGGCCAAACTTGAGTATGAATCACACATGTATGAGAAATTAAACTCCCTTAAATATGGCAGCAAGTCTTACTGGTCGGTCATATCTAAACTTTTATTCAAAACTAAAGTTGTTAGGATTCCTATTTTGACCAACCAAAACGGCTCTTCTATACTCACCAGCACAGAAAAGGCTAATTTATTTCTTGACCATTTCATCAAAAATTTTCATTCTGATCATAACGTAGATACAGACAGTGTTCAATTTGACCTTAGAACTGATTCTTTTTTAAATATCCTTTCAACAAATGACAGAGAGATTTATGAAATTCTTTTATCACTCGATGTTAGCAAAGCTTTAGGTCCTGACAAACTAAGTAATAAAATGCTCAAGTTAGCAGCTCCATCTTTATCAAAATTATTTTCAAAATTTCTCAATAAGATGTTTGAAATGAGAAAATTTCCTAATTCCTGGAAACTAGGGAATATTATCCCATGCCATAAAAAAAGTGACAAAAATCTTGTTTCTAATTACCGTCCAATAACTCTATTAAGCTGCCTTTCAAAGGTAGCCGAGAGAGTTATTTTTAAAAGGATGTTTGACCATTTGCTAACAAACAATCTTCTATTTAATTTTCAAAGTGGATTTCTCCCAGGTCACAGTACACAACACCAACTACTAAGTATTCTTGATTTTTTAACTTCTAATATGGATAATGGTAATGATGTTCGTGCAGTCTTTCTTGATATATCGGCCGCCTTCGATACTTTACCCCATAAGCTATTACTTAAGAAGCTACATGCATACGGTGTTGGTCCAAATATAATGCTACTTATTGAATCTTATCTTACCAATCGAAAAGTAAGAGTGCTTATTGACGGTCACGAATCTCCATGGTCAGCCAGCGACTATATCAATTCGGGAGTTCCCCAGGGGTCCATCTTAGGACCTCTGCTATTCTTAGTTTACATAAACGATTTACCTGATGATATTTTAAGCAAGTGTTTTCTGTATGCAGATGACACTTCTCTTTATCAGCCCTTCAGCCATGATAATATGCCTGAATGTGTAAACACCCTCCAATCTGATCTAAATTCTATAAACAATTGGTCTGATAAATGGCAATTAAAATTCAAACCCTCTAAAAGTGATGATCTGACATTTAGTAGTCCAAAAAAGAAAGAAATAATAACCCCTGACCTAAAATTGGGAACTGAATCCATACCTAGGTGTGCTTCGCATAAACACCTTGGCTTTATCCTTGACTCTAAATTATCTTTCAATTTCCACATTACTCATCTTGCAAAGAAAATTGATAAGCTTTTAAATCCACTTAAAGCATTAAGTAAAAAACTTAGTGGAAACCATCTAAATCTTATGTTCAAATCTTTTATCTTACCACATTTTGATTTCTGCGACATCCTCTATGGATGTGCAGATATTTCCAAATTAAAACGCATTGACCAACTCTACTACAAGGCAGCTCTGATTTGTAGTGGAACTATCCATGGGTCATCTTCTGAAAAGGTGCTCAATATTCTAAATTGGCCTAAACTAGAGATGAGGAGGAAGTTTCATCGACTAACCCTCATGTTCAATGTCCAAAATCAGAAAGTTCCTTCATATGTTCAAAACATATTTGATAAATATAAGAGACAACAACCTCCTCTCTATTTGAGAAATCCAACTGAATTTGTCTTGCCCGCTAAAAGATCTGTGATATTAAAGAAAACATGCATTTTTACTGCTATCTCAGAATGGAACAAACTACCCCAACAACTCCAAGAGATAGACAATTTAAGTACTTTCAAATCTAAATTGACACTTCTCATTTATCCAGAACCTATCATATCATCTACCTCATTGCATTTACCTAGACCAGAGGAAATCAGTCTTAATAGGACTAGAGTCGACTTGATTTTTCAATCTCATTTTCATGCCCACAACTTTACTCTAGCTGATTCACCAAAATGTAAGTGTGGATTCAAAAGTGAAACATCCAAGCATGTCATCTTTAACTGCAGACTCCGTAGGACCCTCCTAACTGACTTCGAAATTAAACTAAATAACCTTGAAATCCAATATAAAAAGAATTTTAAGACCCAACAAGAGAAATTGAATTTCTTCCTTTTTGGCAGCTCAAAACTTAACTACGCTACAAACATAACTGTTCTTGAAACTAGTGCCTCTTTTCTCCAGAAGTGTGTAAGTGTCTGAGTGTTAGCAGCAATTATCAAACCTTCTATGCTTAATTTATTCACCAATTTGCTTCACCATTTGGATTGTTTTTTGAAATAAAATTTTATAATTAACCCTGCGACTTATAATGTTAAACAAAGTCGCCTTTTTGGAAATTTTCTTTTTACATATATTATTGTATTAAATAAAACATGATAAATAAAAAAAATAAAAAAAAGTGAATTTTAATGAATATAATGACAATATTAATAGCAATAAACGAGTTCAGAATTTGTTTCCATTGTTTTTGAATTCAGTTAATCCTCGGTAATCTTGGGATAGTAGTGCTAGAGATGCTGGCTCGTCTGGCATTGGTCCTGCATGAGGAAATGGATGAATTAGAAATACCAGGTAATGATTTGCCATTGATACTTTTAATCCTGATACTGTCAACAGTATCTAAAATCTTGCAAACCGACTCGGTGGCCAATGCCAAACTGGATTTCCGTTGAACGTCTTTGTGTGGTTTATGTCCATACAACGTGCCCCCACTCCCTTCTTGAGGCTTTTGGATTGATTTGTAGGACTCAACTTCGGGCAAGCTAGCTTTAGTGTAACTACTGTTTTCTGTGTGAGAATTTTTTGATGAAAGGGTAGTAACTTTATGGCCATCTTTTTCAATCACTTTTAACTGTAAAGAAGGGATGGACGTTACTGTATTCATGTTATGTGTACTCCCGCTAGCATCCGTGCCAGTAGAGCGTTGTCGTTGTCTTCGTCGTTTGATCTTTCTCTCTGGAAAGAATGTCCCATTTTGCTTGATGTGCTGTGGGCGCACTGGTAATTTCTGGTTAATGGTTGCCCTTTCCTTATCTATATTCTCCAGCAAGAAAATAGCAACATCTTCAAAACTCAGCCTATCCTCATCGATATTCGTATTCTTCTTGTTGTTTTCTTGTGGTTTATCACTGTACTGTGCAGTAGCAACAGTTGCAGGAGCTTTCACCTTCTTTTTCAGAACTTTTCTTTTCGGAGATTTGGATATTTTCAACCCTGTTCGTTCATTTTTAAGGTCAAAAAGCCATTTTGAGTTCATCGTTTTTTCAACCATCACGTTCTCAAAAATATTTTCTGTGGTGTCATTTTCCAAACATGTGTCATTTATATCTAAATTAGATAAAACAAATTAAAAGCATTGGTGTTTGCCTTGGAAGCAGTAGTTTGTCAACATGACGTCACAACACGCTCTTATGGACTTTTTCATATATTTTGTGATGTAACAATATCTTCACTGATCTCGTTGTCAAGGTTATGATTTTGATTTCATAACAAATGTCTAGGAATTGTTTATACGCAGCTACCAGGAAACTGAACTAGATAGCCAACATTAAACGAAAATGGGAAGAATGTCAAAATTCAAACCGGACTATTTGGTAACTGGTGCTTTAGATGGTTCAAACTATTATGCGGCTATAGGAACGACGTCAAAGCAAATAAGGGCACGGAATATGGCCGAGACGGTGTCATTGATGACAACAAAATGTGATTTAGAGAGACAAAAGATTGTACAGGTACACAATTAGTCAACCCCGTCTCATCATTCACTTCAACATTTAAATACAATAAAAAAAAGTAAAGTTGTTATACGGCAGTTTTCCGTATACGGGGGGGGGGGGGTATACCTGCACTCTATAAAACATTTTAAAATGTCTAGCCTTGATACATGCAAGTGATTGGAAAATAATGATTTGGTATTACAGAATTAACAAAATGCCAACGCCAGTATTGGTGCCCATTTAATGTTATACTTACTTTTAAGTACGATATTAAATGCAGCATTTTGGTCTTTCATGAAACTTGAGTAAAATATTGCAAATGCAAAATGGAAATGTTCCAGGCCAGAAAGCGTGAACGTGAAATCAGAGAATTGGAAAAGCAATTGTTACTCAAAGATCGTTCTGATTGGCTGAAGAAGTTGGACGATCAAGGTCGTGAGCATGGCTGGGATGAGGACGATTCTATGAAATATATGATAGGAGAGATCCTCAAAGGACAAATGGGAATAAGCCTGAAGAAACAACTGTTTGTCAATGCATGGATGCCAAACATTCTTAACAAATATTGTGTATATCCACTCTTTCAAGAGGGAAGTCTTACGAGTATAGAAACCGATATAACATCTGAAACATCCAAAGAAATAAACACTGTAGAATCTAAAAGCAAACAAAAACTGACAAGAACGAATAAACAACAGAAACAAAACTCGTCAAATAAAAATCGTCAAAGCAGTATTCAAATTTTCAATAAAAAGCTGGGTAGTTATGAAACATTACCTCCAATAAAAACTCTTCAAAGAAATCTAAAACAAAGAAAACCTAGAAGTTATAAGCAATTAAGAATAGAACAATCAAGCAATGAGGAGGAACAATCGAGAGGGTCAGTTGATGGTAGTCTCCTTCCCGCTATATAGGTCAGGACTGTTGCTAACTACCAAAGGAAGAAGCAGAAACCATTTTCATTTTTTATGTACAGTATTGTACTTTTAAATAAAAAATAAACTAATCTGAGTAAACTGTTATTAGTTATTCAAACATGGCCGTGCTCTATTTGAATTTCTAAACCAATCAGAATGCAGCATAGCCAACAATGAACGTTCATTATTTACGTTTTATTTATTTACAAATATTTCGAAGTAAAAAATCAGCTATTAAAACGTGTAATTACAAAACTTCATATATTGACAGAAAAGTACCCTTAGACTATTAAAACATTAAATATACTATATTAATCATATCAATACTAATTTTAATATGATAAGTGATGTCACAATAACTAGAACAAATGATTCACTGGTCATTGCCAATAATACTATGGTTATTCGGTCATAAATCATAGAATCTTAGTCCTTTATGTCTTAATTTCTTCCTCATCGTACTTCAGTACAATTTAGGTCAATTTTTGCATTATGTTTGTCTCATTGTGAAAGTAGGTTTTTGCCTCTTTAATATGATCCTTCATTATAATTGGGTTTTAAAGTCTAATGCTATCTCATGCAATGCATTTCCACTATGTTACATGATTATTATGCTTCAAGTATACAATAATAATAATATGTTAATATTTTTAAAAACATTTTATATAAAGGAACAAATCCATACAATGAGAACTGACCTACTGGATACAACAGCTACATCTATCTTTATAAAATACAATTATTTACAATATTATCAATTATTTCTAAAGCACCCCATGTGTCAATCCAAGTGGAAGGACCAAGAGTGATCCAAATATATGGTAGAAATTACTCTTATAATAGAGAACATTTGTAGAAATAACATAATTAACATTCATTGTATTTTGCATTGTCCTGCTCCATCTATGGATTGACCTCAGCTGTTCATTTATAATTCAACTTACCAGATTTTCATGTTATAAGGTCTAATTACTGACAGTAAGACCTACATTTTCATGCTTCCTCTTAGTAAAGGCCCATGGGTCTTATCTTAAAAGAAAGTTAATTAAATTGCCTACTGGTAACAACTAGAATCTGAGCAATATCTGGTAGTCAAATAGTATTACACAATCTATATTAGTATATCAAATAATTGACATTAACTGATCATGTTGAGTTTGATGCCATATAAAAGGAGTAGGTCCATGCCCCAATTGACAACCAAGATATAGTTCATAAAGGAATACTGAGAGCCAATGCTGCTTGTTTTGATTTTTACATTACTGCAGATGGAATGCATATTTGCATCCCTGATTATTGTATCCTATTGCACTATTTCAACATTACATTTACAATAACCACCACTGCAGCGTATTGTCCCAATTGCTATCTTATAACTGAAGCAATGAATATGACTATCATAATTCATTTCTACTCTGTTATACTATTGTATAAAGATTTTGAGGAACTGGCTTTATTGATTTTTGAATATTGATGATATTGTTGATATTTTGATGCACACACACATGATATGTATCATATGGCACTGGTAACAGTGACTTTTTTCTAATACAATCAATTGTTTTCCTATACACTAAACTGTGGGAACTTCAAATCTCGTTTGAATGTTTCTTGTTCATTTCTCAGTTAGATAGACTCAATTTGGCAAGAAAATATAGTCTAAAGTATTAGCGTCCTTGATGGCAGTCATAGAGTCCCATCCCATGTTTTTCCTTTGTAATCAGCACTTTGTCTACAACCGTTCCCTTCTACAAAAGTTTGAAAAAGATCACATTAAATCAGTTCTTCCATTTCTTCACAGCAGGGCAAAATGATATTATAACTGGTCTTTGAGCATTCTGCCCTGCTGGCGTATACAAGTACTAATAGTGGTTTCTAGGTAAACATCTTGAACTAGTTTATTCTTAGTAAGGATGTTTTAAAACTAAGTTAGAAAGCCAAAGAAAAAGTTATGATATGTTACAAAAGTTGCTCTATGGAATGGCTGAGTATTTACTTATTATTATGTACTAGGCCCTAGTATGTTTTATGTGTGAATTATTCTTTACTACAAACATGACAAACAACATTACAGTTTGCTCTACCTTGTCAACAGAGACCTGCTCCATGTACAACTTCTGGTCATCTACAACCCTCATCCTGGTATAGCCATAGTCATCACTTCTGAATGCACTCCAGGGTAGCCCTAGTGGGATAAATGGGTCTTCCCCCTCTGTGCAACCCTAAACATTGAACATTACAAACTCAGAATTCAATATATTGTGGTAACCTTTGACATGTTTGATCATCACATGCGAAAATGAAATCTGCATAATTTCTTTTTGTCTTAAAAGTGTTTGGTGATTTATTGCCAAAATCTACACCCATACAATAACACCCTATTATAAATCCCTTCTCGAGCGGACGTCTTACGCCCATCAGGCATTCTTCTTTAACTTATGACCAAATTCATTGACTGGTACTTGAGTAAAGTTGAGTTATCAGAAAATATCATATTTATCCTGAGATATGATGGCCATTTGAATTCAGCATCCCTTCTTGAGCAGAGTCCTTTGCCAATAAGTCACCAGTACATGAATCTAAACCAATTGACAACTGGTATCTGAGTTATCCAAATTATATGAACTCTCAAAAATTATAAGAATTCAATATTTGAGTTCATGAATCACATTTCTTCTGAAATTCAGTAGCCACCTTGAAAATGTCTAGTGGGCTCCTATGTCTCTAAGGCAACAGCATATAAAATCCTTCACCCGTATTTAAGTTATCAAAGATTACATTTTCAGGAAAATGGTGGCCATTTTAAATTGAGTAACCATACTGAAATTCCATATTCAGAATAAGTCATATGCCCATAAGGTATCACCCTTAAAATTTGAATGAAATCTGTCATTTGGTACTACATTTGAGTTATTGTCCAGATAGATCGAACGGAATTAATGAATGGACGAACAGTTTCTTTCTATACTACTGAACATCATCCAGTGGGATAATTATATTGACAGTCACCATATAAAGCATGATGCATTGTAATAAATACATACCGCTGACCCTGTAACAATGTGAACAGGTGCTCTAGGGTTCTTATAAGGGTCACTAGAAGTACCATTACACACGGTTCTGTTGTATACTGGGTACAATCTCTCATAGGAATGCTCATGTGCATAGAACTGTAAATCTACCCCATACTTGTAGAACAGATCCTCAAGACCAAACGCCTTTATATATGGAATACCAATTCTAACCTGAAAGTATTAAAATAGTTAGTTTACATGCAAGGATACTGCAGAAAACCAATCAATCCCACCTGCTATATTCTTTAAGGAGGCATGTGAACAATTAAGCTGAGGCTGACTCCTAAGATTTTATACAGTTGTTTCTAAGAGCTACTTACTGGGTTCTCTACATTAGTACACAGAGGGGGGTCATCACTATTGGAACAATACATAGGTCGGTGCCCCATGGTGATGATCCAGGGACGCTTAGAACGATTCTCTGGCAGGTTAGCTTTCTGGAAATAGAAAATACAAAAAATGAAAAGCATTTAAATGTTTATTTTATGGATTCTTTATGGCCATTTGCATACACTTAATAGGCTTCAATCATTGTTTGTACTTTTATTAGGAGGCCCCAACGGGGGGCCTCCTATTAATTTTATAGATATTCTTATTAGGAGGCCCCATCGGGGGGCCTCCTATCAATCTAGGTCAAGGTCAAAGGTCAAAATATAGGTCAAATCTAAGTTTTTTTTCAAGTTTCTCAAGTTTGTCCTTATACTTCATTATTTCTTGCGATGAATTAAACTGAAACTACATTTAAGTATTCTCTACAAATTGTTCACTATATGTCAGCATTAAATTTTTACCGTTTTTGAGATATTTGACGTCAAAAAACGGTCAAAAAAGGTCATTTTTCAACTTGCTTCAATCTGACCAATTTTTTTTTTAAAAATCATCTACAAGTTACCAGGAGTCCGAATCTGACCTCAGATTTGACCTTTGACCTTTAGTTGACCTTCAGTGACCTTTGAAAGGTCAGAAAAGTTGATTTTTCAAATTGAGTCTTTGGATTCAAATTTAAGTCAGTCTAATTACAAAAAGCCTACTGAGGTCTAAAAAAGTAAAAATTTCAAGGTCAAGGTCACCAAATTAGGTCACAAACTGTGCTATCTAAGTTTGTCATAGTTCAACACTACAAATCAATATTTTTAATTGAAAGTCAAGATGTACATTCCTCTGAGGGTTCTACACATATTAGTCATTGACTATTCATTAAAATTTTGTCCCAGTTTTGAGATATAAGAGCTCAAAAACTGAAAAAGGTCAATTTTTTAAAGTTTATAAGGTCAAATTTTAACTTGCTTCAAATTCACCCAACTTTTTTTTAAAAATTATCTACAACATCTCAGGAGTTCATATTTAACCTCAGATTTGACATTTGACCTTTAGTTGACCTTCAGTGACCTTCGAAATATCAGAAAAGTTGATTTTTCAAATTGAGTTTTTGGATTCAAATTTAGGGTAAGCCTAATCATAAAAGACCCACTGAGCTCTAAAACAGTAAAATTTTCAAGGTCAAGGGTCACGGTTATCAAATTAGGTCAAAGGTCAAAATCTAGGTCAAATCTAAATTTTTTCAAGTTTCTCAAGTTTGTCCTTATACTTCATTATTTCTTGCGATGAATTAAACTGAAACTACATTTAAGTATTCTCTACAAATTGTTTACTATATGTCAGCATTAAATTTTTACCATTTTTGAGATATTTGACGTCAAAAAACGGTCAAAAAAGGTCATTTTTCAACTTGCTTCAATCTGACCAATATTTTTTTAAAATCATCTACAAGTTCCCAGGAGTCCGAATCTGACCTCCGATTTGACCTTTGACCTTTAGTTGACCTTCAGTGACCTTCGAAAGGTCAGAAAAGTTGATTTTTCAAATTGAGTCTTTGGATTCAAATTCAAGTCAGTCTAATTACAAAAAGCCTACTGAGGTAGACCCACTGAGCTCTAAAACAGTAACATTTTCAAGGTCAAGGGTCACGGTTATCAAATTAGGTCAAAGGTCAAAATCTAGGTCAAATCTAAATTTTTTCAAGTTTCTCAAGTTTGTCCTTATACTTCATTATTTCTTGCGATGAATTAAACTGAAACTACATTTAAGTATTTTCTACAAATTGTTCACTATATGTCAGCATTGAATTTTTACCATTTTTGAGATATTTGACGTCCAAAAATGGTCAAAAAAGGTAATTTTTCAACTTGCTTCAATCTGACCAATTTTTTTTTTAAAAGTCATCTACAAATTCCCAGGAGTCCGAATCTGACCTCATATTTGACCTTTGACCTTTAGTTGACCTTCAATGACCTTCGAAAGTTAAGAAATGTTGATTTTTCAAATTGAGTCTTTGGATTCAAATTTAGGTCAACCTGATTAAAAAAGACCTACTGAGGTCTAAAAGGGTAAAATTTTTCAAGGTCAAAGGTCAAGATCATGAAATTAGGTCACAAACTGTGCTTTCTAAGTTTCGCAAAGTTCGAGACTACAAACCAATATTTTTAACCTGAAGTAGAAATATACACATCCCTCTAAGGGTTCTACACATATAAGCAATTGACTATCTAATAGAATTTTGTCCCAGTTTGAGATATAAGAGTTCAAAAATTGAAAAAAGGTCAATTTCGAAATTTTTCAAGGTCGAATTTAAACTCGCTTCAAATTGACAAAATCTTTTTTTGAAAATCATCTACAAGTTCTCAAGAGTTCACATCTGACCTCAGATTTGATATTTGTCCTTTAGTTGACCTTCAAATTGTCAAAAATGCCTAAGAGGGCCTCCGTGAGATTGCTTGCAATCTTCAAAAGTCTAGTTATTATTCTTTATTATTATTATTAGACTCCAGATGTCAATCTGGAGTCTATTGTTTTTGTCAGTATTCTTATTATTCTTTATTATTCTTTCTTATTATTCTTTCCCAGTTTTCTCGATAACCATAAGGCTTCAAATAAAGATCATTATTCAGTCAATTTATGTCCAGTATCTAGTTCCTCGGAAATTGGGTCAAATTTTTATCTAGGTCAAAGGTCAAGAACTAGGTCAAATCTTACATTTTCAACATTCTGTCATTTATCTTCCTCGTTGTTTATCGTAACTCCTAAATCTTTTTTTCATCATGTAGCTTAGAAAAAGCCAAAGCAAAGATATGACATTAGATTTTTGATTACGCTTACCGATTTTGAAATATGGCGTCCAGAAAGTAGGTCAAAATGAAAAGTTCTCCAAATTTAACATCTGAGTTATGAATTAAGGGTAGAATTTCGTCAGGAATCCGAATCTGCAAACCAAATTTCGACCCGACTTCCGGTTCGAAAGTTATGGCGTTTTGAAATTTCGAGAAAAATCGATCTGATGATATCCTTATAGAAAGTCAAGAGTAGCGAAGAAAATATAGAAAAAATCATCCATCCTTCCTTCCTATCCTGTCTGATCATATCCTTCCTATCTATCCTTCCTTCCTTCCTATCCTTTCCTTCCTATCCTATCCTTCCTTCCTATCCTATCCTTCCTTCCTATTCTATATCCTATCCTATATCCTATCCTATATCTATCCTATATCCTATCCTATATCCTATTGTATATCCTATCCAATCCTATCCTTCCTATCCTATCCTTCCTTCCTATCCTATACTATCCTATCGTTTCTTCCTATTCTATCCTATCCTTCCTTCCTATTCTGGAAGGAAGGATATTCTATCCTATCCTTCCTTCCTATTCTGGAAGGAAGGATAGGATAGGATAGGAAGGAAGGAAGGATAGGATAAGAAGGATAGGAAAGAGGGATAGGACTGGACGACTTGGCTTATTCTGAACGACTCGGCTATATCCATCCCACCTATCCTATTCAATCCTATCCTTCTTTCCTATCCTATCCTATCCTATCCTTCCTTCCTTCCTATCCCATCCTTCCTATTCTGTCCTATCTCATTCTTTCTTCGGATTCTATCATATCCTATTCTATCCTTCCTATCCTATCCTATACTATCTTATCCTTTCTTCATATTCTGTCCTATCCTTCCTATCCTATGAATTCATCCATCAATCCATCCATCCATCGGCTTATTCTGGATGACTCTGCTTATTCTGGATGACTCGGACTATTCTGGATGACTTGGCTATTTTGGATGACTCGACTATAATATCCATCCCACCTATCCTATCCAATCCTATCCTTCTTTCCTATCCTTCCTATCCTATCCTTCCTTCCTATCCTATCCTACCCTTCCTTTTCTGTCCTATCTTATTCTTTATTCGGATTCTATCGTATCCTATTCTATCCTTCATACCCTATACTATCCTATCCTTTCTTCCTATTCTATCCTATCCTTCCTTCCTATTCTGTCCTATCCTTCCTCCTATCAATCCATCCATTCATCCATCAGTCCAGCCATCCACCTACTTATTCTGGATGACTCGGCTTATGCGGGATGACTCAACTTATTCTGGATGACTTGGCTTATTCTGGATGACTCGGCTTATTCTGGATGACTCGGCTTATTCTGGATGACTCGGCTAAAAAAGGTCTTAATCTGGAGTCTGAAATTGAACTTGTTCAATTTCCAAAGTCTAGTTATTCTTTATTATTCTTTCTTATTATTCTTTCCCAGTTTTCTCGATAACCATTAGGTTTCCAATAAAGATCATTATTTAGTCAATTTATGTTCAGTATCTAGTTCCTCGGAAATTGGGTCAAATTTTTATCTAGGTCAAAGGTCAAGAACTAGGTCAAATCCAGTACTTTGTCACTTTTTTCAATTTTCTCGGTCGTCCTTCAATATTTTCGATCCGGGTTTTTTTCATTGTGTTCCTTTAAAAAAAGTAGGAAACCTAGGGTCGATTTAGTTTTTTGATATCTCAAACCGATTTCGAGATATCAGTGTCCGAAAACGAGGTCCAAAAAAAAGTTCTCCGAATCAAATGTCCAGGATATTAGTCTTATAGGAAATTTTCTCAGGATTCCGAATCTGAAAACGAAATTTGTATCTGACTTCCGGTTCGGAAGTTATGGCGTTTTGAAAACCCAAAAATCGCTAAATTTGGTGCCCATGTTAAGTCAATGGGAAAAAATATTTTTTTGAAGTGAAAAATACGGAATATAGACTGAGTTCAGCTTCATATAATCAAAGCCTTTAAAAGAAGGGGACCTCAAAAGCCATCTAGCTTCACAATTTGGACACCGAAATGCCTAGGTCAAAATCTAGGTCAAATTCATAGGTTTTCCTTATTTTTTCGATTCTGACACTACACTTTAATTATATTCTTCGAAATTGTGTATACATGTAGCCAAGAATATGCTTATAGTGTTAGCCTTTTGCCGTCAGAAAGTATTTTGACCCACTTTTGAGATATGGTGTCCGAAAAGTAGGTCAAAATAAAAAGTTCTCCAAATTGAATATATGAGTTATGAATTAAGGGTAGAATTCTGTCAGGAATCCGAATCTGCAAATTAAATGT